CGAAACCAATGTTTCCGTCAATACATCATCGTTTCCATCGATGCATCAACGAAAAGCAGTGTTTTTATCAATGTAGCAACGAAAATCATCAACCTAGTCTCTGTCTCTCCCTCCCTCTCTCTTTCTTCTCTCTTTAATTCTTTAAAATAAATAATTCCCCAAAAGAATCTCGTAAATAATTATCGTAAAAATAAAAAGCATAAAAAAATTAATAATAAAGTATGCGGTCCAATTTTTTCTACGGACTTATTTTTTCTACGGTCAAATTTTCTATACGGTTAAGAATTAACCTGATGTTTCATACGGACAATAATTGTTATAATAATAAGGGAAAGATAATATAAATATTAGGACGAAAAAAAATATTAAGCAAAAATTAATCTAATATTTTATGAATTTTTATTAAAAACGCGGACAATTAAGAAAATAATCTTTTAAATTACCCGTACTATCGACATCGCAGTTTAGTACCCGAGCCCCAATGATTAAAGAAGGGGGTTTCCCGCTATGTAATGAAATAAATAATAGCTATCGCCTTGACGCAATCTATATATTACTAATAAAAGCCCTTCTTATTTACCTCCTTCATCTTATCGTCGATTTCAAAGTTAGAAATAACTATAATAACGTAGAATTTAAAACCTTATAAAACAAACTCAACCTTTAAAGCGCATACCTAAATATTAAAATTAAACTTGCCCTTTAAAGGAATTAAAATAGCGGCATTAAAAAATATAGCACTGTAATCTTAATTATCTCGAATAAAAAGATTATTAAATATAATCGCATTAATCCTAATCTCTAAAACTAGAAATAAAATCTCAAAGATTATAATTTACAAATAAATATACTTTAAATTACTGACAATCTTTATTAATATCGCTTAACAATCCCTAAATCTCTAATTTTAATCTCTAGGTTCTTATTATTTCTAATTTTAATCTTTAGGTTTTGTTATAGCTTAGCGCCAAGCCCCTTAACATACCTTTGATTGGGTGCATCCTTAGCGTAATGCCCCGTATCATTCTATTGGCTACATCCCTTTCTAGGACCCACTTCACATCTATATTTATTCGTACCCTTTCTTCGAAGTTACACTTCTTCCTCTTTCTTCTTTTTCTTCCTTATCTTTAATCATTTATCGATAACGTCAGATTATTCGTGTGCACTCCTGCTTCGAGATCTACGTGCGTAACACTTAACTAAAGATCCTTCTTTCATATAAAAATTGAGGCTGAACTCAATTCCTTGGATTGGGTTTCATCTCATATTTTCTTTTAGAAGTCGTAATTTAATTCAAACCTTCCAACCGCTTTGGGAACCCGGATTTTCATTTAATTATTTTTTTATACCGACAGGTAGGGCTAATTTGTAAGCCGAGGTAGGGTAGAAGCTTTAGGAGGTAGCGATTGGTTTACGATTAAATTCTATAAAGTATTACCGACTATAGTAACGTCAAAATAATAGAAGTAGTCCTATCTCAGCAAATTCAATTTTAAATCGTATCCGGCTTATCCCGCTCCGAACTACCAGCCCGGATCCGAACTCAATCCGAACCTCTAATTTAATTTCTCAGATCTATATATATATATATATACTACCTTTCCAAGTTTCCTCTTTCACGTAAAAGTTCAGTACTTTCTTTTTATCTCTTTAAGAATTTCGATTTAACTAATTTTCTTCAATTCCATTCTCTCCCTTTCATTCTCACTTTTATTCGCTAACTTTATTATTTCGACCGAACGACCTTTACGGACCATAACTTCATAAACTACAAACCCCGCGACGGTTCTACAAACCCAAAATTTCTATACTCTAAACGGCTATTATTAAATTATAATAAAATATAGCCTTAATAAATAGAAAAATCGCCGTCTTAATAACTTAAAGTAGCTAAGCCTCTTTATCTTCGAAACTGAAAGCTTGGCTTCCAAATCCTAAGAAGATTACTAGAATACCCTTTTCCTTTAAAATATAGCTTCCAGCAATTAAAACTAAACTACGTATCGACAAGGCTATAATTAAAAATATTAAAGCCCGGTTTTACGACGTTTATTCTCGTTTTAACGGTAAAATTTAAACTTTAGTAATACTATAATTAATTATAGTTATAAAAGTAGCGAATCAGGACCCCTAAAACCTTTTCGACTAATTTACTCGTATTTATAACAATCCGAATAAAATCTAGGAAGCCGAAGATACCTTATATAAAATTACCCAAGGAGACGATACCTTTTCTATATTCTTAACCAAATTCGAAAGGCTTCTTTATAAAACCAAAGCCAATACTTGGCCAAAATCTACCAAAATCTCTGTTATAGGATATTCTAGACAGGTGCCTGAATGCCCCACTCTGTCTTAGCACACGCTCTATTAAACGTGGGACTACTCTATCGAGCAGGACATATCATATAAGAGTACTCTCCCTATCAACCTCCGTCAAGGTTAACTAGATCATCAATTTATATTATATCAACCTAACGTCTATCTTACTCGTACTCTGCGAAGTCGTGTGCGAGGTCCCAGGTTGAGGCTCTCGACAGTGCTTGTCTTTAGCTTCCTTTGACAAGACTGTCGTCAACCGTTACGCACTGTTGCTCTGTCCAGCAACCAGTTGCTCACTCTATCATTCTGTATTAGCATCACTTAGGAAGCATCGCTTCGCGTAACAATCTCGCTACTCCACCACGTACTCAATAAACGGACTTACAAAAGAGCGTAATTTATTTCACCTATTCCCAAAACGTATAACGAATATTTACAAAAATTTAAGGAGGCTACCAAATACTAAAGGAAGGATAAATATAATTTTTTATTATTATTATCCAAGGGCCCTACTATTTACACACTAATCCCTTGGCTAATCGCGCACTAATACCCCCAGGGGTTAGGGTTCTCTGTGTGTAAATATTAGGGTGTATTTTTGGTAATACAGTCCATGGTGTTAATAGTTGTAAAAATATAGGTCGTGCCCGCCAGCCGCCCAGACCCAGCCATGCCCAGACCCAGCCGCACGTGCCAGATATGTGAACTTAGCGATTTTTTACCCTTTGACTGCCTCCATCGCCAAACATTAACGAAATGAATCGCCAATAAAATCAATCAAATCGCCAGCGCATAGTCAACACCCATCTGCAGCGATCGCGATCTCGTCTGACGATTCAAGCGACAGCGACAGCGACAACGACAACATTGATTCTCTGATCTCTATTAACTAGCGATGATGATGTTGGTAATATATCAGAAAGAGGGACGCACGTGCGTGCGGCTGGATCTGGGCGGCTGGCGGGCACGACCCATTTTACATGGCTATCAACACCATGGACTATATCACGAAATTACATAATCCAGATTCTGACCACAGAGAACCCTAACCCCTGGGGGTATTAGTGCGCGATTAGCCAAAGGACTAGTGCGCGAGTAGTAGGGCCCTTATCCAAAGGCAAAAACAAAAATAAAATAAATATTAATATTATTACTAAAGCCTCGAATTTACATATTTACTTCAATACTATTTCAGTATTGGACGATAATAACGACAATAATAATTTAAATAAAAACTATAATTCTAGAGCCTTTCATTTGTTAAAAAATATTAAGAAAATATTAGAGCGCCGATACTATAGTAATAGGTTAAGGTATTAAATTAAAAATAAGATAGAACCAATAACGTCCCAGATAAAAATCTAAGGATTAAGGCTTAAGAAGAACCTTCATAGACAATTTTCACATAGATAAATTAATTGATAATTAAAATCGTACTTTTTAAATTTATTATTTTTAAATAATCGACTCTGGGGCATAAGTTTTTTTTCCGAGGGGGGGGGGGGGGGTAATATTATAGCTTAGCGCTAAACCCCTTAATATACCTTTAATTAGGTACATCCTTAACGTAATACCCCGTATTATTCTATTAGCTACATCCCTTTCTAGGACCCACTTCACATCTATATTTATTCGTACACTTTCTTCGAGGTTACACTTCTTCCTCTTTCTTCTTTTTCTTCCTTATCTCTAGTTATTTATCGATAACGTTAGATTATTCGTGTGCACTCCCGCTTCGAGATCTACGTGCGTGACAGGTTTCGTTATCGCTTAACAATCTCTAATCTCGATCTCAATCTCTAATTCTCGAAAGCGATATATACTCGGTATTGCAACAACGCAGGGTCTCTTATCTCTAATTCTCAATACTCGTAATAGCGGCGCGTAGCAATACAATACAATACAATCGCGTACAGAGGGCTTATAACCTCTTAAACTCGTAAGCACAAGAAGTATATTAATTATACTAAACTAAAAAGACAAAAAAGGAAAGGAAATATAGAGGGCTAAAATACATAGTAGTGCGGGCGGACTGAGCCCACGTAACAGACGATGCTAGTGAATGGTAGAGAGGTGGGACAGACCCCACCACAACAAAATTGTAAGGCTAAGAGCTAGACCTTTACTATAAATACTAGAATAAAGACCGTAATTGTGATAATATAATAAAGAGGATCGCGCGCACTGACAAGGAAGGTTAAAGGCTCATAACCTACCGTATAATCTCTCGAAATTGGGATTAGGGAATGTAGGCACAACGTAGGGTTAAAGGTGTAAAAAGGCATGTATCAACCACACCTTCAACCCTGCGTTGTGCCTGCATTCCCTAATCCCAATTTCGCGAGTTTATATGGTATAAGATCACGAATACCGCTAATACTCATCCATAAGAGATTTACCAAAGGCGCTAGCTAGGAAAATAGGATAACCCTATTGGATTGATGCCTCATATGTACTAAAGCTGCCTTGCATATGCAGCTTCTCTTACCAAAACTGCCAGGGTTAGTAAATCTCTTACAACTAAGTAAAAGCGGTAACAACAACAAAAGCAAGCGTATATACGATTGATTGAGTATACTATATAGAAGAAGAGAGGAGGAGAAAGACTGGCGGGAAGTCTAGAGGGCTTGAAATGGTGTGGTCCGTCAGGGCACGGTAGGGGGCACGGTACAGCCATGCCTGCCCGGAATGCAGGACCCACCAACTCGCTACTGCGATCGGACCTGGCTCCTGATGTTGCTATTGGTTCCAGATTTGTCCCCCGGTTTCCCGAAACCTCTTGACCGTCTGACGCAGGACAACAACCGAATCTACACTTGCAAAGCGCCTTAAGCCTACCACCGCTTGCCGCAAGGCAGGACCACGTTCTCGCACAAAAGGATGCCTGATAAGACACTTACAGTAGCCGCCTACGCAGCTGGTGCCTCTCTCGCCGCCATCACGCTGATTTACGTTTTCGGTCCCACCTATTTTCTCGATAACGATCCATCGGCTAACTCAACCAGCGTGTTCTCGACCAAGAAGAATGGTGCCGTGGGCCTAGTCAATCCGGCAAACGATTGCTTCATCAACTCAGTTCTCCAGGCTCTCGCTGGCCTTGGGGACCTCCGTTTATACCTTATCCGGGAGACGCATCGTCGAAGCCTGGACGGTGGCTGGGTGTATGCGCAGACCATCCCGAGCGATGTTTGGGACAGTGGTGGCGATGGCGACGAGACAAGCAAATGGCGAGTCCGTGGGGGTGTGCCCGAGTGGAAAGCCGAAGGACTCCAGATGGGTATCGTCACCAAGGGCTTGAAGGATATCCTTGACGCCCTGAACGAGAGACCGATCTACAAAAAGACGATTTCGGCCGCGCCCTTCGTCAAGACACTGGAGATTGCCTTTGGTCAGCGGATCAGCAGACAGCAACAGGACGCACAGGAGTTCCTTCAGGTCGTGGCCGAGAGGCTTTGCGACGAGTACCATGCCGGCCAAAGAGCGCGAAGCTATGCTACGCGTGCAGCCAAGCAACCACCTGCGAAGGTATCCTTCGATAGCAAGACATCAGACAGTGTGGCCAGTGAGCAGGCCAACTGCACTGATCAACCGGCGAAAACGGCCGCGAGCGCGGTCCCCGACGGCGCCGACGAAGAGAGAGCAGAAGAAGGGTTCCCGTTTGAAGGGAGCTTTGAGTCCCAGATTGAATGCCTGACTTGTGGTTTCAGACCCAGGCCCACTCAATCAACCTTCTGCACCCTAACACTAAACGTACCACATGTTCCAGCAACAACTTTGAACGCATGCTTCGACGGCATGTTCAAAACCGAGTATATCGAGGATTTCAAGTGTGAAAAGTGCCGGTTGTTGCATGCCAAGGCCGTTCTCGAAGCAGATATCCAGCGATCAACGTCGGAGTCTTCGAGGGAGAAAGCTCGCACGGCTCTAGCCAGTCTCGAGCTAGCTATCGAGACGGATCCTGAGAAGGCACCAGAGGGTGTCGAGTTGCCGGATCCTCGCTATGCTCCCAAGCGGAAGATAGCTCGGCACATCCGTATGACAGGATTTCCCAGGATCCTGGCCATCCATCTGTCGCGGTCGATCTACGACATGAGCAATTTCTCTCAGAAAAATCTTGCGAAGATCGCATTTCCGGAACTGCTGCCTCTTGGTGGCCTTCTGCAGCAGAGAAAATACAAGCTTCTCGGCGTTGTGACGCACAAGGGCAATCACCATAGCGGGCACTATGAGTCCTTTAGACGACAAAATATATATCCACCCTTCTCTAATCCCAGTACCTTTCAGCCCTCTGGAGCATACATAAACACCAGTTCCCCTTCAAACATCAATCAGGCACAAGCCACTCAGCCCGGATCCGGACAGGCTCCTACACCAGGAGTAGACGGCGGTATCACGCCTACCAACGAGGCTAGATCGACATCTACGTCTCGGGAAAGAGATGCCGATACGAACAGCCTACGATCTGCGGCCGCATCGGCGCGCTCAACCTTGATCAGAATTGCCTCAAAACCGTCCTCTCGCGCTGGCAGCCCCGACACAACCGGGTCGAAACCTAACGATAAAATACCAAACACAACTATGAAATCCAAACGGCAGAAATCAAGCAGCCGATGGTGGCGTATCAGTGACGACAAAGTCAAAGAAGCAAGTACCCGCGACGTACTGGGCATGCAGCGAGAGGTTTACTTGCTGTTTTATGAACTTGAACGATAGAATCCATGAACTTCAACTGCATCGGTGGAAACTAACGCTGGATCTCGGCGTGGCTCTTGGCTAGAATATATCGGATGGCATCAGATCTCACAAGGTGGATCAAATGTACAGAACAATGAACGACGCACATGTGTCACTTGTGCCCAGAGCACAAACCTAAACGATGCGGGATACCAATTGCATTAGTGAGCGGTAAGCAAACAACAGAGCGACATTTGATTAGGATCACGGCCTCATCAAATTGGGAAGCATAAGGTGTATTGATAGAGCGCGGAGCTCCAGCATTAGTTGCGAACTTGTACTCGTCGAGGCGTACGCACGCACTCCTTAACTTACTCGGCGTAAACCACATACATCATCGCCTATTACGAGCATTAACTCTCCATGCATGACTCCATGCTCACTTGTTCATATCTTGGTTGTAATCTTCGAGGCTGGGATAGTCTTTTCGCGGCTGCCAGTGATCAAAATAGAAAAAAAAAAACAGGTGGCGGAAAAGCTACCGACAATTGCTGCAAACGTAACCAAAATGTCAATGCCAATGGCCCTATGTATTATATTCTCAAACCAATGACTTCTTTCCCCAGAGGGTCGGAAAGTTCTCGGCTCCCAATATCACCAGGATCGCATTTGTCACACAACCTCACTGCCCTAAGAGCTCCTTGGCGATCTTAGAGGCTTCCTCGTCGCTAAGCTGCGGTTGCCCACGTTCCTTCTCTGCCTTGGTCGCGTCAAACCGCCACAGTCCACCAGTTTTATCCGCATCACCATGCTCAGCTAGTCCAATAGCAGGGCCAAGCTGGGTCAATACGCGATCAGGCGCATCTGTGTAGACGCTGAAATATCGTCGTTGCCACATACGCCCCTCGACCTTTTCCCTGGCGCGCGCCTCACGTTGCGCAACTTCGATTCTGCTCTTCTCTTGTCCCACAGCTTCAAGGTCCCCTTTGAGAATAGCGTTGGCGACCTTTGACCAGGCTCGTCTGGATTCCAGAGGGTGTTGTTTTTCGATCGGGGCAACGGTGAGAGGAGTATGCTGCTGTTTCTCAGGATCCCAGGAGTCGACGAGGGTGCTCTTACTGTTGTGCTTGGCCGCACCGGAATGGATTTCGAAAGACTTTGTCCACTGGCCCGAAACATTGTAAAGCACCTCCTTCTCCTTACCCGTCGGGTACAGCGAAGCGACAAACGAGTTCTTCTTGCCGGACAGCCAACCTTTGCCGCTGTAATCGATCTTGGCGGTATATCCAGTAGAAGAAGTGATGTAAGAAGCACCGTCCAGCTCGATAAAAGGAGAGCCGAAGATCAAGCCCTCGATATGGAGAGATGGGAGGGTAATGAGGAAAGTGTCGGGCTGGTCCGACGTCGATGACGGGACCGTCAAAACAGCGTGGCCAATCTGCTTGATGTTGATTGTCTTGGAAAATGAGGCCTTTTGGGCGTTGTAACCCTCAAGTCGGACGCCGGTCGGAAGGTTGGTAATGTTGTAGGCTGTTGCAGGCGGATGATGGCTACACGTGCAGAGTGATTAGCACTGGTCGACACAAAAGGCTGATGGCGCTGATGATGTACGCACCTTACTTGCTCGCTGATGAGCTCGGTGACGCCGGCCTCGTCCTCCCACTTGCCGAGGAAAAGCTCACCCAAAAAGGGGTTAAGAGGCTTCTTTTCGTTGCCATACTGCTCGCTTCGGCTGGCATACTGTTGCTTCAACGTGGTCAAGAACCACTTGAGAACCAGGAGCGCTCTCTTGGCCGGATCTGATTCTTTGGCAGGGGCAGCGAAGACGGGGGGGTGCTCACACCAGTACGAGCTGAACTCGGTCAAACTGGTACCAGAAAGAATGAAGGGGGGTGCCGTGAGGCTTGCGAGATCGCCGTTGAAGGAAGCGATGGACTGTCAAGACCGGAAGAGTCAGCGACCCATCATTTGATGCGCAGTGTGTTTGCGACGGGGAGGACAGACCTTAAGGAAGGCACCCCAGCTGCTGCCTCCTCCTGCTGCTGCGTTACTGTTTTGCTGCGCAGAATCCATGACGTCTGGTCGATTGGTGTGGGATGTGTAGAAGAGAACGATGATGCGGCTGGCTGCAGCAGTGTATGTATGGTATGAAGGAAAAGGGGGATTGGCGATGGAAGTCGAAGCCAAGGAACTTTATGTGTCGAAGGGCGGGCGGACGGGTGCCGGAGAGTCGGGGAGTTGAGTATATGAGTGGGTGAGCAGGTGGGTGCCGCGAGTGGATGTGGGGGCTTTCGGGTTTCAAGCCAACGATGCGGCTGCGTGTGCACTTGTAGTCGCGACCTGAGGCGCCAGAAATTCGATGCAGGCGGGAGAGGAAGGGGGAAAAAAGGCTGTCCCGGAATTCAGAGTGGAGGAAAGATAGATTTGGGAACAAAGGTGGAAGACATGCGAGTCTTGGTGGAGGAGGACTGGGTCCTTGTCACAGGCAACTTCCCTCCATTCATACAATCCGGACGACAGGCATCATGGGATGTCGTGTGTGGACGAACGGGGACCACAGGGGCAGGGGCAGGAACTCCCGGAACCGCAGACACCTACGACGTAGGCCGTAGACTAGGTTGGTATGGTGGCATGCTACGGAAGCCTGGATGTCACATTTGATCCATTTCACGTAATTACTAGGCGCGTGCAAGTAACAACGTCGCCGACGTCATCGCACAGAGACTCAGAGAGCGCTTGATGAAAGTATGCAAATAACGAATAAAACACACGCCAAGGAATTAATATGCAGCTATGAAGATTGGTGCATATCGGGATATAGATACCAAGACATCTTGCACTTTTCCTCCGTTCAACTAACGTACTCGGATGGTGAGCGCCATGGCAATGAAACCAAACCGCAAGCCGAGTTGAACAAGAAGCTGCCTGTGAGTCTCGAGTCCATGCAAGGTAACCGGTGCGCAGCTAACACATTATTACAGGCACGCCTCGGCTGATACCATGCCTGCCATGATCGTTCGTAACGTATTTGGCCCGCCGCCGTAGTATCCGTACAGCCTCACAAGGTTCTCGGCAAGTGCTCCAGGACCAGGCTTGGTGTAGATCTCCCAGAGCATGTTCTTCAAGGCTGGGCAAAAAATATTCCGGAATATACCGTTTACTCTTTTTGCCCATCTAGGATCTGTGGGCGTACACAGTAGTGAGCGCATGGGGTGAAGGAGGACGAGCGGGAGCAAAGAGTATTGATGCCTGAGACTGCCGGAGAGGAGTCGAGATCAAGGACCCTCGACATAATTGTTTGCGACAGTATCGTGGAGGATCGTCGTCAGGCTAATCGCAGTTTGTAGTCTCCGACTGCATCTCCAAGACAGGACCGCCTTTAAGCGACCAAGTGGCCGATTAACAGGACGGGTGACGGTTTAGTGAAGGATACACCGTTGCCAGGTATCATCTACTATACGGCCCCCGTAGAGCTAAGCATCCCGGCACAGGTCATCTTGACGCCTGCTATAAAGAGTTATGCCAGGTGCCATACCGAGCATCTTGACCGAAAGCCCAAGTTACCTTCAGTCACCTTTGAAGCCGTGCGTTCCATGATTTCCTAGCCGCCACCACGCCATGCTCTTAGATAGCCTGTCGTTATTCGGCCTACTTCCCCCAATTCACGTTCTGGCTTCCAACATTCAAGACATGCCAGTTGGGAACTCAACAAGTACAAGAGTCGGCTGAAGTTAGTACAAGCCCACGCCATGATATACGACGTCCAGGGCGGTGAACCGTTTGCTAAAAGAGGGAGGGTGGGCTGGACTGGTCGGAAAGGCAAGTCCAAGGCAGTGGGAAAAAGACTGGCTCATCCAGATTTCGCCGCAATCAAGTTAGGGAAGGCTACCCGCTGGGACACTGATATAATATTGTAGGATATGATAGAAGTCAGCTTTCAACCTGTAACTCATCTTTTACTGGTTAAATATGAATGGTTCTCTTCTGGTCTCCTGTACTCCCACAGGACGGACACGTTTACACACACTTGATCGTCACAAAGAACACTATCCCTTCGTTACCAAACCCACGAACAAACACATAAGTAGCCGCGGCTGAAAGCAAGAGCGCCCCTAGCTAGCAGTACACCATCGCGCCAATCAAACAAGACCTAGCTTGTATCACGCTTTAACTTACCTTCCACATGCTCTGCCCACCACTCGCCCCAATCGACCACCTTTTTGTTCTTCCTTGCCTCTTCGGCACAGAAGACCATAGCATGGCTGCGCATCACTTCTTCTAGAGTACAACCGACTAGTTCCATTTGTGCTCTGTCGGTAGTCCAGCCATGGTTCTTGACTTTGTCAACAGCTAGAACGAACTGGCGCGTCAGTCCCAGGTCCCCACCTCCGTGACCGCGGTCCTCATTCCGAGGGTGGTGGGTGGTTGTTTCCCCGGTGCGAAAGTCATGGATCGTAATGGTAGACGAGTCGGCAAATATCTCCCCGTCGACGCCGTACAGATTCGTATATCTCTGACAGATCTTGTTCGTCTGAGCAACCATATGGAAAGTTGCCGTCTTCGAGCCACGGCCACGCGCGGGGTCCGAAAGCAACACATCTTTTGAACCTGACTCGTGGGAGAAATTCGGAGGACTTGGAACGGGGTCATCATCCCAAGTGATGGTGACAATCTGTTCATCGCACACATCGTTGTCACTCTCGTAAACACACCGGCCAAACCAGTTGCTCTGTTCGATTTCCAAGGCGGGGGTGCTGGTGTCGTAATCCTTGGCCAGTTCGCGAAGCAGTGTCTCCCTTGCCACATTCTTGTCCGGGTAACTTTCGATATCGGGAACAACGACGTTGACAGGCCAGTCGGTATTGTGCGAGTCCAAACCAAACTTGTCCTGAGTAACGTATATGCGCTTCGCCGAATATTTGCACGACGACTCGATAGGGCAGGATAGACAGTTGGTGGCCGTTCCTGCGGCCGCCGGCTTTCGACTCCTTTTAAAGTACTGCAGCGAGCCCGTACTGCTGATGGTGGATGGTAAATGGGGGGTTTGGCCATCCTGCGCAATGTAAGAGGCGGGCGAGCAGAGAAGCCACAACAAAACGTCGATATCGTGACAGCTTTTAGTCAGCAGGCTCGGCGCCGAGGTACTCTCTCGACGCCAGTTACCACGGACGTAGCTGTGGGTGAAATGCCACCAACCGACGGGCTCCGTATGCACAACGGACAGCACATCGCCAATGACACGGTCTTCGAGGAGTAGCTTGCGGAGCAGCATGTTATGGGGGCTGTATCGAAGGACATGGCCTATAGAAAAGACCATCTGCTCCCCTTTGGCGTTCGTGTTGGTGCGTAGGGCCTCGTACATGTCGACGCAGTCCCGCAGAGTCGTGGCCAGTGGTTTCTCGCACATTATGTGCAAGCCTCCAAGCTTGGTAAGGGCAAGAACGACTTCCCTGTGCATCTCATCCAGAACGCACACAAAGGCGGCATCGACGCCGGGAGAGACATCCTTCTTGCCGGCCAAAATCCGGGCTCGCCGGTCCTTCTCGTATGCAACAAAGGCACGCCAATCGTCGAACTGGGCGCCTTCGGACGGAAGAGCGTGTGATCCCCAAATAAAGCTTTGGCCGAACTGCCTTCTCTTATACTCGTTAGGCTCCGCTACTGCGGTGACGATGCCGTCGGTTGAGGATTGAATGGCACGAGCATAAGCTCGACCGCGAGAGCCGGCACCGATAATGAGTATACGAGGCGGGTTATGCGCCATCATGTTCATCAGTCGCGGTGATAGCTTTCGAGTTTCGAGTGCCGTTTACAATGAAGGAAAACAAGGGTGGTTGTGGGAACGGGGGAGGATCGGAATGAAGAGAGGGAAGGGGGCGTGAACTGGTGCAACAACCGACCTCCTCACTCAGCTACTTACACGTGTGCGTACCTCTAGTACTAACCCAGCCAGACGATAACATGCGCAGGCGGAGGTGATCTACCAGATTACGTACGCCGATGAACAACACCAGTCCTAGAGGTTCTGCAAAGGACAAGTGTTGAACCAAAGCCGCTCGTAGCCTGCAGAACTGGCCCATTCTCTCAACATGTTACTTTAACTATGTTGTAGGAAGCCAAATGGCGCCCAACTTGAAATTGCTACGCAGCCAGAGGTTCTCCAGAATGCCTGGAATCTGAGGGCGGCACGTATTTTTACGTATATGTATAGTACTTGGTTACGGAATCGTGTACTGTCAACCTGAAATTTGCCTGTTTGAGCGTGTGCTTACTGCTTCGTGCCGCGCGTGCCGGCGTCCAACACATACATTGGATGCTGGACACCCGGGCTCGAGGAGCCGAGCGGGGCTCCCAGGGTGCGAGACACCCGACCGGAGGGTTACCCTGCCGTTCGCCTGCTTAAGATATATGCGCCCGCGTGGGCCGCGAATTCGAGACCTCTACCGATTCGCCGATATATAGGTCTCAAGGCTGGAAGTGAACCTGACTACCTCGAAAGCGGTAGTCAGCGCACCCACTTTTGGTAGTCAGTGCACCCAAACATCGCCCAAACATAAGGCCAAATCTCCAACTCAGAACTGAGATATCTCAACCAAAACAACCGTCAGAGTTTCGCTTTATTTTTGACATTCACCTTTAAAGCTTCCTCTAAGGTCTTTTACCCTTTTTTTTCAAAAGCGCGATTGAACGAAGCAGGTGCAAAGTGTTCGCGCAAATGTTAGTATTGAAAAAGTGGTTTTGACCCCTTGTCTTGGCGTGCCTAGGCAGCGAAAAGTGGGGCAATTTGGAGTTGGACAAAAAATGCCCATCTGTCGCTATCAAAGCATCGATATCCTCTTTCGCCAACGATCTTTACTCTTCGTTAGTTTTGGGATCGGAGTTTTCCTTGTCGCTCGAGTCGGAGTTTTCCTTGTCGCTCGAATCGGACATTCCAGTCTTCTCAATTCGATTCGCGTGCGCGCGCATTTGGATACTTTGAAGTGGTGCAAGTGATGGTGTACGTTAGTTGGGCATTTCTTGTAGTTCGGTACGCTGACTACCAAAAGTGGGTGCGCTGACTACCGTTTTCGTGACTACCTTGTATAAGGTACCCCCCGCCCCCCTGTACTCTACCACAACTTGATCAAATCACTACTGACAGACGGTTTACTGTTTGTTACTAGCCACACACATAACTTGCATTTTCCCATCGCTCGACGCTTGCGGATGATGGCGCAGGCAGCCCGGCTCGTGTCCGGCTGGTGCCCGGTTCGGTGTGACCGTGTGTCCACTGCCACTGCCGCTGCAATAAGGGTCTTTAATTGGACAGAGCCGGATATCACTCCCCACCGGGCCGGGCCCTTGTTCGGTTGTACCCGACGACACCTTTCCAGCCACACCACCAAAATCAATGGTCTAATAAGTCAACAGTTGCTGGCGAGGTCACCTACGTACGCCCTCCAGGCCTTGCAACGATTCCACTTCGGCTTCACGCCGCTTATTTCTAAAACGTATTCAAGTATGGTGTCGACACCTCAAGCCGCGCACGCGGCCGCCCAGCAGCAGAGCCAAGGTGCCCTGGTCTGGATCGACTGTGAGGTGCTTAGTGCCAGCCCCTTGTTGATCGCATTTCTCATCGCCAATGTCTCACCTCGCTCACATGCAGTGTTCAAGTAGATGACCGGCCTCGATCCGGACCAAGATGCCATCATCGAGATCTACTGTCTCATTACCGACGAGCAACTCAACCTCCTAGACCGTACCGGCTGGGGCACCGTCATTCACCAGACGAAGGCGCGCATGGATGCCATGGACGAGTGGTGTACCCGGGTTCACGGCAATAGTGGTCTCACGGCCGCCGTCCTGGCCTCTACTGTCACGCCGGAACAGGCAGCAGACGGGCTGCTGGCCTATATTCAGAAGTATGTCCCAAATAAGCGCATGGCCCTCTTGGCCGGGAACAGCGTGCATGCCGACCGCGCCTTTCTCCGCAAGAAGCCCTATGACAGGGTCGTCGATCATTTGCACTACCGCATCTTGGACGTAAGTAGTTTGAAAGAAGCTGCTCGTTGTTGGTGCCCTCATGTCGCCTCGGGAGCCCCTGCCAAGAAGGGACTTCATACGGCAAAGGAGGACATTCTAGAGAGCATTGCAGAGGCTAGGTACTACCGGTCTGCCATCTTTCAGAAGGACTAGGTCAGCATCTTCATGATGGGGCCGGGACGACATGGCCACCCAGAACATATACGCACACCACCACACGCCATAAGAGATACACAGACAGACCAATGGCGGACGGAGAAGAAAAGTACCAAACGTACGATATGGATTCAATCGGTTGGAAGATGAATTACATTAATTTGTCTGCACCGTCATAACCTCGACGGAGAACTAGCTACCCCAGCCGTTGCTGGTTCCCTATGCCTACATGAACGCCAAACTTATGTCTTTACATCCGGCTCGTCACGGCCAACGAACTCCTTGAACTTCAGGAGCTCGGTTGCCATCTTGATTTCAGGCGCCAGGAAGTCCTGGGCATCCATATCATATGTAGCGGGATCCGTGCTGTGCTGCTCAATGTACAAGCGGATGGTGGCGCCGGAGGAACCGGTGCCGGACAGGCGAACAATGATCCTGCTGCCCGAGGAAAAGCGGGCATACAGACCTTGGTTGGAAGAGACTGAGCCGTCCAAATCGGTGTACGAAAAGTCACCAGCTTCCGTGACAGTGCGGTCTAGACAAAAACGGATCTCGGGTTAGCATCTGTAATACCGCTCGGCATGGGCAATCGTCACAAGACTTACCTCCAACCTTGCTTCCTACAAAGTTTGGATCCTCCACCAAATCCCTCAAGATACCAACAACCTTGTTGGCACCTTCCGAATCCACGTCCTCGTAATCGTAGCGGGTGAAGAAGGTTCGTCCGTACTCGGCCCAGAAATCCTTCTGGATTTGCTTGATGCTGGGCGCCACTCCGGGGTTGGCGACACCCAATCCCGCAATGATGTTCAACCAAGCCACAATGGCCCAGAGACCATCCTTCTCTCTGATGTGGTTGCTGCCCGTTCCAAACGATTCTTCGCCGCAGATCGAAAGCTTATTGGCGTCGAACAAGGCGCAGAAAAACTTCCAGCCAGTGGGGACCTCATAGCAGTTCAGGCCTTGCTTCTTGGCAACCAAATCCACCGCTCCCGAAGTAGGCATGCTGCGTGCCAGGCCGTACACACCATTCTTCTTGAAATAGGGAATAAGCTGGGCATGGTGAGCGATAATAGCCAAACTGTCGCCGGGCGACACAAAAGCGCCAGCACCGTAGATCATGTTGCGATCTCCGTCACCATCAGAGGCTGCGCCAAACGGAATGTTGTTCTTCTCCACGACCTCAACCAAGCTGTGGGCGTAAGTAAGGTTGGGGTCAGGGTGGCCGCCGTTGAAGTCAGGGGAAGGCTCGCAGTTCTGTGTCGACTCGGCGCCAAGGCCGAGCTCCTGTTGGAAGATGGCCTTGCCGTACGGCCCGGTCACGCCCGAAAGACCGTCGAACAAGACCTTGAAATCAGGATGAGTGGCAAAGAACTTCTTGATCAGGTCAAAGTCGAAAATATCCTTGAGCATCTCGACATAGTCCGCGGTGCTATCGACCACCTCGACCTCGAGGTCGCCGTACGTCTTGGTGCCGATGGTCGAGATGTCAATGTTGGGAATGCTCGCAATCTTGTACGAAGACAAGGTCTTGGAGACTTCGTAGATCTTGTTGGTGACCGACTCGGGCGCCGGGCCACCGTTGGCGAGGTTGTACTTGATGCCGAAGTCGTTCTTGGGACCTAAGCCAGTGTTAACACCGGATGAACCAAGACACTCAGGGGGACTGCTGCTCCTCACCTCCGGGGTTGTGGCTAGCGGTCAGAAGGATGCCACCTGTCGCCTTGCGCTTGCGGATGACATGACTGGCGGCGGGGGTCGACAAGATGCCGTCCTGGCCGATTAGGAGCTTCTTGACGCCATACGCGGCACCGATCTTGGCAATCAGCTGGATCACCTCGGGGTTCCAAAATCGGCCATCTCCGCCGATAACGAGGAAGGCACCTGTGATTGATTGCATCAGCCGGTCAGCTCCCAAAGCCCACTTGCAGTCAAGCTTGGTATATCAAGCTTTGGTATAGGCATGTGTGTTTTCCTACCTTCGGCACCTTCAGGAATGGAGAGCAAGATGCTGGTGATAAAGGCCTCGCTATAGTGTGGCTGTTGGAATACGGTGACCTTTTTACGGAGTCCGGAGCTGTGACGGCGGTCCCAACAGGGTTGTTGTTAGTCTTGTTGTTCGGTATACGTTCAAGGCCGGCCAAAGCTCGATCGATGCAAGCAGATGTAGCTTTGACATGCCAGAAAGGGGGAGGGTGTCTGGAGAATTAGGGGGACGAGAAGAGGAGGGTGGTGACGTACGTGCCCGGCTTCTGGTCGGTGAATGGCTTGAACTCGACAGTCTGGACCTCCATGTTTGAGGTGGGCGCTTGTGTGGGTAAGGTTATTAGAGGATGGCTGGCTGGATGAAAGACAAGAATGAAGAGGGAGTAACGGCGAGGAAGCTTTACAATTTGTACGAAGGAGAACAAGGAGATAATTTAAACCCAATCTCTCCTGAGCGGCGTGGGTAGCTCAATCCGAGGCCCGAGAGGGGCAGAGAGGGTCCCGTCATAAGGCGGTCTGGTGGGTAGGTAGCTCTAGGTAATTGGCAGGCCAGCAAGGTGGGCAAAGGTGGGGCAGCGTTGGCAAGGGGGGTGGGGGGAGGCAAGGTAGGAGCTGGAAGAGGAAAGAAGGAGACGATTGAGCTGTCAGATCATGGAGCTTGGCGATCAACGGCATCCCGTCATTGGAACCACTTCTACATCGAGCCCGTTAAAGCGACTGTACAACCGGTCAGCGCGACTGTGTGGAGACAACAGCAGCTTGAAAGTGTAAGTCACCTCCAGCAACCCAGATTAGTGGTTAGGGTTAGCGGTTAGGGTTAGTTAGGGTTAGTTCCGGGGGTTCAGGGGGCCGGCGAGAGGCCCCCGCGTGTGAATGTGAATTTGAGCGCTTTGAAAAAGGTGGTTTTGAGGTCTCGTTGTAGTGGTTCAAAAGGATGACTTTTGGTGGTCGTGATGCGGGCGCGCAAAAGCGATGCCAAGCCTGAAGTCGGCTGTCTCTGGCGACAAGTTTGTATGGCCCCACACAGTCGCGCTGACCGGTTGTACAGTCGCTTTAACGGGCTCGTTCTACATGGCACACAGGGTTTCGTTGACGGGAGCCTGAGCGGGGGACAGCTTTGGACGCCGCAATGACCCAATCCAATGATGAACCTTCCCAACCCGATCCTCAGTGCCCGAGATACCTCGGGCACCGCATCAACGCTTCTACGGTGCTCTGGGCGTCCAAGGCACCGAGGCCATCTCGAGACGACCGATCTGGCGGAACCGTTGGGCTGACACCTTGGCACGTTATGCAAACTATTAAACTGCTTGGCTTACTAGGATTTCGATACCCCAAGTTAACAACCACTATAGTACTATCCAGACCTCGAAGTCACACGTGAGTATCACACCGCAATGGTCTAGACCAGTAGGTTGGGCACATGTTGGTCGTATTGCATGCCCATGCCCGGCAGTCCTCGTGAGAAGCGGTAGTGTAAGACGCTTGCAAGAGCAGTGAGAATAGAATCGAACTCACCTCCAGTTACGACTCCACTCTTCACCACACAAATCCACCTCCCTCAGCTGCCACGTGCTGCAACCACACGCACCGGGACAGATATTGCAGATAGCAAGCTTCAGAGTTACAACTGGGAGTCGGACATTTGACTCGCGGATTACACCTCTCGTAGTGTATAGCAAGCAACTAACATGCAGGTGGTCTTTTCATCCTGGACATAACCCGTTGTGGATATGTTTTAAGATAGCAACACCAGGATTCAAAGTAGGGCTGGGGTAAAAATGGGCAAGTATACATGATACCTCCTCGCTACCTCGGGGACAGTGGTGTTCAGCAAATTTGCGAGAAGAATCTCTCCGTTCCTCTTCTGCCGAAAAAATGGTATATGACCTCGCCGACATGTACTCCTCCAGCTCTCGAGCGAAGCCTAGAAATAGAAGTGTGTTTCTTGATTTACACAACTTGTTTGTTAGCTAACCAATATAAGGAAGCTTATTTCAGCTGTGTGCTGCTATCTCCTCCACTATTTTGCTAGTAGAAATGTCGATATTGAGGGCTAAGAAATTGCCCCTAACAAGCCAAACCTACCTCAAATGTCATCACGCACACACACACTCCGCCAACAAGGACATTCCAGAAGATACACCCCCTTCACACAATGCGGAGAGTGGTTACTCTATTCCCCCGATGGACCTGTGGCGGTCTCTGGGGTCTCAGATGAGCCTCCGGATACCTCCATAGCTGAAAAGACCTCTTTGAACTTGGATGCGCCTATGCCCCAGATAGAACCAATATTAGCTGTGAAACTCCAGTAGTCCATTCAGGACTATGGTCTGTCTCTGCTGGAAACACACCTTGTTCTGTTACAAAATATATCTCGAATGCATTTGACTTATTTTGCCGCTGAACCTCTTGTCGGTAGTTCTTGCAAAAGACATAAAGCTGTATGTTTCTCAACCAAACACGATGCTTGGAACGCCGACTGATCCATGTCGAAGACTGTGACTGAGCCGTTACTGGTAGCATTCGTATTAGTACCTATGAAACAGAGATATGAGGTTTCTTATCTCACCAAATGCGGTCCAAACCGGACATTGCTTTAGTTCACCATCCCATACTGCAGCATGAAGACGAACACCATGAGTTTGCTGATCCTCGTACACGACTAGCGAGTGCTTGTACCCATCGTCCACGATTTGCCTGCACTTCCAAGTCAACAATGCCCCGATCCCATATCCTAGACTTAGACGACACGTACGCTTGGAAGAGCCGCTTCTCTCTTTGTAATTGGAACTCGGTTGGATGAATTTGGATGGTTAGCCTGTTGCGAGCCTTGAGCGCGACAAACGTGCAGTAGAAAAGTACCATCTCTGAAGAGATATGTGAGTGATTAGTTGGACTGATCCCATCGCAAAATGGTTGCAACCTTGAAGCCTTACCCTCCCATGTGATAAAGTAAAACGCCGCCCACAGCTTGCTACATTGTTCCGACCGGCTCCAGCGTTTAAGCTGCAACGCGCTGCCTTCGCGCCCGATACAAAGCTCGTGGACCCCATAGGACGAGAACCAGGCTACTTCACCCTGGAGACTGCGGATAAGAAGGTAGGGGGCTTGGTCGATCGGGTTGAGGTACGCCACCACAGACGTCTTATCGTTATCGAAAGGCCTGAATTGACGTCGTCAGTACCTGAAGTTAGAACCTTGCTGACACGAGCACAAAGCAACAGATCCAGAGGTTGCTTCACACCAGGCAACGGTAGCTGACAGTTCAGATATACGGCGAATGAAGACTTCATGGGACGGTCAAGATTATAGACTCACCGCCGGAAGAGAACTTTGGGTTCTGGAGGTATGGCAAGTTGATCCCGTCGAAAGAATGGGCCGCATGCCTTTGACCTATTACGCCCTAATGTATCAGACGCAATCACTCATTTATTCTTCTGCAGTGCGGTACTCACGGTTTTACATGTTTGAGCACAGTTCGAGAAGCTAGTGGGAGCGAGAATATTTGTTCGGCCCAATGCGCATTCTGATCCTGTGTAGTTAGCATCCAAGCTGGTGAATCAGACTGGAGGCCGATACAGACTGGATCGGTAAGAGTTGCCAAAGAAGGTACTATGTCGGCAGGACTGATGGAGCCAACTTGCTGTGGCAATGGTGCTGCGTATGGATGTTAGTTGTCCCCGCGGGAAAAGAACGTCAAGCTAGGTCACTTACGAATCCCTCGTTTCTCCCTCAACTCAACAAGATGGCCACGGAGCGTCTCGAGTGTATTTGGATCGAAGCTCGGAGACCTATGCATACCTAGTTAGAGCGCAGTTGTTTTCGCAGTCACCGTCAAAATATCCATTCACCTGTTAAGAAGGTACCCTAACATGACCAGAAAGTTGTTGTAAAGCACGAAACGCTGGGGAAGCGGAATACCCCCGGCTTCTTCTGTCATCTTGTTGTACATCTTCCGCCACCGGATTTCCCGAGCAAGTGTTCTGTCGTCATAGTAACCCATGATATCGTTCAGGGTACGACACAGGCATGGTAAAATAATATTCAAGTAGTTGAGGACGAGAGGGACGCGTTCGATATGAGACTGGGAATGATTGGCAAGATCGCGGAGCCGCCTGCTGGAGTCCCGAATTTCCCCAGCCAAGGCGATAAGGTGGCCGTGAAATGACTCCGGGAGCGCCTCCCGTAGTTGATCTAACGCGACGGCCACAATGGCAGCCCGCTCGGCCTCACGGCAACAGCTCTGAAATAGCTGTATCTCGCAAGGTATGCCGATGTTGGTGTGATCCATGACGCCCAGAGGAGCCTGTAGAAAATCGGACGAATTGTGATGACAAACTGAGCCGCGGCCGCCAACGGGTATACACTGGAGAGCTAGTTCGCAGAAATCGGATGGACATCAATGGGTGGTTAGGATCTGGCGCTGTTCCTTGACAGGACTGGTCAATCAGGCAGTGCTAACCAGGCTCGAGTGCCGATAATGAGCGAAGTGTTTGCACACCTCGCCGTCCTTGCTGCCACGGCTGGTTGTAGCCTGCCAGTAGTATGGCTAAGTGGACGCCGCGAGACTCGATTGCTAGCAATGTATAAACATGCAATAAAATGACCGGACGAGGGTCGAACCGCGACACAGCGGGGGACGACGGATTGGACAACGGCTTCCTCGACGAGAGACAGTGACAGGTACGTACTTACATATCAGAAGGGACAAAGTCTCAGCCAATTGACCATGCAGGATTCTCGGCTGCAGTTAGTTGGCCTAACCGACTTACTTGGCGCCCAACGTACAAAAAATCAGTGGGACAGTAAGGCCTTGAGCTCATTCGACTTAAGCTGCCTGAGACAAACCCATAAATGCCCAGTTTGTAGCTGATATCGTGGACGGGGAGGCCCTCCGTGTGTAACTGGATATGCTGCAATGCATGCGGATACGATGGCGGTCGAGGAGTCAGTGGCCGCCACGAAGGGGCAAAACACCACTCCTTACGGCAATTCGAATTAGAATGATACAGTAAAATCGAGTCTGCCACTCCATAGCTGGACTATCCGGAAATACTGAGGTATAAGAAGTAACATAACTTGGACAGACGCTGTAGCATGGGCTGCATGGACTAAGATCTGTTGCCTAGTCGAGCCTAGTACCGCATACGTTCATGGAACTGTTAGTTTGGATTTGTTTTATTTTTAAGCGAGAACTGTCGACTGTAGTGCGTACACAGTAGTTAGCCCTCGATATCACTAGCCTCTCCGTCTATGGTACCGGGCAGTAGTTCTCACCATTATGAACTCCAGAAGAACGACGTCCGCATCTAACCACGGCCATACGGCATGGTCTTTGCACGACCTCTAGCAATAAGTGTTGCCCCCAACAAGTCCTGGTGAACATAATATCACTTGATCGCTTGTGTTGACCAAGAATCCTAAGAGGTATATAGTCTTGCGACAAACAACAGCAACTGCGCCAAATGGGACTGTTTGATCGTTCGAGCAGTAGCCTATATTAACCAGTTCCGCGCAAAAAAAAGAAGCGTCAACCAGGATTTGAACCCTTATAGACGTGGGCGATATATCATCGTTGACCGCGCAATCGTTCAAATCCATCCATGGCAACTCTTGATCCCCTGCCATTGCGTGCGCACCTGTTCCCGAATATCAAAAACTGAGATTTGTTGTACAAGCTAGCCAGCGAATGAGCTGACTGATTCGATTGGTCCCCCAATGGAGGGATAGCTTTGTTCCTTGATCATAGCAAAGCTCGTGCAAACCATGGCGTAAAAAAGGAAATCCCGTGGCACCGTAACAACACCGTCCGTCCCAAAATACAAGGTCAAATAAAGAAAGCCTCGTTTGCTGATCGCAGTGTCTTGCTCTGATCAAATATCAACGTGTTTTTCAAGACTGAATTCCGCGAGCGCATTCGAGTCGGCGAGAAGGGTTCATTCAGGAAGACTCCTCCTCGTCGGCCTCGGCCTATGCGCCTCATGATCAGTTTCCGTTGCTAGTAGAGTTGGGATAACGTGGGGATGACTCACGTTATAAGCCTGCTTCTCGTCCTCATAACGCTTCTTGTCGGCGGCAGCCTTGGCCTCATAGGGGGCACGCTGCTTGTCGCTGAGAGCCTTCCACCTTTCTCCAAGAATCTTGCCGACCTGACCGAAAGAGACGCCGGGGTTTTCTTCACGGACGTTCTCGCGCTGCTCATTGGCGAAGAACATGTAGGCAGAGAGGCCACGCTTCGGGGCGTTGGGGTCTTGAATAACACAAGTCAGCAACAAGGAGCTGCGAAACAGCAAGAGCGACCACTTGTATGTTTTGGTATCAGCTGCAATCAAAGCCCACCGCAAGCATTGCATGTGGGCCTTGTCATTGAAGCATGACCCTACAAGACAAGCGACCAGGTTGCCACAGGTGTGATATGCGAATGGGGGAACATCATATCGAGCGTTCCGTAGGGAAAGGGTTGTGTTGCGGTAACTCACCCTTCTTCGCGCGGCGCTTCTCGACCTTGCCGGTGGTCTTGCTTTTGGCGGCGGCCTTGGGCATGATGTCTAATCTGCAAATCAAAAATATTGTTAGTAATGAGTTAACAATTGAGACCGTATCGCGGCGCGTATGAAATGATTGATCAAGTCCACGAGTTTCGTTGGTAAACTGCGGCTTGTCCGACTTCAGACAAGCTGCACAGCGCAAAACACGAGCAGAAGGTGCTGATGTGTATGCTCGTTTGCCAGAGCGAGTGCGGCACCCGAGGCTGTCGAAACAATTGGCATGCAACTGCTGATTAAAATTTAGGGCAGGCATGCTGCGTCATTGAAGCATCAATGAATACCACATACGCGACAAACGTACTTGGTTTATTTTTTTTTTGCTGAAGATGAGACTGTTTGAATGCGTGGTGATGCTGCTGTTGAGAGATTGTGCCACCCTGGTCAGCGATCGCGGTACGTTGTGATGTTTTTTCTTGACGCGAGACCGGAGACGTGTGTGGGCAGCGCAAAGTGAGCTCCCGGCGTGGTGCGAAGGCGGCAGGTCCTATAGAAGCTTTGCGTGGAGACGGCGACGCGCAGACTCGAGCTGGTGCCGGGAGTGCTGAGCACCGACGCGCAAAGCAACAAGCGTGCGCCGGCTTCGATTTGGATGGCAACAGCGAGGTGGGCAGCGAGGTTGGCTGGTTGCATGGGACCCAATGGCAGTTCCGCTTGGATAGAGGCAGGCAAAGGCCAAATGCCAGATGGGCGCGAGTACTTGTGATTTTGCTGGTGCTGGCTAAGGAAAGGAGGTACTCACATACGCGTGCAATAAGCGTGGGAAAATGGGTATCGAGTTTGGCGTGGTGAGCGGTGCGCTTCGTTTGTATGGGAAAAAGAGGAGGGAGTTTTGTGAGAGAGAGGAGGGGGCGACGCCTTTGCCTGGTATTTTACTATGGGCGGCTGATTGAAGGGGCGGGGGAAGCTCCTTCCTACTTCATAACAAAAAAAGGGTGCAGCGCCGGCTGATTTTTGCAGCGTGATTTGGGAGGGAGGCGAGGGCACCCACTCTGACCACTCATTCATCCCTCTTCGGACCGGGCCACTCCAATTGCACTGCAGTCAATGGCTGGCGGCCTGGCGCTGGCCAAGCGTCAACACAAGTACCGGTACATGTCCCATGTCGCCCACTTGCGCCGTGCTTGTCGGTACTGTGTACTTTACCTGGCCCGTGCTTGCCTGCCAGCTTCCAGTGCCAGCAGCCATCCAGCTCGAGCCCGTGCCAATTCCATTTCCAGTTCCAGTTCCAGTTCCAGCTCCCGGCTGGGTCAGCTTCCAATCCAGCTTCCAGTTCTATGGATGACTAGAGGCAGGTACTATCACTCCCACCTTCTGACAGGCTGCCGCCGCACCTCAGTCACTCGTTCGCTTCAGTCGCTTGATGCCATCCCAACCCATCCTCGTCTGGTCTGGTCTGGATGCATTCGGCCGGACAGCTAGGGTCGAGCGCCCCCCCAGCTCCCGCCCGGCTTCCACCCATGAGGTGCGTGCAGTGGCCTTTTTGGATGAGCACTGGGCGGGCTCGCACACACCCGTCACTTTTCTCTCACTCAACCATCGTCGCTCTCGTCCGTATCTTTTTCTTGGGGGCGGCAGGCTGCCCTGTTATGAACGCCTGCTTATTACTGGGCATCATGGACGGTCCGAGAGGACGTCTGGTCACTCGGGGGTGGGCTGCACTTCCCTCATTTCACGAACTGCCCTGCCTCGATCAACTGGCCATTGGGCAGTAAAATGAAAAAAGACTGACGAGTATAACCAGTACGGCCTCACTACCCGCCAGGTGGCCCTCATTTCGACTCGTGAAGCTCTGCAAGGGCGTTAGAATGGCTTGTGTGAGACACGCAGCTTGACCAAGCTCCCTGGCTCCCAGTCTAGCATGAGGACCTGAAATCTCGTGCCGTTTTCATCGTCTCTCCCTGGCCTGTTCACATAAGATGACGAAGATGCGTTCAAGGGTAGCAAGACGTCGAGGCTGCCAAGGTAGGAATGAAGTATCATAGGCCAGTGTTGACTTACCAATGGTATTCTAGCAGTCGTCTCTGAAAGACGAGCCTCTAATCTTACAGTAAGGAAGCAGTTGAGGTGCGCGGACATTTGCTAACAGTTGCTTGCAATATCAGCCACAGTAGCTATTGTTGGCACGCCAGTTCTCGTCCACTCACATCCTTTGTTTCCGCGCCTGGTTGAGGCATGCCAGGTCTACCGAGACACGAGAGAGCATCGAGCAGAGCTTGCCCTTTTTCAAGTTGCTACGCTTGTCTCTTGGTACCGCAGAACAATCCGTACCACCCAGACTACGAACTGTACACGGTACGGAGTACCTCAATACCCGAATCCGGGCGGCCTTGTAATGCAGAGACACGACCGTCCCCTCGTGCCATGACATGTTCCACGCCAGAAACGGCCAGTGTCTCGTTTGGTGAAGGTTCATCATCTATTACTGCATGGTATAGCACACGTGTGCCTACCAAGCATGGTTAAAACCTGCCATTTACTGGGCAAGTTATTCTTCTCGCTGCTTGTTTCCGATCAAGAAGATACAGTACAAACCTCGGAATGCTGCCCCCCGTTGTTCAGCAATAATATGGCATCACAATATGCTCGAACAGTGGCGGAAGAGGATAGCGGCGACCAAATCGGGGACAGATAGCACACAGCAAGTAAGATCTATTGGCGCTATTCTCTCAAGAGGACTACTCGGTAAACATGAAAATCGAGCAAATTGTCATATTACAACTTTGTTCCCGGCAATCAATGACCAACAGCTGAATGCGATCCTCGGCTTTTCAAAGAAGCAGAGAGGAAGCCTGGGAACAATTGTCGTCAAAAGCAGGACTCGGACATAGCGTCGTTTCTTCAGCAAACGGAAATAGTCTGCATGGCTACTTTGTAACCATGGGTTGTCCTTGGCTGTTCAAATGAGGCATCGAGAATCGTGCCAACATGACCGATTGCCCAGAACCTCTCGACTGCCAAACCGGGTCGTTGCTCTTGAAAAGTACCGAGCATGTTACTTCTTCATTACGGCCCTTTGGTGGAAAGATCCGGCGGGTCGAGGACCAAACCTCTAAGTCGTTCATCTCGGACCCAATCGACTCCGCTGCCGGCTACGAGCGCGCTCGTCGCTCCCTTGATCGTCTTCCATCTCTGGCGGCTCACCTGTAGCTCACCCTTCGTATTACCCAGCTGTCTTTCAAGCTTGGTAGCTCCATCCACTTGTACGTCATGAGTGCCGGTGGTTTTTGACAACCGCAAGAGTTCCGAAGCCAATGTCGCGTTTTGTTGACCAATGCGGAGACGCTCAAGTTCCAGATCCAAGATACGGTCTCTGACTTGATGGGAGGCTGAAGCTTGCTGAGCCGCTTTGGCAGATACTAGATCCCGCTGCCGGATCAATGGCAGGATATCTCTTGAAACGAAACAGACGTCAGCGATATCCGAGAAAAAGAGATTGCAGATCCTAACCACAGTGAAAACGGACCGTTCTACCGGGGAGGCCTGAGTTCCGCCATGAACAGCCCTCAATATAGGCCGGACCACGACGGCGCTTTCAAATACGTAGTCCCGCAATTCAAGAGCCGCCTTTGCTTCGAGTAGTTGCGTGCGAGCCTCATCTACTTCCGAATGTCCTGTAAAGGATGTAGGGCCTAATGCAGCGCCCATGGTCAGAACATTACAAAACCTCGAGGGGGATATACATCGGGTTGCTGACTTTGCGGGTCGGAGTGATCTTGCTGGGCCTGCAGAAGGCCTATCTGAATATGTAGCTCCTGCAGTCTGTCATAGAGTGACAACGCTTCTTCCTCCGTCTCTGAAAGGCGAGGGTTTGGATCGGGAACAAGAGCCGACATGACCAGTTGGTTGAGCGCCGCGGCTGGTTGGAGGCGGCTGGAGAGATATAGCTGAATGATAATGGTAGAATGTATGGCGTGGTTTGCGGAGTTGAACTTGAAAGGCTGGTCCAGATTGCTACAACCTACAGATCATTCCAGAGCAGGTGGATGAGGCAGACCTCCTTCATTACAGGCGTAAGTAAGCCAAGAAGCGGACTGCTGGATATAGATGTGCGCGTAGGACGCGCTGGTAACGCGTCTGAAGCGAAGGGCGGTTCAACTCGTAAAATAAAAGTGACCACGACTAGCAGTAGTACTGTTATCCTGGTCAAAAATGGAACATGGGATCGAGGATAAACTTCAAGCTGGTTGTTGTTCAAGCTCTGAGCACCTGTGGCATCATCATGAAGCACCCGACTCCATGTTTGAATGAATGGAGCATGGAATGAACTACACGGGCAGTTACCCGTAGTGTACACTAGGTTGAGAGACAGAGGGAGACAGCACCTACCTACAAGTGTACTACGTGTGACGGAGAGCTGGCGAATATATGCCACTCAGCTTTAATCCCCGAGTTGACTTTGGAGCAAGAGATATGATTCTTGTCATGCTAAAAGAGAGAGAGGTAGGTAACTTGGACTCGATAGTGTACAGTAGGTTCATCCATTGGGGAGCGGTATCCAGGTCCAAGAAACTGGCCCAAAAGGGAATAGCACCTCGCAGCAAAATCCCCTCTGAAGTACCTCCCAACATCTCTATTCTGACAATTATCCAAGTTTTTTCACTTTTCAGCAAAGAAACCAACAGAAAAAAACTCATTGACACGCTCACGCAGTGCTGGATATTTGTTTTCGCAATTCAGCTGGCCCCAAAAGGGGGCTTTTTGGGTACATTGCTGCATTCTGGGTTGCAGAGCGAAAATGCTGGAGGGACATGTCAGAAAACGATAAACGGCTAGAGAACTTCCCTTTTGGGCCAGTTTCTTGGACCTGGATAACGACCCCCCCATCCATTGCAGCAGCATGGAGGTGTCACTGTTGCCGAGCGTCCTGGAGCTGCCCCTGGTGTCGGTGTTGGGCGGCGGGGCACTACCTGGGCCGTTGCGGATCTGGCCTCACAGGGCCCGGGGACTGCTTTCCATCGGGCCACTACCACTTCCACCTAAGTACTTCCCCACGTCGACGTCCAACCCTCCACCCACCGACCGACGGCCGCCATCACAGACCGGAGAACACTCTTCACACTTGTCAACACCCATTCGGTCCGCCGACTCGGGTTGCTTCCGTCTTTCACCGTGGAAGCGACTTGGGAAGCATGCGTGAAAATGGTTACGCAGGTGTTGATCGCCCATACGGGCCAGCGCCTTGAAATAGACAGTCGTACCATCACATCGTACGCCTCTCCGCCAGTGCCCACATCCCATCGCTTTCCCATCTGACACTTGCCATGACCGCGTAGCGTTCTGTTTACCACTTGCTGACGTCCCTCAAGATTAGATGGCCTGAAGGAATCCGTGGCCAGCCAGAGCTCCATTCCTGTCGAGTGCTTGATCGCCCTAACACCCCAGGGAAGGTCTTTAAGATGGCAGCCAACACAGCCAGAGGTTCGCACATCATCTAGATGGTCTTGCCAAAGGGCTGTGCTTTATCGCATCTAACGCTGGGGCAACAGACAGAGATCTACATATATGACAGCCGATTGACACAGCGGCCCCAACCCGGGGCCTCGCTGCCTCCCATATCCGAACTGCCTCTTCCCCGATACAATGCACTCAACCCACCCAACTCGATCGAAGACACGCGATCCATCCCAGCATGGCAGAAGCTCTTTGAGACACGCCGTGCCTGGGCTTTCGACGTTGTGGAGGACTGCGCGAGGATGGACGCCGCCACGCGGGAGCGCTATGCCGAGATGGACGTCATGTTAAGATGTCTTGATGCCGCTGTAGCAAATCTGGAGAATGCCGTCAAGGGGCTCGAGAACAAATATGTCGAGCTGAAGGAGTGGTCCACATCAGCACATGCCGATTACAATGCGTTGGCGACAGGTTTGGATCGATATCTTTCGCTGGCCCGGGGCATCGCTATCTCATCCAGCATGGCCCAGTTCATGACGTGCCGTGACGATGGTGGTTGGAAAGGACATCCACAGCGACAAAGCACCCTTGAAGACCTTGTTGATCTGGAGCTCGCGCGGCAAGCAGGGAAACTCGCACCCCCCGCATTGCGCAAGTTCAAGGATCGCATCACCAACCTGGACAAGGCGGCAACTCGTTTGTTTCAAGACGCTGACACTTTAATGCACAAATTTGAGGCGACCATGTCTCGCTCAGCCCTATCCCACGACGGCGAATCGTCACACCTTCTTCAGGATATCGAGGCCTTAGCCAACAAGATCGACAACGACTACCATGTAACGTTAGAGTACACAAGCTCCATCCGGGACACGCTTCTTCAAGTTTCCAAAACGGCGGCACACCACACCGAGCGGCTACTGCCCAGCATTCAAAAGCGCGCACTGGAAATGGGTGATATGTTGTGCTACGCCACCAAGGCTCGAAATAGCCTCGCTGCCGAATCCATCGAGTTTATGCGTAGTATCACCGAGATCACAAGCGATAGCCACAGCGTAAAATCCCAAATTTCCGGGGCTGGCCAGGAGGATGAACTCGCCACGTTTGATCATTTGCGGCTCATCCAACAGATCCCGTATTTGTACGCCTCGTTTGTGGCAGAGGCCATCAAGCGGCGGGAGTGGCTGGACAAAGTCAAACAAGATTCAACCACACTTGCCAATGAGATGGCCGTCTTCCACGAAGAAGAGGCAAAGAGGAGGCGACGCTGGCACAAGTCAATCGGGGCCATTTTTGGCCCTGAGACCCCGACGGCCGACAGTAAGGTTCCAAGTCTTGAAATCAACCTTCGGGGAGACGATGGGGAATGGCCCCTGATGACAAGAAAAGACCTGGACGACTTCTTCAACGCCCTGCGAAACCAAAAAGCCGATCCCGATCTTGTAGTCGAAATCGAAAAGCTTATTGCAGACATGGACAACCCAACAAGGCAACAGTCAAGGCGGATGAAAGCCTTCAAGAACGGAAGTGTCCACGAGACTGCTCTCGGACGGAGCGGACTGCTCGTTCGAGGTGACGATGATCTGCTCCGCTCCTTACAGGCAGACAAAACAAGGCTTGAAAGCAAACTGAAAACTGCCGAAAGCCGAGTGCGCCGGCTAGAAGATCTACTTCATCGGCAGACACAGGCTTCCCGGCCGAATATTGGCAACCTTTTCCAGAACCCTAGCCAGCAAGTTCTAGACCGTAACGACTCAACTAGCTCTCTTAGACCCCCCCGTGTTAATGACGACCGCAGGGGATCATCAGATGGACTCGAGACGCTCCTCCAACGAACACAGCAACTAGAGACCGAATTGAACACCGAGAGGGAGCGGTGCGCGGCCCTAGAGAGAGAAATCAACGCATTAACGACACTGCATAACGATCTAAAAGGCCAAATGGACGAAGCTAACTCCACCAAGAAGGATCTCTTGCAGAATATGGAAGCACTCAAGCGGGAGTTCACAGAAGAGCGAAAGTCCCTCGAAGAAGAGGTCAAGCAGCTAAAGGCCAGGCTTGAGTACACAGAAGACGAGATCGAACACTTTGGCGAGTCGCGAGAAAACGAGAAGGCATCATATGACGAAAAGGTTCACTTTCTTGAGCTCGAGGTGGAGCGGCTTACCAGGGAAAGACGGGATGAATCTCTCAAAGCGGATGGCCAGGTGGAGTTTTTGCGGAATGAAGCAAGGCTACAACGTGAGCGTATCGCGGCGCAGGATATTGAACTTCGAGCTGCCCAGGATGAGATTAGAGTGCTCAACAAGCGACTGGAAGCCGTGAGTGAGGATAAGCAAAAGCACAGACTGGCCCTGGAGGATATATGGGAACGTTTGGCGCCTGCTGATGCCGTTCCTATCGAGTTGCCTGACCTCTTGGAAGGAATCACCGGAAAGGCTGCCGATATTCTAAACACAAAGCAAGGCGTGGAGGGGGACATGTCCCTCATGAAGCTCAACGTGGACACGTTGCAAAATGACATTAGGACGCTTCGTTCGGAGATGGAATCCACCAAGGGTAGACTCATGTCGGAGGAATCGGTCTCCTTGCGCCTCCGCGAAAAATTGTCGGAAGAAAGGGCGAAAGTGGTTGCCATGGAGGGCGAACTGGCTCATGGACGTGAACAGTTATGCGAACTTCGGGTCAAAATTGCCGATGGAGAAACTGGGTCCGACTTCATGCGGAAAAAGCTAGAAGACGAGGAACAAAAGCTCGCTTCCGTGACAGAGGAACTAGCTGCTCGGCAATCCCAAGTGCAAAGTCTGGAGGAAGAGGTTACGCATTTCAAAGCAAAGCTTCACCAAACCCAGACGCAACTATCAGAACTCTCCACGCGGTTTGATGCACGTACAGAATGTGCCAAGGATCTGACACAACATCTTTGGTCACAGAACGACTGCCTTACTCGTTTGCTTGAGCGGCTTGGATTTTCCATTTCCCGTGAGGAGGATGGTACCATGCACGTTCAGAAAATACCTCGATCTGAGCGCTCATTAGCAACGACCGCGAACCCGAATGAATCAGACCCCAGCTCATCACTCCGTCGTTCCACTACGCTCAACGCCCGGCCCGTTACTGACAATGCGGACTTGGAGTTGCTGCAATGGATGAGTAGTGCAACTCCGGAGGCTGAGCTTGAAAAGTACAAGACTTTCATGGGCTCATTCGGTTCGTTCGACATGGATGTCTTTACGGATGCGGTGTACCGGCGTGTCAAAGATGTCGAGCATATGGCACGAAAGCTGCAACGAGAGGCGCGAGCGTACCGCGAGAAAGCACACAGCTTCCAGAAGGAGGCTCATGACAAGATTGCCTTCAAACACTTCAAGGAGGGCGATCTTGCTTTGTTCCTTCCTACGCGGAATCAGTCGACGGGCGCTTGGGCTGCTTTCAACGTTGGGTTTCCACACTACTTTTTACGTGAGCAGGACTCGCACCGTTTGCGCAACCGTGAATGGCTTGTTGCCCGAATCATGCGCATTCAAGAGCGGGTGGTGGATTTATCCAAATCCCTACAACATGACCAGGTAGGGGAGACGAGGAAAGATGGTGCCAGAGGAGAAACGGAGTCTCTTGATGACGATGAGAACGATAACCCGTTCGACCTTTCCGATGGCCTACGATGGTACTTGATCGAGGCTGTTGAAGACAAGTCCGGGGCCCCATCCACGCCAGGCTTGGCCAAGAGTACTGTTGCGGCAAACAATGTCGAAGCAATGGCCGACATGCGGACACAGGGGCATACCGGGTCTAGAGCACGAGGGCTCACTGGACGTGGAGGCACGCCGTCGGGAATCGAAGGCGTCAGCAAGACACTGTCCAAAAGTCTCGAGAGTCGTCGGTCCAGTACGGGTTCCAGGAAGACCCTACCGTTTGCGATTGGCGCATCGTCGAGAGGTCGTGAAAGCGCCCTCGCAAGCGAGACAAACTCCCTCCGTGCGGTTCCGGCAGACAACAACAGCTCAGCTCCATCGAGCGCAGCTCAACAACACATGTCACCCACAGACAAGATTCCAGATGCATCTCTGCAGGAAGCCCCTCAGCAAACAAACGCTATTTCAGCGGAGGGTGGTAGCGGGACCATGGCTGCAGGAAGCGATCAGGCTACTCTACAGCCATCGCAGTCTCATTCTGAGGTTCGCAACGAGATAGACTCTCTGATAGGGCCTTGAACGCATTTCAAAAACATATACTGACGGGTTGTAGGCCCGCTGCGGTCAGAATGGGGCGCGAGAACAGAATGCCACCGTTAGCAACCGTTTTAGCAAGAGTAGAATCTGGGAATCACTATGGAGTATAGACGTCAGCTGCGAGATAGGATGACAAGTAGTAAGATCGCTAGCCAGTCAGAGCTAAGGAGAGGGTTTTCTGTTGCCCTGGCTGCTTTCCTTTACATGCCAGACCACGAGTGTGCGGCAAAGCGGTGCTGTGTCGATTAGTTGCAGGCCATGAGAACTATTAGGGAGAAGATGGGGTGGGTTTTGGGATATGTTTATTATTCTGGCCCAGTATACACTTTTAAAGTAATCCAGTGAATCCATCTTCACATACATAGTTGGGGTGAGTGAACAAAACGGATGAAAGGACGGGCCAAGTCTGTTAGTGTACAAGACATATACATGGGTAGCTAAGATGCCGGCTTGAGCGTAAGGGCGTGTCTCATCCGCAACACACGACACGTTGGCTGCGTGACGTGCGCAGGCCACCTGAAAGCTGGAAGACCTTCGGTCCTCACTGGGCGCTGGGCAGGATCTCGACCGATTTGCGAACAGGCTCCAGGCCGGAACCCGCTCTAGCAACCGCGATCTCAATCTCCCATCGGCCAAGATGTCTAATGCGATCATTGTCCTCGGCCAAGCCCACTATCTTGACGCTTGATGGTCCAAGAACAATGCGGCTAGCTTCCTCATGGCCAGAAATCAGGGCCTTGATCTGGTTGAGAATATCGCTGCTCGAGACGGAGCCAAAGATGGCCCTCTGGGCCTTGTCTGTGGAAGGGGTCTCGGCCGTGGACGCCGGCGCATGCCTGGCAATTAGAGGCGAGATTTTGGGCTCCTGCGCGGGTTTCGGCTGAGGAATTGTAATCGGCACAGGTTCGCGGTGGAAGGTGAGGGTGTTAGGGACGAGCTCGGATAGCAGGGCGTGAGCAGTTTCGGGCTGTTTGCAGTCGCACGGGTTAGCACCAGCCGCTCGCCATTGAACCGCAGACAACTTGAAGCAGAAGGCTATGAAGATGAGGGAGGGAGAGAGGGAGGGTCATTACAGTAACGTCCGGAACCTTGACTTGGGGGATCTGGACTTCCGGGACTGGTTCTTCCGTCTTTTGCTCCGCAGGCTTCGGCCTGGCAGCGGCATCGAGGGCGCTCAGAATGACGAAGGAGCGGTCGACCTCGCCAATGGCGTCGCGTGTAAGACCGAGCTCTTGGAAGCGAGCAGGCGTCATGTACTCTGCCTTGTTCTTGGGGAACCACTCGTTGCGCATACGGCCGCGCTCAATGCGGAAAATAGCATCTGGATTGCAATGACGAGGTCCCGATTAGCTTGCACAGTCCAGCAAGGGGATTTTGTCCTTACGTTTGCGACCAAACTTTGGAATGTCTTCGAGCAGGCGGACAACCACGCCCTGATCTTGAAGGCGCATCCTGTGTGACGCGGCCCGAGTCTGGATGTGGACAATGGGCCGGGCCACCGGTACAGCACGAGCGCGGGGCTCGCCATGACTGGCGCCAAAGGGTTGTGCAAGTCGGCGCAAGCATGCCAGGCACGTTGGCCACTTGCTCAGCGCAGATGCCGTCATTTTGAAGTGTGGTCGACCGGCGTCGTCGGAGGAGCCGCGAGAAGATCGGGAGGCGGATTGGGTAGGTCCGGCGATTGGTCGTGGTCTGCCGTCCGGATTGCGGCCTGGCTAGGCGCGAGCTGGCGCGGGGACTGCGTGCGGTCTTCAAGGTTGCCCAAAAATTTCGGGGACGGAAGCCCCACGGCTGCGCGGCAGAGCTCCATGCCGGATGGGACCTCGATGGGCAGCCCCTGGAGCGGGACCCGGAGCTCAGGGCGCCAAGACCGCTAAAACCCCGCCAGTTAGTACATACCACTTAAGCCTCAACACACACACTTCAGTACTGCACGCGTACCTTATGTACCTACCGTAAAATCTGTCAAACTCAACATTACACTGAACGGTTAAAAGTGTCCGGCACAAATGTACATCGACAGCTATGAAGCGACTGCTGGAATTACCAAAAAGCCGTTAACGCTTCATATCATCATAGTCGATTTCATGCAACATTGTACCTATTGTATCGACATCTATCATGGTCCGAACCGGTAAAGTGAATGAGGGTTAGGGTACTTCAACTCTTCCTCTGTACTGGCATATATCATATTCTAACGAGTAAAGTAACGTCATAATATCAAGCACGGGTACTCACTCTTCTATGGATCCGGGAGCTCTACAAGAAGGATACCAACTGGCATAGAAGAATTTGCTACAGAAAGGTGCCTGCCTATCCAACTAATACTCCAAATCCCAGATGCTGATCGGCAAGACCTCGGTTCCACGACACCAACTTCCGTGCCAGCGCACATTACGGCAACTTTTGACCATGCACTGGACCGCCTTGGTCCATCCAGAGCTGCAAATCGTGCGCTACACCTTCGACAAGTTCTGACTCAAGGATACCTTCCTGCCAGCTCAGCGCAATGCTTATGGGACCCCCTATAACGCCCGAAACGCTAGCACAGAGAGCCGGCCCCGCGACTATGGCGCACTGCGACATTACAGACCGTAATATCTGCCACTTTGAACCAGAAACCGGTTCAGTGTCCTCCGGACTGCCTTGCAGCGATCCGATGTTGGACACCTCCCATGTTTGCTCCCGCCGCTTGTTCACCTTGTTGAGCCAGAAACCGCGCCAGTTGGCAACCCAGCGAAGCATACTGACCATGTCATCTTGAGGAATGGTCTCGACCCGGTCCTTGAGTTCCTGACGCAAGGTTTGAGCAAGGCTCCAAATCTTCTCTCCGCTTGCTTGCTCCCGCAGCCCCGAGACACGAGAAGAGTCGAAACTGTGCGACGCCGAAGTAACCAGTACGCCAAAGGATTCGGCGCGATCAGTCACAAGAGATCCGGACTGTACAAAGGGACGCAAGTCTATAGGAGTGCAGCTCTGAAACGACGTGGCTGTCTCTGCTGGTAAGCGTCGAGCAAGAGATGTGAGAATTAGCATATGAAGTAAAGGGGTGAGGGTGGTGCCGTTCGCCCTGCAATTGGCAAGAAGCTGTGACACAGCTTTTGCAGGGATAGTAACCAGACGGAGTCTGGTTTGGTAAGGGTCAGGTCTGATCGGTGCGCCCGTCCAAGGAAGATCGGTCGCTGGTTTGCCGAGCCAGCCCGAGGCGAGTTGGTTCAACAACGTGCCGGCAAGGAACCTCCAAGACGTGGTGAATTTGACGAGCTCCTCCTGAGGTGGCAGAATGTGCCCATGAGGCTTGCTGGGCATCCGTAGAACGTGGTCCTCTAGGCACGAGGGACGGGCTGGTTGCTTGTTCAGTTCGTCCAAGAGGCTGGCCTGGAAAATGGCTGTGCTCCTTCCATCAGCGAGAGAGTGGTGGATGGCAAGCACAATATCGATTATCAGCCTGTCTTCAAGTTGGGACGGCCGAGGATCATAGACGGCAAGCACCCTCCAGGGCGGTCGGGTTCCGACGTCAGGCCACAACTGGTTGTGTTGGGCTTCTAACATATGGAGTAGGTGTGAGTCGCGAGCATGCGAATCAAGTTCGGCAGGCAGCTCCACACATTCCAAGTGGTGAGAAAGATCCAGAGAGGACACCGAGGCAAAGTAAGGGCCAGATGCTTCATCGCCAGTGATTGCCACACTCAACCGGGGCAACCGGAGGACCAGGTTTGCAACTGCAGCCTCCAACACGTCGGGAACACTCTTGCCTTGGAGGACAGACCAAGAAACAGCATAGCGACAAGTATTGGCCAGGCACCGATAGAAGCCCAACGCGTGCCTTGAGGACGAGTAGACCTCACTGAGAACAGCGGCGGAACATAACCGTAACGATTAGCCTTGGGGTGAGCTTGTCAAGAGGGGAAAGGGTGAACCGGCTGGGAATTGAGAGGGGGCTGGGATTCAGGAAACAGGACTGGCCAATGCAGGGAGCGGACGGAGGTGGTTGAGACGGCGCAGTGCATACAGACGGAAGCAAAGGGCTGAGAGGCCATCCGATGATGGACGACATTCCACACCCTTACGCGGAGTGGCCCCGGCCACCACCCAAGGCCGACGGGATGAGGGGAAGCGGGATAGGTAGATGGCAGAGGAGGGGGGAAGGGGATGGGTTGGGATGGATTGGAAGGACATACATCGGCCCAAGAGGCCGGATCGGCTGGGGGATGTTCGTCATCTGCAATAAAGTACCACGTGTGGAAGAGGCAGTCTAATGTCTAAATCAACACTTGGTCGTGTGGGATTATGCGGTAGTGTGCGGTAGATTTAGGTTGTGGGCAGGTAAAGAGGTAGGCTCAAAAGTCTCGATGATTACTCGCTTGGTACGATGTAGGGAGAGTCATGTGAAAAATAGACAACCCGGCTGTGAAACCGCCAGGCTGTCAATCCATAAGCTTATCTACCATTCAACTCACGCGGCATTCCCTGACTGGTGTCTCAGTGTCCCTTGCCGTTATCAATGATTGAGCCTGATGAGATGCTGCCGACAGCCTCATGAATGCCGATTGCATTCGGTGTATGCAAGCCAAAGTTAGGTTGAAGACCGGGGGGCCGGGGGCCCGGGACCGGAATGGGGAAAACATTACCTCTACGTTACCTATGGTACATCGGGACCCCTGGCCCTCGCACGTGCTGTGCTAGGTACATTACCTCTCCTAGCTAGCTACCTTACCTTATGCGTACACATGGACAGTTGTACCTGCCTCAAAGTACCTGGCGCTAGTGTGCCCGCCTACCATCGCAGAGGGCGCTCGACTCTTTTGGTAGTAGGTATCTAGCTTCATCCGTCTTGCGGGTTGGCGCCGAGTGCATAGAGGTACCTCTAAAGAGAACTTTCGACCTTTTACTCTGCCAGCGGTAATGTTTCAATTTCAGCCCGATGGAGAGCAATACCTGGCACGCTGGCGTTACAACCCGAGAAAGATACCAGCTGTATTTACGTAACCTTCAAGTACCTGCACAGTACATACCTCTAGTAGGCAGGTACCTTTTAGCGTACAATTGCGATGATGCCCCACCCCACTTGCGCATCCGTCATCCGCAACAAGGTACCTTTCTCTCGAGAAGCAATTGCATCCGCGCATCTTCCATCGTCCATTCAAACGCGTCGGCACCACGATTTGCAGATCAATTGTATACGACCGGACCGGACAACGTCATGAATTCCCAGCACCTTTTCTTCTTCCTAAAATCGTGGATTTAGGCGGCAACCCGTGGTATCTCAAGCACTTCTACCCGTCCAGGTGCTGCTCACCCCAACATGCGCAACGGGAGCAGAGCACAACCTACAGCCATTTATTTGTTCGTGTCCGTCAGCCACCACCACCACCACCACCACCACCACCTTCAACACCATTCACCCCAGCTGAAACAACCCACCAACTCTCGCATGCGATAGAGATGGCTCTTTCTCCAACCTTCTGGTGACTTCAAGCGACCATCGACTTGGAAGAGTGGCCATCATTCCACAACCGACCATCTTCTACTTGCTTGCCGCTGTTCACCTCACCTTAGCGAACTTACGTCAAGCCCCTCCCATCTTTGCGCCAGTCGCGTCAGGTCGCACCCTCGATCGGCTTCGCGGCCAGTTGTTCATAATTACGGCCGCTTTCAAAACCCCGCGCGCTTGGGGGATACTGACGAGATACCCAACATCGCATTTGCAAGATGGAACGCAGCGCTTCGGATGGGCTCGATGTTCTGGCCAGCCGGGCAAACGGCCGCTTCGCGTCTTCTCGTACTGGCAACACCCCCTCACGACAGCCGAGCATGTGGTCCCTCTCAAGATTCAAATCCAAGGACAACCATGGAGCCTCCGGACGAGGCGACGCTGCCGAATCCCGTCCTGCTAGCTCTGGGTCGTCCGACTCGAAGCACGCCTCGCCCGCCATTACAAGAATTCCGCGACCAACCCAGCAGCAACGGCCCTCGCAAACACGCACCCCATACACTCTCACCGACGCCTACAAACAAGTCGAAGCCGAGGAGGCTGCTCAGAGTACTCCAAGTCCGGCCCCCCGGGCGTGGCGTACCCGCAGTAGCTCTTCCACCAGGAACAAATTGCACAAGAACCCCCCCACAACTTTCAATCGCCAGGTATCCGGCTCAGGACGTGACGAACCCTTCATGTCAGCCAGTAGCCCAGGCGCGCTTTCGCTTCAAAGCGATGTCTCTGATAGTGACATAGACGAGAAGCTGCGTCAGCACGCCATGGCACAGGCAGATGCAGAAAGGCCAGCCTCACGCGCCAACAGTATCCTATCACGGTCGAAATTTAGGAGTCTCGCCGAGATGGGTAAGGGTCTGGCTCGTAAGACGAGTCGGAGCAGCCTTGACTCTCGCAGTAAATGGCTTTCCCGCCGCCTCTCGGGTGTCCGAAACGATGCTAGCAGCGGCATTTCGACACACGAATCTCCCAGCTGGGAACAGATTGGTGACTCCGCCCTTCTTCAGGCATCTACCGTCGCGCCGGCTGAGCCCGTTACAAGACCCGCCACGGTGCCGCCTAATTACGGTGTCCACTGGACCAAGAGCTCTGAGAAGAATGCGGAAGATGATGTAGCCGCCGATGATTCCCAGACTTTCGACGGCCCTTTCCCAAATCTGGCGCGCAGCAATCCTAAAATTGACGAGATTCGACTTCTGGAGATGGAAGCAGCTTCCATGTTTCCCGGCGAGGAGCCGGGATCCGGAACACGGTCAAATCAACTGACCAGGGGCCGCGAGTCGAGCCGTACGAACGCTAAAATTGAGGAGTTGCGCGCACGAGAGAGTAGAAGCCTGCTTCGAAAGGCCCCAATCGTTTCGAAATTGGACGGCATTAGCGAGTATGATCCAGAGCACCCATCCCGACCCCCCTCCTCAGAGCTTGGTCGAAAACCGAGCAAAGAATCTGCCCGGACGAGCGCGTCCGGTGAGAGACTGCACATATCAGGTGCTCTAAGCAAGCTCCCGGTACGGAGAAGCTTGTCAAGCGGCAGGAGCCAGACACGAGATGGAGACGTGCGAGTGACGCCAGAGGAAGCCCCTACACCGGCATTTGACATAGGGGCATCCGCTGTCGTTCCTCAGGGCCAAAATGACGTTCATGACAACATACTGGAATCCGCTCGTGATAAAGAGAGTCAGGAAAGGGCTGGTACGGCTCGTCGTGATTCACATGGCGATCGAAACTCGGAAGAACTTCATCGTCAGCCACAGGCAACTGGGGACAAACCACTAACAGGAGAGGCTCTCCTGAAGGGTGAGAACCAGTCTGGTAATCAAGGTCGAGCATTGAAAGGTGCAATCAGGCAAAAGAAGCTGGACAGCGCTAAAAGCGACGTCAGGCCGAGTGTCGGTTTCGCTGGACTGCGCAGAGATCCGTCCGTTGATTCAGCCTCAGGCTGCAGGTCAAACCCAGCACAATCGGAGTCCGATCCCACGGAACGCATCTACGGCGAAATGAGCTTGTTTGCGCCGATGGAAAATCAATCCGAAAGGGGCTCCCAGCGTGCACTGTCTCCGGACTTCGATGAAGACGAGGAATATGAAGCGCCTGGCGAGACGCTTAAACCGAACAGAGCCGAAGCTTCGAAACAGTCTCTCCCAACCGCGCGCGCCTCTACCGGACCCGCAACCATGGTCAAGACTGAAGATATGGAGGAACCGTCACGTTTCGCGGTCAAACCCATGGATGATCATTTAGACGCAGAAGTCGCCGGCGGTGGAAGCACCCAAGGTCCTGACGGTGCCACGCATAGCAGAGCCTCTTCGCGTGCCCGTGGTCGGAAACGAAGTATGTCGCCTCGGAAGATAAAGCACACTCTGTCTGCTAGGGGTGACAGAACGCGTGACCGTGCATCATTGGTTCGACAGCATCGACGCTCCAAATCGCTTTCACAGTTATGCCTTCCCTTGGCCAACTCGGCCAACCCACCAACCGTGAGGGACGATCTGTTTGAAATCCATCGAACCAACCAAATTGAGGATTCTACCCTGGATGACCTAGCTGATCTACTCGAATCGAAGGACAACGTCCGTGGTCCGGCCTATTCGGCCAATGTCGTACCCAAGGCTGGTTCCAGGAACGAAACCATGGACGGGGAAAATGAAATCGAGGTCTACAAAAGAATGAGTGAATCGCTCAAGACAGGCCTCCTCGGAATCCGGACCGCGAAGTTGGGAATTGAGCGCCTGGAAACATCGGTTTTTCACGCTGATGCAAAGGATCCTGGTCACCAACACAATGGAGATGCCAGCTCAGTGTGTTCTGCCTGTCAGGATGACTCCTCTGTTGGGCATACTAAAGTGACTTATGTTCACTTACCGCTTCCCCAGTTGTATCAACGGCAGCCCAAGTTCAAGTTCACCTTGCTTGGGCTCATCCTCTTCCTTGTGTCGTTGTGGTACATTGGAGAATCAACTATGTGCTCCATGTACTGCAAACCCCAATACTGCTATCCTGGCAAGCCCTGTAACTGGTCCCCTAATGATCCGGTATGGGGATATTCGATTCCGGTCAAGCTTGACCAATGGGTTACAGGAGGGAGGGGGAAGGCTTTTGCCAACCAAGCTACGCTGGACATTACGGACTGGATTGCCGATATGTGGGATGCTGCCACTGGCACTGACATCACCAAGGTTGATACGTCTCATTACACTTGGGAGCAAAAGCGACGCCATCGAAGAAGGCTCTTGAAGAAGGGGCTGGTCAGACCCTCCAGAGAACGAAAGCGTGGCAAGGCCAGACGCGTCAGCTAAGGTGTTGTGACGATATTGGGAAGTATTGACGGAAGAGATCAAAGGAAGGTTGGTACATTCAGCCTAAGAGTGTCTTTCAAGTTGCCCGAATGATTTGCTATCAGGTCGTCAGCCGTACGAGGTCGTGTGGGATGAGCTTGCTGGCCGATCAAGGCTTTGACCCCCCTTCAAGTTATATAGAGACTATTTCCGCATCTCGGAGGACAAGGACCATGAGAATTCGTAGTAGGAAGTCAGTGAATGAACCAGTACAGGTAGGTGTAATGGTTAACGGGACCCCTGATATATGTGGAGGGTGTCGGCCAACATTTAACGTGTGATGATGAGATGAGTAATGTAGCGCTTCTTCTCCTTTTGCTATTCGAATGCACTCAAGTTCTTACTGTGTTGGTTTTCATGGCTCTCAATCATGCAGACAGACGGGAGATACGTCTTACCTGAAGATAGCATAGCCCAATGCGATCTGATACATTGGGTATGTAGCAATGTTGAACGACGCGATGCTGCACGGACGGGAGTAATCGATGGAGCCGAGAAGAATAACAATCTACCAAAATATCTACCGCTCGCTGTGCTAGGCCAAGCCTGCAATCGTGATATAGAGGCCAAGAGACCTGAGAAAACTTTCGGAAACCGTAGTCAACCGCTGGGCAGCGGACGCCTGACACTGACGCCTGACACTGCCTTCTTCTCCAACCCCCTCAATGGCAAGACCGCGCGGGTATCATTGCGATTGGATTGCAGTCCCGTGGGCATTCTTGAGCTTCTTCGATTGCAGTCCTGCAGAATACGCATCGCTGTATTTCTTGAAAGCAAGTTTGCCTATGTCCTCCCAGTTCTCCTCCACAAAGGCCCGCGTCATGTCCTTATTGTAGAATCCTTCGTCATTCCGGAGTGATACCTTGGCCATGACAATCTTCTTGATAGCACTCAACAGGCTGCCTCTAAATTGGGGATCGAGGTCATCTGGAATTGCCAATTTTATCAGGTTCTTTACTGCCTCGGGCTCCTTTTTCAGCCGCCAGTCCTTTAATTGGGCCCAATAATTGGGCTCAACGTTGAAGGTCCGGAAGGCTTCATCGCGAACGCGCACTCGGAGGTCACTGGTATCGGACACACTTTGGTGTTGCTGTTCAAACCGGCCATCAGCTCGAAGGCGAGGAAGAAAGTCGCAGAACCACTTCCGGAAGATAGGGCGGGTCTTCATGTTCCTTTTTGTGCTGCTGTTGTCCTGAGCAGGATCGGATGAGGATTCGTTGACGGTAAAAAAACGGCAGGTAGCAATGTAGTTGAACATTGCGTCAACCGTGGGAAACGGCTCGGACCAGTATCCTTCCACTTGCATCCCAAGAAAGTGCAGTACTTCAACCGGATCGGTAGTCAGTAGCACCCTGGATTTTTTTCGGTCCAGCTTCTCAATCTCGGGAATCCGGAGCCAAAGGCCTTCATCGTCAGCAGTCAGACCAAAGGGCCGGATCATGGACCCCAAGAGAGTCCACGCATCGCCATGTGCGCTTTTGAAGAGTGCCTGGCCACCAATAGGACATTGTTAGCGCTTCTCTTGTACTATAGGTGCTTCTATTCTCATCATCAAAGCTGAGGTCCTGAGGTCAAACATACCCAAAACATCTGGTCCATACTCTTACAGATGCAGATATCGACCTGGATATATCGTTGCGTGGTATCCCTATCCTCTCCAAGCTGGGAATCGTCTTTGGGCCAGGGGATAGCAAGGTGCATCGAATTAGTGTATGGGTTGACTATGGAGCGCTCTGCGTTCAAGGCTGTCTTGATATCGGCCGCAAGCTCCTCCAATCCTCTGGGAACACCATGTTGGGGAGATGTTGGAAAGACGAGGCGGGTCTCCATGACCACGAGGATGTCGAGGTCTCCATAGTCCTTCTTCTCGGGGCCCTCGATGGGTGCAGCGACGCACATGAACATGGTGCGTAGGGCAGCGTGGCATGCGGCTTTGACATGATGATAGATATGGGGCGGCATGCGTGGAGTGTATAGAGGGTCGTCCCCCGAGGAGAATATTGAGCCACCCATTTCGCGACGATTTAAGCTGTTCGATGGCGAATACTGAAAAAGAATAGCTTGAAGCTGCTGAGCAGAAGTAGGCGATGGGTCTTGAGAGGGCCTGTTAAGTAGCAAATGGATCAGCAAGAAATTCCGAGTTCGAAGATACGAGGCAATATATAGGTGAGCCGGCGCAAGTGAAGCGCAAACCTACCAGGGTCGCCTTCAACCAAAAAAGATAAGACTAGAAGTGTTCAACGTATAGATGGAATGAAATTGATTGGCCTCGGTCGGTGACGGGTACAACTAAAGCAAGTAAGGTTCAAAATGGAAGCTGAGCGGTGCCCGTTTGCCCGCAGGTTTCATTCAACCTGGTCGACAACCATTCGCCTTCACCATCCTCATCGCTCTTGCAGCCATTTTGCGAGTCTCAGGTCCAAGACATATCGGAACCTTGTACTCGTCGCCCCTGCCATCAGATCTCCGAAAACCGATTGCGAAACAATTGCCAGGAAGTGAGATGATAACAACAACCAGATGGGCGGGAAGTATGGTGATGGTTTGTTTCCATCACTAGTTTATTCTCCTAAGCCATGTATGCACTATGCGAAGGTTTTGTGGAATGTCGCTGTCACTGTGGTGGCAGTACCTAGTACCTACGTATGTCAAAGCTTCCTGCGCTGCAGGCCGCCTGCAGAGTAGGGGCCTCACGCAGTTAACATCAATACCGACCAAACCCCCATAACCGTGAACCTGCCTTTAGGTTTGTACCCAAGTCACTCGACAACAACCATTCCTCTTCTTGACATCACCACTCACTAATCTCACTCTCCCGCCTCAACGAGTACAGTCGCTCTCACTACTACTCAGTCACTCGCTCAAGTAAAGTCAGTCCCCCACCCAGCCCACCGAGTCTAGAGACGTCGCTCACTCTCCAAGTCGTCCCACCACTTGATATTTCACCTGCTGACACCTCTCCCAGCCGAGTTCCATCACACCAATCGATAATCATGGAGAACGGAGCCACGTCTCAGGGTGAGGGCAAAGACCCTTCGGGTTTCCTGAGCGAAATCATCGGCAACCCCGTCACTGTCAAACTGAATTCCGGCGTTGTCTACAAGGGTTAGTGATAGCTTTCACCTCGGCACTTGCTGTCAAACCACTGTTGTCTTCCAACTTCTTCTCTCTCGGCAGACAAATGCGGAAACTAACAGGACGCCTGGGCTGTGGCATTGGGTGGTCTAGGTGAGCTGCAATCCGTCGACGGTTACATGAACATTGCCCTGGAAAAGACAGAGGAATACATCAACGGTGTGAAGAGGCGGAGCTACGGTGATGCGTTTGTCCGCGGCAACAACGGTGCATTCCCCTTTCCCCCCCCTACGTTGGCAGAGTATCGTCTAACTCTTCTATAGTCATGTATATCTCTGCGGATTAAGACAGCCATTCGAGGGCGCAGTTGTGTGAGGGGATGAAGCTGTGATGGGACGTGAGCAAGCATACATTGATGTATGGTACCAGGGAGAACACGTGCTTGACATTCAGCTGGCTCAGACTCTTAGCTGTTCCTCCGTGCTTAGGTCAACAAAATCAACCGATCAGTCTCACATGCAAAACGACTGCTCAACATTGGGGCCACATTTGTCATCACATCACCAAGTATGCACTGGCGCAGTTGTGTTAGGGAAAGCAACTTTAGTCATTATTAAGGATCCTCTGTATTACACTGCTTGTCTGAATAACTACCAACGAAGCTCATGATCCTCAAACTCGCCAAGCGCCTTTCTCATCCTCCAAATCTGTGTCGAATAGTAACATCCACCAATCATTCCCAGCTGCAATGCCAACAAGCAGAAATCAATGACAACAATGCTCATCCGTGTTCGTTCATGGCTGTGCTCCAAATCAACCAAACCAGGGCGCCATGCTGAATGAAGGGAATGCTCCGTCGTCATGCAACACACCGACTCTCCTTCCGGGAAATCTTCCGAACTGTGTGCAGTACAAAAAGTCCGCCCATCGCGCTTAGTTAATAGCGATGCGAACGGTTTCGTGCTTCTTGGCCTTGGGAACCGTGATGGTGAGGATGCCGTTGTTAAGAGAGGCACTGACTGCGTTTTGGTCGACACGACCGGGGAAGCTGAAGCTCCGCGAGAACTCGCCAATAGAGCGCTCAGAGACCCAGTACTTTTCGGCAGGCGCCTTTGGCTTCTCCTCGGTGTGAGGTGCGCTTGGGCGTTGGGCGACTTGCTGGTTGTTCTGGTTGTTGGCGCCGGTAGCAGTGGTGGCAACCGAGCGCTTGTCCTCGTCGACGTCGTCTTCAACGGTAGCATGGTGAGAAGCAGGGCTATGCGGCTCGCCCTGTTCGGTGAGGACGCCAGCAACCTGTGCAGGAGGGGTGCCGGCGGTGTAGTTGCGCTCAACACGGCCCCTGATCACAATGGTCTGAGGGTCGGTGAACTCGATCTGAACGTTGTCACGATCAATGCCGGGGAGCTCGCCGTGCAGCTCGTATGTCTGCTCGGTTTCGCGGACATCGAACTTGGGACTGAAAGTGCGGGCGGGCTGAGTATGACGACGGCTGCCGGTCTCCGGGGCGCTGCCTTGAACCTCGCGACTGTAGGTGTCAAAGTCATCGAGGAGGCGGAAGAGGTTGGTGAAGCTGGGGTCAGAGCCGTAGGAGCCGTAGATACCACGAGGGAAGAGCGCCATTTTGGATTTAGGTGTGTAGAAAGAGTGGTGAAGAGGTTTTGTGCGTTTGCTGAGTGTAGTAGATGGCGTTGAGAGTGTTGAAGAGCGTTGAGAGCGTTGAGAGTGATTGCTTTGCTTGCGTGATGATCTTGATCTGCTGAACAGAGAACGACAAGACGAGAAGGGAGACATCTCACCCAGATTTATACTTGAGTGGGAGCATTGTTTGCTTCACATTTTACCTTGTGATGCTCTCATTCTCCTGCCTTCGCGAAGGACGAAGAAGGTGGAAGGAGCATTCGGCGCAAATACCAGGTCATTCTAGAAAGGCCACGGTAATTCACTGGAGTTCTCTTGGGGGAAGTCGCGCTTCCATGGGATAACGATCGTCTTGGGCGAGCAAGCTGCTTGACAAATGAGGCTATTCCCAAGCTCGCGTGCGAGAATGTGCGCCGCCAATCGCACGCCTTCGGGAGCAGCCTAGAAAGTTCCACACTGCACCTGGGGCAGCTTTGCTCAACTGCGTGCATGTGCACGGACCAATAAGTGGCCGCAATTCGGTTTTGGAAAGCACGCCAAGGTAACATACATATCTTTCAGAATCATTCGAACATTACACTACAAAACAACCGCTACAGACCTAGGTAACATGCATACGTTGTTGTTGCCAGCCGTGGACTACTCGGCTACATATGCAACCCGAACCAGTGGGTTAATTGCATATCGAGTACCACCACGACCATGACCAGGTACCTGCTCTCTCTCTTGGTCCTTCCACTCACAACACATGAGACCTTCCTCACACCAAAGTTCTCCTATCAAATGCTGCGCTGGCGCTGGCGCTGGGCAACTGAGTTCATGTTGAATCGGTCACAGAGGTAGTGTGGCTTCCGATTAAACTTGATATTTTCCCCATCTCTCGTTCGTCTTGCAGTTTCGAAATGGGTATCTGCATTGGGTGCAGGCCACCCTAAAACCGGAAACTGAAGACTAACGATGAGTTGGTCGTATTTTCGATGCTTTGCAACTCTTTGCCCCTGGCTCTCGAGCGTTTCCTCCTTGTAAGCATGCGGATGACAACCTCCACCAATACAATCACTGCCCATACCTAGCAAAGTAGAACCAAGTAATAACAATATGCCCGTTGAAGCTACCTAAGTCTAGTGTACTTGGTGCAACAAGCGGAATCCCAGATACACACGAGCCTGCCTCATTCGTCCCATGGCCGACGGCGATGGGGGCCGTACTCGATGTGTCTTAAGGATGATAGACTTGGGGGCGCAACGGCGGAGGGTAACCTGCCATCATGGGGGCCGGCGCGGGCATTGGAAGTGGGGATACGCCAGGAAGTGTCGTCGCCACCATGGGGTTGAAAGGATGGAGGCGGGCCACAGCAGGCATCAAACCCGGGCTCTGCGCCCGGTTGAACAGACTGATTAGCTTCCTGCCCACGGCCGGTTGCAACTCGGTTCCGTCCCGCGCAATTTTGACCTCCCGGTTCGAGTTCCATGGATTCCGCAAACCCCTGGTCCGGTAGAACGGCAGCCGTGTTGTCGACACCCATTCAAGCCTGAACGGCTTTCCCCAGGCCTTGGGCTCCCCGCCGACACCCTCCGTACTCTTGACACTCCCCGTGTCTTCTTCTGAGGCTTCCTGCAAACTGTCGTCTGTGGCAACGCCGTCCTGTTCTTGACTGGTCCGGCCCACGCCTTCGTCCTCTCTCACCACTTCCCAGAAAATGGTGCCGCGTGCCGAGTCATCAATGATGCGTCCCTTGGGCGCGAACTCGGTCGCCTCGGTAGGGATTGCTTTGGGCAAGTCAACCTCGCTTGATGGCTGGGCCTTGGGCGCAAACTCGATGGCAGCCGCCGGATCGTCGTCAATGGGCGAGGTCATGCGCGCATAGCCAAAATATTCTCCGGATTTGTTGGCCGAGAAAATCAGATAAACATTATCTGCGTTCTGCCCGCCGTGTCAGCTGCGCTCAAGCTGCCATAGTCCCATAGCTTATGGTCGGGACCTTCACACCGAACATTGGATGGACCTTCTTACCTTGAAAGCATTGTTGAGCGTTTCTTCGTTGTGCGATTGTGTGGCCCACACCTTGGTCCGCACACTCAGCTCAAGGTCCTCCACTGTCAGACTTTTGAGGACGAAGTACCGGTCCTTCTGTACTGCCATGCCATTGGGCACTGGTGCGCCGTTGCTCTTCATCTCCTCTGCATTTGAGCCCTTGGTCGGTACCGCTGCTGCTGGTTCCGTGCTGCCGTTCACTACTGTACCACCCGCGCCTTCCCAAGAGCCACCGACATTCTGTGTCGAGCTTCCGGGAGGTGTAGATGCCGCCGGACCGGTGGGTGCAGTTACACCCGAGGCTCCCTCCACCGTGCTCTTCCTCAGCCGGCTCACGAGTCGTACCGACTGAAACTTGGAGTCATGGAGTTTCTGTTGCGCCGCAGCGCATGTTTCTTCGTCTTGAAAGTTGGCAAAGGCACAGTTACTCTTTGATATAAGAAATAAGGACTCGAGGCCCGGCGCCTCCTTGACGACGTGATGGACAAGTTCCATCAAGTCGGTCTGTGGAGGGAGATTCCCTATCCAAATCGCATGTCCTAAAGAAATAGCATGGACCACGTTAGCCACTGCGTCCTGCCACAAAACTATTGCTTTCAACCACTTCGGAGCCAAGTGCTTCAAGAGGTGGCCATGGGGAACTTACCACTTTGCCTAGGCTTCCTCGGTGGCCCGCGTACCAGATTATGGCGCCCGTCCAGTGAAGCTGTTGCACAATCAGAATTTACCTCTCAACGAATACACGAGCAAACACCATCAACTTACCATTGCCTTGCCCAACGGAGCCAACGGTAGAAGCCACTTGAGCTCCATACTGCGGTTGCACCGAGCGTGTGACACCCAGCTGGGTACCTGGTGTCGCATAATGTCCCGGTATCGTCTGTCCATGAGCCTGCGGCGCCTGTCCGGCAAGAGAAGCTCCCGGTTGGTAATAGTAATGCGCATTCGGATGCGGTTGCTGGCCAACGATAACACTGCTGGAAGGGTAACCATAATCGGCTCTTTGAGGTAGGCTGACCTGCGGAGATGGCGAAATGGGTTGGCCATAATACTGTCCTATATGCTGCGACACATAGTACTGCTGCTGGTTTCCAATCCATCCAGATGTGCTCCCTTGGTTGCCGTAATGGGACATTGTCATCTGGTGAGCCATATGGGAAGATGGGCCAGCGAGGGAGTTGTAACTTGGCTGTGGGCCCGGACTGTACGGTGACGGTCTATACGGCACATGAGGAAGAGCACTGGCCATGGTCCCCATGTTGAACGGCCTTGCCCGACCGTGTCCATGTTGTGACGGTATATCCAACTGTGCAGAGAAGACATGCGGCCCGTTGCTATAATGCTGTTGCTGTTGTTGATACTCCTGCTGCTGTTGCTGCTGCTGTTGAGCGCCCGCCGGACGGTACATGAGTGCGCTCTCGGAAGTTGTTTGACCTAAATCTGGGTTGGCGGTAGCTAGTGGCGAGTCGGCTGCGGCGTCTTGTGTCGTAGACTCCGTGGACTCTGCGGACTCTGCGGACTCTGTGGGAGTGGGTTGATCTCGTATATCACCCATAAGGATGGTAATGAATACCCAACGAATCGGGTGTAGTTGGATTCTTGATTCTTCAAAACACCAAGCTCCTGGTCAGTCCAAGAAGCTAGAACACGGGCCAAAGAACCACCTGTGGTGTTCAACGATACTTAAGAGCTTCTCGAACGGACGGGAGTCAACCAACTCTCAAGACAACTCCCAGGGCAAGTAGGTAGCTCCGAAGCGTGTCGTGGCGTGGAGGGGTACCTATGGAAGTGCCAGGGCCGACTTGGGTAGTTCGGTCGTTACTCTGACAATAGCCAAGTGCGAAACGACGTTGCCGTGCACGGGAGGCTCAGGGTTCCCCGAAATGCGCCACGATGGGAGAGATTTGGCAAGTCCAATCAGGGGAGATGCCGAGCTGTTAGGTCCAGCAACGTCCAGGATGTTGTATCGATGTAGGGGAAAGAATTTAAGAAACACGACGGGCTGTGGGGGTGGGTTGTGAGGGCTCCAGAGCCCTTGCACTTCAAAACCGATGCTCGGAGCGGATCGTCGGAAGCAGGTGCCCAATGCAGAGGCAGGAATATGAGCCGGGCTCGCAGGGGGTGTCCTTAGCAGCTTGGTTGTCTTGCCTTCCCCATGTGTCAAGCTGTCCTGAACCTTGCCCTCTGGGTTCTTCCTGCCCAAGCCGGTATTTTCGAACGGCGGAAGGTATAGGCCAACAAGCCCCCGAAGCAGATGGACTTTTCGGTTGTCCGTGTAGCGGGCTAGGCCATAACAAGCAAAGGTGTACCAGCGAGGATGGGGCGGGGGAGGAGTGAAGGCAGGGTATATCAACGAGGCGATAGGGATGGTAGCCAAACACGGGGCTTTCACTTTGAAGTTCACGACGTTTTTGCAGCTTCTCTGCCCGAGGTACCACAATTTGACAAGGCTCCTGGGTCCAAGTACGTGTTATAACGTGACGATTAACAGGTGAAGTGCCGAAGGAGAGAGTGGCGTGAGACACAAGACTACAGTTGGAGGGTTTACTCTTACTCCTCCCCTGGTGGCTGGTGCTCATATTTGCCTACAAAACATGGTGCCTCGGCGGTTCATCTCCTTCTCGGAGCTAGGCCAGCTCCGAAAGGACCAATAAGCAAGCTTTGAGTAGGCAGGCGATGCCGACTGACTGGCATCCTTACACGGCCAGACTGGGAGGGAACAAGAGATCTGCACAACCAGAAAGTGGCCAAAGTCTCGGATGTCGCAATTGTTCGGCATGCAGGGCTTGTGTACATGCATCGACAGGACGGTAGAAGAGCATGCCAGATGCGGAGGTATGAAAATCATGTTCAGGATAGTGGGTATGGGGTGTTTATGGGAGGCTGAGGAGACATTGAAGGGTACCTTGGCGGCTCGGGGTGTTCGCAAAGGTGGAATGGTAACCAGTGAGACGGGTTACATGACAGGCGCCCCTTTGTCCAACGGAGATGTTGATGAAGATCTGGGCCCGACATGGACACATGAGACCCTCACTCGGCACACCGGGTTCGAGGATATGGAGCTTGATGAGTGGGAACTATTATAAAAAGAAGGCAAGATGAACAGGATGAGCGAGATGGACAGGCCATGTGGGCAAGGGCAAGATGGGTTGGGGCGTTAAACACCCTTGACGCCGCCCTGGGGGCAATGGGGGTTGAGAATCCGATTCTAAGCTCAATGGGAATCTCTAAACCGGGAATGTGGCATGCTACACTAGACATGCATCGACAGGGTCCTTTGAGCCCTGGCGATGAACCAACGGCGGAGCAAACCGTTTTTGCCACTCGACTCTCAGTGCTTGACATTCCGACTTTGCTCCAGTGTGGTGTGGTGTAGTGAAGTCCGGAATCTATTGATCGTCAGTTCCCAGTTCTGCCGGTGTAAGTCGCTTGGGTGTGAGGTTTCCTAATCAGGCAATCTCCATGTTGTGCAGTCTTGGTCTAGACCACAGGGTTCATGACAGGATTCATGCTCAGAGAAGAGGACTACCCGGCAGCCGGTTGAACTAGAGGTAGGTACTTACGACAATGGTCGCACAGAGCCGCAGCTTGCACATGCTTTGACCATGGATTCGAATTCTTGATGAACTTGGCATGGGTGCATGATATGTAGTCAACTTGGAAGATCGTGGATATAAACTGGATTATGCCTGTGACTGTGGTTTGTAATAGTAAATGCATCAAGTCACAGGTCAAGCAAGTGCACTACTCGTTCCCCTCCAACGCAATTCTCGAATCCTCACCCTTTCACGGTTTTATTCTGCCCAGCGAGGGTGGCTACTTAGCTGGTGAGAACCTGTCAAGAGGTTGGAGTGTCAAAGGCTGGCTCCGACGTCATCGAGACTCGCGGGTACCGATGACAGATCTGATACGTCTGTCGCGACCCTTTGTGTCTCCCAAACCCCATCGTGAGAACGGAATGCTCCGAGCCAGAATGACGGTTGGGGCAAGCCACAGCGGGCCAAGGTCCGGCTGCATTTACAGGAAAGATCCAGGGCAAGAGCTTGGATTGTGTCATACTCTACCATGCCGCCGGCCCGCCGGTACAGTACGCAGCTTAGCAGCATAGTAAAAGGAGACCCCTGCTAAATCGAACTATAGAAATATGTACCTCAAGGAACACTTCAACTTTAAGCGAATCAAGACTCTCCGGACACTTTTTTCCGGACGGGCGGGCAGAGGACACTCTTAACATTTCAATATTTTCTCAAAACCTTTTCTTCCCTCTCGACATTGAATCAATCAATGGCAATTGCACAAAACGCCATGTATCGTCTCTCGTAACTGTGGTTCATCTGTATCAGGAACCCCTCAATCAGGGCTCTGTACATTGTCATTGGGTCCCCAGAAGAACGTTTTGGATGACGTCGAAAGGCCCAAAATAACACCCGACGTTGGCCGAGGCGTCTTTGCCACCGCGGCGTAGTGTACACTACACTACTGCGTGCGTATTGCACTGCGCCACTTGGACTTCAAGCCACTTGTTGACAACCAACGAACCAACCGAACTGCTCAGCTGAGAGTCGATCTTGGAGCTGCCCAGCCACGTTTATCACTTTCAGTGGATCAGCTGTGGCTATTCACCAGCGATCATATGTGGCTATTCACCAGCGATCATATGTGAGGATGGACCTCGCCCGAGTTCCTTCGCCGCCATCACATCGTTGATAATCAACACATTGTTGCTTTGCGTGGGGTGACAAAGCCGTTGAGGCAGCAGGGAAAGTCTAGCGACAGTCATAGATCGCCCCTTGAATCTTTGTGTAGTATTGCATGTCGGCTTGACCAACGGTTATGTTCTTGTGCAATGAAGGCCTTGCCTTCGTGCTTGTTTTGATGTTCCGCGCCAAAACAAGCCAAGAGAACCTTAGCCGGTCGAGATAAAGCGCTCTTGACAGGCCGTAGTGTAGTGTAGTGTATAAGGAAGGCAAACGCCAAAAAAAGAAGGTCGAGAGGGATCATCCAAGTCGGGAAAGGAACATTATACAAAGGAGATGATGGGCCGGCCGCGACTGGATATCGCTCTGGTTCAATCACGTTGCGGCATGGTCAACCCAATCGCCAAGCTCAGGTTTGGGATCATGACCTTTTTAAACGGCATGCCATATGATATTTTTGCCTATAACGATCTTAAGATGATATTTTAAAAGGGTTAAGTTATTCTTGCTCACGACGAGCTACGCTTAACCTACCTAGTTTCAGCATTCTTCAGTTCTGTCTTTGACCAAATCACAGACCGGCCATAATGGAGCCAGACACTCAAAGATAGGATGGCCACGGCGTCGACAACACTCGATGGGCTTTAGCGTTGGGTTTATTTTGGGAAGGAAAAGGAGAACACTTGACCCGTATAAGCTGTAGGCCGGTTGTCTAGCGAGGCACACAGCGTGACAGGGAACGTGACACCATCAAATCGTTTAGTAGAGCGCATGGAAGGACAGAAACGAATATCATAATCTCATAACTACCTGGGCCCAATGCAATGCTTGTCTACTCCTGCAACGCCAGAAACATCCACCTGGTCGCTGGTAAACCGTGCACGCAGGAGCGAAGATAATGTGCGCAGGTAGCCTTCCTTCCACCTGGGTTTGGGCCTTGAGCCCTATTATCTGTCGATGCCGATTGGTCTACGCCATTCGATCCCCTTTGCTCCCGCCAAGCACTCTGACCGGGAAACCTCACCCGTTGCCGCTTTCAGCTCCTTTGCTCGAGAGCTTGATATGTTCGAGGCCAAAAAGCGGTTGCGATGTGCCAATGCCCAAACTGATTCAGGGTCAGATGCTGGACGTAGAGGTGCCTCCAAAAGTAAATGCACCAGCCTGGCGACCGGTCTAAATTGTCTTAGTCCTGCTTCAATGGGAGCAAGACTTCCTCGATTCCGTCCTTGGTGATGACCATCATCTGCAGGCCGTCACCGACCTCGATGTGGCGCTCAACAGCTCCGTCAAAAGCATCCTTCGCCAAAATCTCGCCCTCGAATCGTGTTAGCGGCTTGCGCTCGCGCTCCTGGAGCGCATGACCAACACCGCTGCCAGGCTCATACTGGTTCTTGAAGTTGACCTGGCTGTCCAAGAACGGCATGATCAAGCTGGCCGCCGCGCCACCAGCCCGGCACTGCTCCCTCTCGTAACTTCCAACGGGATCGTACGAATAGACGGCGCCCTTGCCCTCCTCATCCAGACCACCGAGAATGGCATAGACATAGTAGGGGAAGAAACGCTTCTGGTATAGAATGGTCGACAGACGCTGGGCGCATGCCTTGACGCTCATGGGCTTGCCGTGGCGGTAGCGGTACATCTTGCAAATAGCGTCGAGACGTTCTTTCAAGGCCTCTCCGTCCGCCATAAAGCCAACGACGGACAAGACGATGGTGGCGTCTTTCTGGTCTGCTGTGGTGCCTCCGATCTTAAACAGCTTGGGGTGGTATCGCGAGTTAATGCTGTAGCCCGATGTCAGGCGGGTGTCACCGGCCATGATGGTGAAGTCGGCGCCAGCGATGGCAAGCGTCGAGCCGCCGTTGTCCGTGTATCTGGAAGGCAAAGTCAACTGTCAGCTGCGCGATGCACACTAGCAAGGACCAGGACGCAACAACAGGTAGCAGTGCACACTTACGGATCAAAACGATGCTGCCGCGCTCCCTCGGGAGCTGCTGTCCTCGGCGCATCGTTGAAGGAATAGTTGGGCCCGTTCATGAGGGGGTTCTGACTGAACATGGCAGCCATGATGGAATTACTCCGTGGTCACAGTTGCGGGATGCTGTTGGTTGATGGATTTCAGAAGATATGAGGTCGGAGAAGCTCGTCGTTGTTTGCGAAGGATCGGGTGTCTGTCGGGGTATCGTTGGCGATGATGAGGTGGGTGGTGATGGTGATGGTCGATGATGGAGGTTGCAACTGGCAAGCACCTGAAGCTCCCGCCTAGCCCCGACCTCTGATAGCTGCACGCGTCAACGTGCAGCCGCCTGATGGCTAATGGCGGGGACAGCAGCACTGACGGTTATGGAAAGCTGACTAGTAACAGGTGCCGGTATGTTTCGTTACAAGCTTACGATACGTAATGTAAGGATCTAGAGCTAAGTTATGTCTGCATTTGATGATGGGACATGCTCGTTATGTTTATGAAGCATGTCAAACCATACCTAAAGCTGAATGCAACCGAAAGATGCAAACAAGCCATTTTGTCAGCTAGAGGTAGGCTTTCATTCTTCCACATGCTATGACAAACAGGAAATACATTGTAATGTAAATACAAATTCGCTCGTAGGGCCGCTCTGACCCTGCTTGGACCAACAAGTCAACAACGGGACGAAGGATGGAAGGTGGGGCGCTCTTGCGCGGTGCCAGCAAGGGAATAGGTTGTAAGGGAAATATAGTGGGGCTTGGCTGCCCCTGACGGCGCTGAAGCCTGGACTCCATCCACCGCTGCCATGCGGCCCTCTGACAATACAGTACGTACCGTACCCCTAAATTGGAGTGTGATATCCCGGCTCGACTCGTACTGTTTGGGCAGTTGCAACTCAACGTCAACGCGCCATCGTCCCCTTTAACGACGACTGGTCCATGTGATTCTGGCATAAACCTCCCATCTTCACCGTCATCTCCAGTGACCCTTTTGCGAAACCGAACAGAATAAGGGTCTATATCGTCCGTCTTCCAATTTCTGGCTGCATGGAAGAGAACTGGGGAAAGGTCAAGGTAGGCTCTTCATGACGACATCCCTAGAGTATAGCGGTTCTACACCACCATCACCATCATCACCTATATCATACCATCTCTACGCTTGCGCTCTGACTTCTGCTAAGGTGTATGTGATATTGCAGATTTCTTACTTGCGCCCTGCTGCGGCTACCCGTCTATCTTCCGGTGCTTTCTTGGAGGCACGGAGATCTAATACTGTAATCGAATTAACCCATATCTGCCCCTATCCGGCTCTTCAGACAACTTCAACCATCCGGCCCGTGTCGGTCTGAGCGACCACCGCTCTCTTCTTTGTTTCCCGGTCCCGGCTCCGCTGCTCGCCATGGCCCGCAATATTCGGAGCAAGGCTCTGCAACAAATCGCTGCCTTGTCGGCCTCGAACCCGGCCGCTTCCTTCGACCAGTCTGACCTTGACAAGCTATGCAGAGTCTCGGTCAAGCAAGATGGACCATCATCTCCGTCTTCGGTGCCCCCTGCTGGGCCCGATGTTTGGCGCATCCCCATGGTACAACGGCAACGCCATTCTGTCCCCCAACTTTCTGGAACAGCTCGCTGACTTGGTGTCTAGACTATCAAGGAATACGAAGTTCTTCTCGCTCTCTGCAAGGCCGCGCCCAGCTTGACGACTGCCCAGAGCGCACAGAAGCTCACTAGACACTTGGTGCCTTATCTTATGGATTCGCACTCTCAAGCCTTCGCTCTCTCGCCCTTTTCCCGAGAAGTTGAGCCCTCTCCCACCGAATCCCTCAGCTATCACGTCACCGCTGCTTTGCTAGCTCTTGGTATAAGGCACGCAACTCACGTCCAACAAGAGGTCTCTGACAGTATTTGGGCCTTCCTCAACGCCTGTGCCCATGCAACCCAGATCCTTACCGAGGCAAACTACGAGGGCCCGGCCGCACTTGACGATGCCATCCGGACCGCTACCATTACCGTTGCTCTGTTGGGCTTTTTGGACGCTGCTTGTGCGCAGGCTGATTTCTGGAAGTCTGGGGGCCGCTTGAGCCTGATCGAACGGTTGCGTGATCTACTGTCCCCGCCCTTTCTGGTGGCGGTAGAGACTGCCTTTTCCATCATTCGCAACTCGCATTCCCACGACCGTTATGCCAAAGAATGGAGGCGGTGGCTACGCCATTACGACGAGGTTGGCCGGCCGTTGGGGGCCTTGCTGCTGCAACGCAGCTTTATGAGATTGCTTGTTGCCGCCACCTCTCTCTTGGTTGCAGAGCCCGAGGCGCTACGGTCTACTCACGTACTGGACATCCTCATGTCGGGTGATGGGTTGCGTCAACCGTTGTCTGATAAAAGTGGAGATGCCGACTCCCGCTCCGTGGAAATATACGCCACGGTTGCCATGGACCAGATGAATGATCTGGAATCAAGTGCCGATTTTGACAGCCTTTCGCCCGCCAAGCAGAGACTCGCCTTTGCTGTCAAGGGGGCCGCTTTAATCAGTTATCTCAACGCGGCTACCCTGAACGAAGAGGTGGCCGACGGCGATGTCCTCATGCCCTGGCTTGAAGATACCCTTGGCGATTCCTCGAGCATGGTGGACGAGGATCTGGCTTCCATAGTGCTCAAGTCAATGGCACTGCTGTGCAGGATCATCCCCAGCTATGCCGCCAACGTCAGCCGCCTACTGCCACGCTTTATTGTCCAGGGCGGATACAGGAGCCAGACAGTGACGGTGGCTTCCAAGTGCCTCGCTTTCGTTTTGCAAATGCTCTCAAAGGATGCCGTCATTACGACTTTATACACCCTTGGGAATGTTCTGAGCCCTGGTGGTGAGCGGTCTACGGCCAACGGAATTGGCGGTGAGACTAGAAACGACACTCTCGAAGTATACGGGAACAAGCAATCGGCGGGCAGTGCAATCTCTCTTCAGCTGTCAGGCGAGGAAGAATCCTCTGCCGTTCAGGGCAATGTTGTTCAGGCCATTTGCGAAATTGCCGGTATTTGTAAGGATGTCAAGATCACCGGCCTTGCTCAATCCATGCTCGCCCAGAAGATCGTCAGGTTAAGCAGTCCTCTTGATGCCCGTATCATTACCGGTGCTGCCACTCTAGCTATTAGCGGCAGCCAGTCCGAATTCCGCAACCTGCTCAAGCACTACGCCGCTCTCGCCCACAATGCGGTGGTGGAAAACAGGGAGGGAATTTCGCTTGCCGTAAGTCAAGGCCGCTCTTTACGTCACACGCACATATGCTAACTATTATGATAGATTATGCGAGCTCGCAACTACCTTGCTTGCAACATCAATCGCGACTCTCCCCTCTACAGCATCTACCTGGAGCACTTATTGGATGGTATCATCTCCAAGGGGGATGCCCACGGTCTTCCGTCTCAAAGCGCCAAGGAGTCCGACATGGAGCTTGCCGCTCGTGAGATCGCACAACTGCTCCAACCTCTTGCCTTGTTCATGTCTACCAATGCCAACGACATTGGCTTCGGGGGTGAAGCAGATGATGATACCTATTCTATGCTTCGTGACTCGTGGTTCAACATAGTCGTCCATGGCTTTACGCCCTCGACAGACCGTGGCAAACGCTATTCGGACGAGCTTCGTGTCATGGCTATCTACTCGCCACCCCTGGTCCTGGACAGCCGCGGCGAACAAGACGAAAGTGATATTGAGCTCAACCCTATCTTACGCAGAGGCGAGAGCTCTGATCGGGAGTCATTGCAGAAGAAATATCTCTCGGAGCTGATACCGTCCCGGGCAGGTGAGATTAAGGCGCTCAGTTATCGCAAGGTGATATTCCTTAATGCCGCTTATCTCGTCGAGAGCTTGCGAGCGGATGCGGGTGACTGCACCAAGGCTCTTTCATACTTCAATGAACCGAGCATGCGCCGCGGAGAAGTCAGTCGTACGATGGACGGAATCATGGACGCCGTGATGACCCGATACCTGAAGAGGGCTCTCGGTGGCTCCAACCCGACATTCTCGGCCCAGTATGCGGCTGGCCAGCTTGCGAGAATCTTCTGCGCCTGCTGTCACCGCATAGACCGAGTCCAGCAGGCAGCTTTTGGCTGTGCAGACCGCATCATCAGGGATATCCCGTCGGCACTTTGCCAGAGGTCATCTCTGTTCGCGCTTCTTGAGCTTCTTTCCCTCATGTGGACAAGCTGTCTTGAGGCCGAGACAGATCGGTATGAACCAAGAACTATTTTCAAGTCGTCCAGGGGCAATGTTACCGTCGAACTCTCTCATGACTACCAGTTCAGGCACCTCACACTCGAAAGGCTACATCGGAAGGCAAAAGAGTGGCTCACTGGCGCTGTTAACACAGCCCCTGCCGATGTCAAAGGCCTCTTGCAAACCTATCTTTCTGAATTTGATGATGACGCTTCTTATGGTCACATGTCACTTGGCCGATCTTTTGCCGTTGACATTGGCTCAGCAATCCCTTCGACAGACCAGAGGTTGTCTTTACTTAATATGCTGGGGGATTACCGCATCAACACTGCATCTGATTTCATGGCGCAGTATACCAAGCGCCAGGAATATCGATACTCGGAGGCACTTCCAGACCGCAGCTTGGAATGGCAGGGTTTCATGCGCCCTGACAAGGCAACTTCTTCTCTCCCATCAGTGACCAGCGACAGCGCCGACGCCATAACCGCTCTTGCTCAAATTGAGAAGCGCGTTCTCAGTCGCAAAGCCACTCCGCTTACAGATGTTAGAGACATCCTACGCCGCGCTGCTGCTTTGCTCTGTCGGAGTACGAATGATGAATGCTCCATCGTTCATTATTTGGTCAGCATCCCGTTCGGAATCTTCACGAAGCAGTCTATCAAACTGGGAGTGTCTCTCTGGCTAGGCGTGATCAACGAGAACCCGCGGATGGAACCCCGAATCCTTGCCGAAATAGCCCAGCAGTGGGAATTCAGTATCCAAAAGCGACTCGGTCTTTTCAGTCCCACCATTTGCAACCCCGATCCGTTCTTTTTGAAGGAAGAGTTTGCTCCCAGCGACGCGGCATCCGTTGCAAAGCGTAAGCAACTGGTGCATAACGTTCTTGCACCTCACACCCGACTTCTGCAGTTCTTTGCAAGTCATTACAACGCTACGCGGCTTGGAAATCCAGATACCCAGCAGGTCTTCCTCCGTCTCCTGGAAGTGACTCTGACTGCGATGAAGCTCTCTCATCCTCACCCGATGGCCAGAGAGATTCGGTTCCAGACTGTACTGTTTGGATTGCGAGTTCTCGCCACGAGCACGACCATGGGAACCACGGCACAGTGGAGGCTGAAGGACCTGGTCCTTTCTGCAGGCCTTAGCTGGTTTAGCGCGCCCCCATGCTGGTCGTTCGGTAGCAATGTACTGCAGCTGAAGACAGAAATCACCCTGATATCAGACGTTCTCGTGGCTTTGAAGACGACGGCAACAGTTGGAGCACAGACCGTGGGCAAAAAGTCTTTGGCTCCCAAGGAAAGACTGTTGCAGTTGCTTCTGGAAAATGAGCAGTCACGACTGACTGTTTGGGTGCAACCGCTGGGTGAGCCGCTCAAGACGCCACATCATCTGGTCCCTCAAACAAATACGAATAAGAATCTTGTAGAGGTACGTATCGTGGATTTCAGCCGTAAGAGAACTGGAATAACTGACCGCTGCATAGGCCGCCATCTTCCCCCTTATTCGGATTGCGTGGCTCGAATCTCCTTCGTTGGCTGTGCATCTCGCTAGCAGATTCCCTTATCCGCGAGTCAAGCAAGAAGTCCGATGGCTTCTCCTGAATTTCCCTGCCAAGGCGATCAAAGAGCCCGAAGCGGTGGCGACACTTGTTGACGGCTCATTGCCCGAAGATGTTAGCTTCCAACTCAAGGTATGTACACCCGTTGGCTGCCAATGACACTAAGACTGTGTTTTTATACTCGTTGCTAACTTCTACACCTTAGTACCTTCTCTTCTGGGCCCCGGTTAACCCTATAACGTCGATAACGTTCTTCCTGCCCGCATACCGGAATCATCCTTATCTGATCCAGTACGCCATGAGGGCACTGGAAAGTCACTCTGTTGACGTGACATTCTTCTATGTCCCGCAGATCGTACAAACCCTTCGTTATGATGCTCTAGGTTACGTTGAGCGCTATATCCTCGAGACGGCCCAGTTCTCCCAACTCTTCGCGCATCAAATCATCTGGAACATGAAGGCAAACGCCTATAAAGACGAAGACGCTACAATCGTAAGTTATCTTATTTTGGATTAAGTCGGCAAAGAAATTGGTGTACTAATACGATATAGCCGGATGCAATCAAACCAACCCTCGACAAAGTCATGGGCCACATGATAGACAGTTTCTCTACCGTCGATCGTGAATTCTACGAACGCGAATTTGCCTTCTTCGATGAGGTGACAAGCATTTCGGGCAAGCTTAAGCCTTTTATCAAGAAGTCCAAGCCAGAGAAGAAGCAGAAGATCGAGGAGGAATTGCGCAACATCAAGGTTGAGGTTGGCGTCTACCTGCCCAGCAACCCGGATGGCGTGGTCATCGGCATTGATCGAAAGTCAGGCAAGCCTTTGCAGAGTCACGCAAAGGCTCCCTTCATGGCAACTTTCCGTATTCAAAAGTCCTTGGGAGGGGCGGAAGAGACTGAGGACATGATCGAAGAATCAGAAGCGGGCAACGATGATGCGGCAAAGGCCAACACCATTGAGGTGTGGCAATCGGCCATCTTCAAGGTCGGTGACGACTGTCGACAAGACGTGTTGGCCCTTCAGATGATCGCCGCCTTCAGAGGAATCTTCCAGACAGTTGGTCTTGATGTCTTCGTCTTCCCTTACCGCGTAACGGCCACAGCCCCCGGCTGCGGCGTCATCGATGTCCTTCCCAACTCCATATCTCGAGACATGCTGGGCCGAGAAGCCGTCAACGGGCTTTATGACTACTTCGTCTCCAAGTATGGCAACGAGGATTCACTCCGCTTCCAGCAAGCCCGAAACAACTTTGTCAAGAGTATGGCGGCATACTCGGTCATTTCATTCCTCCTGCAGTTCAAGGATCGGCATAACGGTAACATCATGATTGACGATGCCGGCCACATTCTTCACATTGATTTCGGTTTCTGTTTCGATATTGCCCCCGGCGGTATCAAGTTTGAGCGTGCCCCGTTCAAGCTGACATCCGAGATGCTTGCTGTCATGGGCGGCAGTCCGGATCACCAATCCTTCAAGTGGTTTGAGGAGCTGTGTATTAAAGCCTTCCTTGCTTCCCGGCAATACACGGAGAAACTGTCACAGATTGTGCTGTTGATGATGGACAGCGGATTGCCATGCTTCAAGCCAGAGAGCGTGAAGCACTTCAAGGAGCGGTTTGTGCTGGACAAGAGCGAGCGCGAGGCGGCCGACTTCATGAAGGATCTCATCAAGAAGAGTTACGCGAGCTATTCGACGGGATTGTACGACCAGTTCCAGCTTTTGACAAACGGTATCCCGTACTAAGGTTTTGGGGTTTGGTATTGATTGGGGTATTCTTTTCAAGCTATCTAATGCAATTTCTATATAATGCACGTCTAGTTCTAAAGTACCCGTACGACAGTTCCGTAATATACAATTATTCATTCTTTCGTCATCACCTGGCTTCGGTCACAGTTTGGTCTCGACTTGGCTGAGGACCGATGCAATTTTGCCCACCAGAATTGAACCGTGATTGTGTTGATTCTTGAACATCATTGTGCCCGATGTGTGGTCATCACCTTGGAAGGCAAGCAAAGTTGGTGATTTCCTCTCTTTCGACTGGCCTTGCCGCCTGATCATTCAGCCACCCATCAGGCAGCATGCGAAGCAGCCGATTATCGCCTGCTAAAGGCGTAAGTCCGTCCTTGCGCAGAGCTAAGTCTGCCAAACTCACATATGTGATTTCTGGCAGCCCATAACCTGCGGTTGCGGTTCTTGCAAACTCCCGAGACGTACCAACGCCCTCGAGCCAGCAAGCCGGGCCCACCAAGCACTGAGGACAGCCGAGACCCGGACAATGCCGGGGAGTCTATCCAACCTTCATGTGATGCCATTATTTAACTTCGCCAATGAACCGGGCTTGCCTAAGTGTGAGATGAGAACACAAGGCACACCTCAGCAAACTCCGGCGAGCTTTAGATGCTCACTGCGCCGAATCTAACTGTTGTGTTGCTGTTCCATGTGAGTTGGGAGGTTATAACTGGCATAGTCGACGTGGACAAAAGCCCTATCAACGATTGGGACAGACTCTATGACGTATTGGAGGCTTTCACTGTATCCCGCAGGTCAACCCGTCAGTCGTCAGAGAACATTCTCAACAATGGGGAGGGGGAAAGGGATTCAAAGAGTGTGTACTCACGCCAAGTCATGACTGTCCTTGAGTGACGTGCTGGCATCCAAAACAATGTCAACCTCGACGTTTAGCTTGTCTCCTGAGTGGTAGGCTTGCAAGCCCTGGATTTGCTTGATCGTCTTTGCGAAGCGCATTGTCAAGTAGAGCACTATGTTTTCGGCTTGTTAGCAAAGGAAGGAGGCGGGGAAAAGCGGACTGGACCGGACTCCTCGGCCACGGGGACAACGGCAACGGCACTTACAGATATTGCGTTGATCAGCAGTGGCGGAAAAGCCGGTCAGGTGTCTGATGTGTTCTCCGGAGGTTTGAGACCAGTTGAAGATGACCACGAGGGAAAGCAGCAAGCCTCCGAGCGCATCGAGCCACCAGATTTGACAATAGTAGCCAACTGTATCGACGAAATTGGAGGTAAGTATAAAGTGACGAGGCTGGTGATTGAAAGGGGCAAGAACTGACTTAGTGGGAAAGCGATTGAGCCGGCGTTGAAAATGACATCAGTGCTTGCATCCGCGGCCCTGGAGTTACGTATAAGCTGGTGTCTTTCATCTCAAAAGGGGCGGTCAGAAGACTGAGAGTTTTGCACTCTGATACTTACAAGGCCTGGACACTGGAGTTTTTGATGAGACGGCACCAGAGCCAGCACATGCCCTTGATGACGACGGTGCCCAACATGATGGCTATGGCTGGTACACCACTTTGCAAAGACGGGTATTAGCATCAGAAAACCTAAGAAAAGGCCTGAATAGGTGAATAGAGGTAGGGACTGAGGATGCATACAGTTGAATGACCTCACGGTCATTTGACATAAGACGTTGAATAGCCTCAAGAGCGACCTGGGCAAACGACGTGATCATGATAACGGAGAAGACAAGCACGCCAATAGGCTCCAGTCTTCTTCGCCCGATGGGATATCGATACTGGTCTTGCCGGCTGATCAACCAGGTAGTGATCCATACGATGGCAGTCGACAGAAAGTCAAGAATCGCGTCCACCAAACTTGCCAACACTGAGACTGATGGGACGGTCAGGACTACGGCGAGTTTGCCGGCTAGGAGGATAGCGTTGGCTGCAAAGTTGATGTAAATAGCCAAGGTAACGATGGAGGCGGAGCTGTCAACATCGTCATCCTCAAGCCATGGGATCTCAGGCCGTGTCTCCTGACTGGCGACTTGGTCACACTCATCATCGTCGACGGCGTTGCTACCATCGCTGAATAGAGGCGTGGTCTCGGTTGGCCGGTAGATGTCCTTGGGCGTCCGCTTGACCTTACGAGCCTTGGAGACCGTTGGGGCGGGCTCTGCAGTGGCACCGTTGGTTGGCCGCGGTGTGGTAGCAGGAGCCTCAAGATCTCCGCGGAAAGCCCATGGCGGGAGGTCGTTGTATTCGTTGAGCAGGTCATGAGGTAAGGAGGAATCCAGAAGCTTATCAATGTACAGGTACTGCTGGACAAGGTAGTTGCAACGCTCATAGTATTCACGGCTACAACAAGGCGTCAGTGTCTAGCGGCTTAAGCAATGATGCGGGCAACACTAACATGGGCTTTTTCATGGTGGCCAGCTCATCTTCAATCTTCCAATACCTTTCCCATCGATATCGAGGATTGCTGTTTCCGATCAGGCGCATGCTGCGCATATGAGGCCCGTTGAGAACAGCGCTCATGCGCCGCTCATCCCGGCGTGGAGGCTCATCTTCCACTGGTCTCCGTTCCGCCCCAAGCCCTGCAAGAGCCTCTTCATCGTCACGGGCAAAAGGGTTCAGAGGGTTTGGTAGTGATACGCCAGGCCGGTTTCTGATGAGCGCTGCCAGCGCGCTATGTCCTTTAGGTGCCGGTGGTTGTGGCTCTTGCAGGCAGAGAAATGAACCGCTGCGGCCGCCCGGGTGTGAGTGTGAGTAGTGGTAGTTTCCTGGAGATGCCATTCCGCTGTTGCCGTTGTTGACTTTGGAAAGTACAATGGTGGGGAGAAAATATGTTGAAGGAAGGAGGACCGGATCAAAGGATAAAATCAGAAACGGAAAGATAAGGCTGAGAGACAAGGGTGCTTGTTGAAGAGAAGATGAAACAAACAATGGATCCAGACCCAAGTAAACAAGACCATTGATGGGCGATCAATGAGCAAGGTGGACTGAAAAAAAAGGATGTTTGTAGGCGAATCAAAAATTTTATGCACTTGAGCAGTTGAGGGCATTCACTTTTCACTCATGTTATTTTTGATTTTTTTAATGTGGTTTTCCCCATGGCGCCGTCAATGGATCCGTGTATCCAGGTCCATTGCGGCGAACTTGATTGTCGTTGTCGAGTCAGCAATTGGCGACGATGCATTCTCGGCCGCCGCGCTTGATACACGATCTCTATCTCTTCCGGACGGCATACAGTCTCATGCCGTCATGGCACCGAGTAGCCCGAGGTAGCTCAAGAAGTATGGAAGCCGGGATTGGTGCTCCGAGTATGGTAGCACGGCGAACATGGGTATGGAACGATAGGCAGGCTCGGCAGGCACGGTAGCAGATAGAAGTGCCTTTCAAAACCTGATCTGTGTGAAGTCTTTTTCTTCTTCTCATTCGACGACGAGCTCGAAGCCCCGAGGAGTTGGTTGTTCCAGCCTCGAGCCCGTGGATCCATGGCACTCTGCACGGTCGGAGGGTGAAACACTTGTAGTAGGAAACGAGGCATGGGGTTCACCAACTGGAAACATCATGTAGAGTGCTACCTCCTTGCACCCCGCAAAAACGCCTTCCGTCCTGCAGAAAGGTCATCTGTACCGGTCTTGGTAAAGTGAGTTGAGTCGCGATGCCGTGCGTTCGAGTTCTGTAGTGTACTGGCATGTCCATATTCGGAATGGAACCTGAATGGAACTCAAAACTCCCGATCTGCAGCGGGCGCCAGGCACCGTCACGCTACACACACTGTGCACCAACCTACCTTGCCGGCCTCTGGGAAACCGCCGACGTCAGCGTCAGGCGGGTGACATGCCGGGGCCAGGTCGGATGAGGAGCCCTCTCCGGCGGCCTATACGTTCGTTCGTTCGCAGCTGCACAGTCCCAACAGCACACCGTTCCCGCTCCCGCAAGTTCGTCCCATAAAGTCAGATGCGCCTTCGTTCTGGCCCTGATGAGGACAGCCAGTTCCAGATTCACAAATCCAAAGCGGCATGCGGAATTCAAAGGCGACCTTCAATATCCGTGACCGCAATCTGCTTGGCGTTGCGAGGCTATCCATCGACGAGTGTTCCTCGCTGACAGTCTCTCCAACATACATTCACAGCGCCTGCAATCGACAGTGCTGCACTGCACTGTACTGCACTGCACCACACCGCACCACACATGTCTGGGTCATGTCCTGCAAATTGTCCCGGATGCCGGGGAGGGAGGTTGTCTCAGGGGCATTTGCCTGGCAGAATGGCCGAATTCCAGGAAAGTGTCTTTACCGCAAGACGACATTCGCATGTGCAAGGAATATATACCCCATACTTTGGAAGAATACCTAACGGGTGGGCCAGCTTGTTCACCGTTTTCACCTTCAAAGTCCCCCGGTCTGTATCCCCCCCGGCCGTCTGGCGAGGGATTCGTTCTTGGGGAGTGCTGCCGTGGTAGGAGAGTTTTAAGCCTGAAAGCCAGTGTGGTCACAGCCATAGCAGTGTTACCGGTCACAACACAAGAAAACGTGTTCCTGCGGAATCAAGTGGTGTATATACGATGCGCTCGGGCTCAAAACCCGTATAAAGATTCTGTATCTGTGGGACGGCCGTGGGGAATGGGCGGGCAACGACGAAAAGAGTGAGACAACAGCCCCTGTCATTGGGGACAACAGAAACATCATGTCGAGCGAAATCTCACAAGCGAAGGACAATTCCCATTTAGTCCGATAGGACCATGAGCACGTGAACTCACTCACTCCTTGTCCCTTCAGTGCTCCCTTCACTTGGCGTGTTCAATTACACAGCTCGGAGTCGCGGTGAAGGAATATTGTGCTAATATATCGAGACATAATATTACTTGCCTCCATGTTCCCGGGCCTGGTACATACGCTACATACCTTATAGACGTGCGTCAAGTCCAGCGAATAGAATGATGGACCATGTGCACTGACGAGACTGGTTTACCGATCCATCATGTGTAAACAAATGCCGGCCTGAGGCTGCAAATCAATCATGTTAAATACCCAAAAGAGCAAAAGTGTTAAGACGGATACGTAGGTCTTGGGAGATCCTTTCCGCGTCCCCAGTCCAGGCACATGGCAGCGCCCGCTGAAAACGAAAGATTCAACAACGGAGCAACGGGGCTACCCAATTTTGGATATGTACCCACCAATTTACTAGGTGGCCCAGCAGGCCCATGCCGCTCATGCATCCACACATTCTCGTGGACGTCATGCACGTGTTGCTTGGTAAAGATCCTCGCCGGCTTCTTGCGGTGCCTGTTAACTGCCATGAAGCAGGCCATGTGCTTGCGTTTTGTCGTATCCCCGACCTTAGAATTTCATGGTTCCCTCCCAACTCTGCGTGTTCCGAGTTCACAGCAGGACCTCCAAAACACCGTTTGATGCTCGCCAAGATGTTCCGAGGGAGCACACTGAAAGGGAACGAGGTTTCCTCTGTGGACACGGGTGGGATGGGATCCATCCAGATCCATCCAGATCCATACCAGACCCATTGGACCTGACAGCTCGACAAGGGATGGGGCGGGACCGGAGCCAAGTATAGCGACCTGAGGACCAAGCCGTTGATGAGCTGCTGAGCCCGCTCTGCTGAGGTGATGACCGTGATGGATGACCGCCAATTCCAGACAGATTGGGCCAGCGAGCCAGAAGAAGAAACCCAGAAGCTGGAAAGGGAACTTGAAGGGAGAGAAACAGAGGATGAAGAAGATGATCAAGCCAAACAAGGGGGTGAGTGGTGACAAGTGAGAAGCTGTCGGGCGAGTCGCCAACGAAGGGCGCTATTCTCGCCGTCACCTCGCCATCGCCAGTTAGTGCCTGTGAAGTCCTCCGACTCCCCACTTCGTAATTGTCCAAGACCCGTTAACCCATGTCATGGCATCCATCCATTTTGGTGCCATGTAATACTCTGCAAGAATTGTAAGGTAATGTAGAGGTCGTCAGAACGCGTGTACTACCCTAGAAGTCGTGCTGTATGTAGATGGTAGAACGGGTAAAATAGAAAGGGAAGAAAAAAAAAAGTCTCCAGTTTCTTTTCCAGATTCTTCTGCCTGCGGGCTAACTCGGGCTGTTCCACTCTTGTCGCTACCGGGGGTGGTGCTCTTCAGTTCGTGTTTTGATCTCCATATCCATCAGCCCATTGTTTCTGCTCTCTCTCGGTTTCTTTTCCTTGTGAAAACTTCAACCACTACCTCTTTTTTTTTTTCGAGCTGCTCTACCGTGTCTCACGTATCTACATCCAGACGTTCCATTTGCGTGCTTCACCAACAAGGAAACCTGAACGGTACCTTAACAACCTGGACCCGACAGCCCACCAGCAACAACAGGACCTGGAGGGCAAATAACAGAAAACACTGCCCCAATTACCAACTGCGTTTACGCACCACGCCGGCCCACCAATCGTGTCAATCGGCCAATCTCCCCTATTTTGCACTCTGTACCTGATCCCATTTCGTCTCTTTAGTTCTTCTTCTGTTTTCCCCTTCTTCATTCTCTTTTGGATTTTGACTTTTTCACTTTTGGGAATCCGTCTTCCCTTTCCGCCGTGCATCTTCAGACCTCCCGTCTTCAGTCGCCCCGACCTCTCTCCACTTTGATTGACCGACGCCTCCCCCCGAGTCGAGACTCCCGTCGACGCCGGCTCACCCATCGCCCAAACAATTTTTTTCGATTTTCGGGGAACCCCCTTGGCCAACGCTCGTTGTTGGGTGCTGTTTGTCAGAACTGCAGATCCAACCGGCAAGACCACCGACGACTGTCATACGCATTTCCGCAAGCCTTCTTGACACATACAGAAAAGAGTGTAGTGTCAAGAAAAGACCGACCAGACTACGAGACATATGCCACAAATCTGTCTTTTCCCCTAGTTCCGTAAGTGCAAACTTTTTGTCTCTCGTTGGGTCTGACGGCGGCTGTAGTTTGCTGCCGGTACGCATTACTTAACATGCCACCAATTATGCACCTGGAGTGCCTGGAGTGCCTGGCATTTTCCACCCCATGCCCCCTTTGAATGCGCCTGGGATCAGGACAGGCAGGGCGGGCATACAAGGACGCGCCGCCATGTCTGCTCGTACCTGCTGCGCCGCTCCCGCATTGATTTGGGTTGCGCCAGTGCCAATGGATGTCACCCTGTCACCTGAAGAGTCCAAGCCAGCCCCGGGGCCCCGGGAGTTGGGGATTGGCGATTGGCGATAGAAATTGACGGAATCGTCCTCCTTCCCGACCTCCAGCACCGCGCGTCGGTTTCCCCTACTGGCACAAGACTCTCCCACGACAGTCAAGCTCCATGCGACACGTCGGGCACTCGCATTGATGCACTCACCTCTTGTCGTCCGCTGCTAACCTTGGCCCTCTTTATTCTGCAGGTTGCCGATATCTTTCATCCCTAGTGCGCTCCGCCATCGAGGAGGAGAAACCGAATTTCGACCTACAGAAAGATATCGCTTTACCAGGCCAGCAGCGTTCGTCACCGGCGCCTTCTTACGACACCCAGAGCCCGTCAAGCCGCTGCTAAATCGCAGTTCGCGCGTCGGAGCAACAAAAAGAGGCTATAACCCTCTTTAACGGGCCTGACTGTGCGGATTTAAAAGGGCGTTTGTTGTTGTATAGCCGGTTGAGGAACCCGCCCTGGACATCTATATGCCTAGGTTCTCGGTCGCGTTCGGAAGGCGGAAGTCGACCGCTGAAAACGCTGACAATGCTCCGGCAGAGCCGTCCTTTCGTGTTCTGGAGCGCCCCGATGCTGGCGGGAACAAATCCCATGAGGCTGGCAAGTCTTTCGATGGGACCATGAGGTTGGGAGGCAACTTGAAAACCCCTTCCAGGCCCAAAACCAGCGGCAGCGATATACATCACGACAACTTGTTCGCCGGCATCAACAGGTAAGAGCAGAGTCATTGCTTTCCTCCCGCTGACACCCGCCCAACCCTGGTCCTTTCCCTCCTTGCCCTGCCGGGTGTCGAGATTCCTTCTTTGTCCCCATGTGGCCGTGTTCGCGGTCGTTCCTGCTTTATACCCTCACCAGGTCTCTTCCTGCTGCTGAGTTAACTGGCTAACCGCCTAAAGGGGAAGCGCATCCTCGAGCACCACCAAGGGCACGTCGACTGACAACTCCTCGCGCCATAGCAACTCTTCCACTGCCCCATCATCCGCTGATTCTGGCGATGTACCAGTGCCGCCTATTCCCAAGTCTTCTTCGGCTGGATTCTTGAAGGCTGCCGGTCGAACATTCTCTTTCGGGGGAGGAAAGAAGCCTCTACCCATGGTACCGGCTGAACAAGAGCCAGTCCCGCAGCTGAGTTCCGAAGTCCAGGATTATAATCAAGTCTTGGCGCCTACTAGACCAAGGGCTACAACTACTTCAACCTCGACGACCGTAACACCACCCAGAGTGGACGACGACCTTGGTATGGATTTGGGGGGTGACTTTGCGAAGATAATGCTTGGAAACGAGAAAAAAGCCTCCATGGTGGGCAACCAGAACAACCAGGCTACACAACCCAGTTTGGGACCGAGATCCTTGACTGGAAACCGTCTTAGCCAGCCGTCGCCTATTCAGGTTGACAGAACCGCAAAGGTTGAGCCCGCGCAACCGTCGTGGACTAGCCAACACTCCAGCGACCAGCTGCTCTCGCCAACCAGCCCTCCCCATCCGCCCCGTAACAGGGAGATGACCTCTCCTCCGTCTCGCCATATGCCGCCTTTGGCTCGCGCCTCCCCAGAATCAAACCCTAGAAAGCCGCTGCTCGCGCATCAGAACTCGGACACGGAACAGGGTGAGGGCGAAGATGAGGAGGCAAGGCTTTTGATGGATTCGTTATCCACTGTGAGCAAATATATGGATGAAGGGGCTGCGCAATCCAGACCTGGCGCCTCTTCTGGTTCACGGTACCGCAGGGGTGGAAACGGTCTGCCCTCTGGGTTCAAGGACACTTCTCTGGGTGATGACGATAGCCTTTTCGACACCAACCACAGCTACGCATACGAAACAACAGCGAGCCGCAGCCGTGCCCAAAACTCGCAGTCACAAGGGGCCAACAAGGTCATGACTCCGGCCGAGTTTGAGAAGTATCGCAAGGACAAGGAACGTCAGGACAGGGAGCGACAAATGGAGATTTCAAGAAACCAGGACAAGAGCGCCGCTGGTGAGGAAGACGAAGAGGACAACTACGATGATGAGGAGGATGATTTGGAAAAGGCAAAGCAGCAAGCAAAGCAGAGGAAGAAGCAAGAAGCCCACATGGCCGTTTACCGACAGCAGATGATGAAAGTAACTGGAGAGTCGGCAAACGCACCCATGCCACGGCCTAACCTCCCAATGTCTTTCAGCACTCCAAATCTAAATCTGCAGAATCCTGCGACAGGACCAGCCACGTCAGATAATTCCGAGGACGACGAGGAAGTTCCCTTGGCGATTCTCGCCGCCCATGGATTCCCTAACAAGAACCGGCCTCCGACCCGTTTGAGCACCATGATGTCGAACCCTAACCTCCGCGCCGCTCAGGAACCTAGCTATCAACGGCCAGGGTCTGCAGCTGGCGGAGCAGCGGCAGCGGCAGGCGGTCACCTCCCAGCTTTTGCCAGGAACCTGCCTCAAGACCCCTTCCTCGGTGCCGGTCTTGTTCGCAACAATCCGCGCGAGAACTTTGCCCTAGGAGGAGGAAGCCCTGCTCCCATTCATCCCAGTCCGGCCGGTCCTCCCGGTGGTCTAATTGGCGTCATTGCAAGCGAAGAAAGAGCGAGGGCGATGAGACGAGGCAGCCCTCATATACCAGAACAACGGCCCATTTCTGGTGCTGCCACCTTTGACCCTATTGCCGGCATTCCTCCGCACATGATGTACCCCAATAAGCCCAGCCTGACGCCTGGGGACCAAGCCCAAATTCAGATGACCCAGCAGATGCAGCAGTTCATGCAGATGCAGATGCAATTCATGCAGATGATGGCGGGCCAGAACGGTACTGGGGCACCGCGTCCAGAAGGGCATATGGCCACAGGTTCAATTGGAAGCATAGGCTCCGCGGCCGGCATGCCTGGCGCGTTCGCCGGATTGCCGCCGATGCCTGGTGTTCCCGGTGGCCTAGGACTTGGCGGACCTGATATGCGTCATTCTTTCATGGGTAATGAGTCGATGCTTGATCTGCCTCCCTCTCGAGGCGATGCCCAGATGCGCACCATGAGCATGGTCCAGCCCAGCTCGGCATCCTGGATTCATCCTCAACAGCCTGCTGGCTTTGCACCGTCGATTCGGGTCACAGGTGGTGGTTACACGCCTTCGATTGCGCCTTCGGAACGCAGCAACGTTGGACTTCCTGGTCGATACCGGCCCGTATCACAAGCGGCACCTCCAGCTCAACCAACAATGCCGGCGACTGTGCAGCCGTTGGGTGCGAGCCATATGCGCAAGTCCTCGACCATGTCGGGGGTCAACCAACCTACTGTTACCGTGAAGCAGTCTGGCAGTGCTTCGGATGACGACGACGATGAGCAAGGATGGGAAGCCATGAAGGCCAAACGCGAGAAGAAGAGGTCGCTGTGGAAGAGGAAGAAGTCAGTGAGTGGCGATGTCGGCACACTTATCATGTGAACGTGATATGCCCTGTGCCAGGGACCGTTGGGGTTTCTGAGACCGAAGTTGGATAGTGGTTGGGCAGTTTGTTTCTTGGATCTCGGGCTCCGCGTGACAAGAAGGAAAGACGGGGGATGTAAGTTGAGGTTCGAACATATTGTGTATATGCGCATCACTTTAAAAAGGGGGGTTTTTGTATACTGGGTGAGATGGGAGTTCAATTGCCTGCTATTTTTATTCATTCGAACTGCTTGGGGGACGATTCACGATAGACCTATACAACCCATCAGTAATCTAGTAATTCCAAATGTCACGCATGGTCAAATATTCGATACCTCGTCCACGTCGTCACGGCAGGTGAAGTATGGATTACTCAAGTCAAGCTGGGATGGTGTTTCCTTTGTCGAAGCGCGGTGCATCTCTCATCGGCGCGAAACCCGCCCTCCGACTGTGCATAGTTATCGTCACGGGCAGCATCAATCGTGTCACAAAGTGCTCTTGGTCGCTTCCCTTTCCCCACGTCTTAAGGGACGAACAAGCCGGGCCAGAAAGTAGTCCCAGGCATGTTTGCTATGTGCTCCCATACATGATCTTTTTTCTTTATATGAAGCTTATATAGCTTATATGACTGTTTCTGTATTGTTTGTATGTCTTCTCTTTTTAAATGCCTTCCCAACCCGCATGATCGACCGTTACTCGATCTTGCCAGCAGCCCAATCCTTGCGCTTGACAGACATCTCGACAGCAGCGAGACCCCAGTCCTCGCCGTGGTTATGGCTTCCCGGGATGAGGCCGGCCCTCGCCTGCGCCTGCTCCTCGGTGAGCACGGTCAGGACGCCAAAGATGACGGGCACGCCCGTGTCGAGCGAGACGCGCATCAGGCCCTGCGACACCGTGTCGGCAATGTACTCGAAGTGCATCGTCTCGCCCTTGATCAGCACGCCAATGGCGATCAGGGCGTCGAACGGTTGCGTCGACACCGCGGACGCGGCGGTGTTGCTCAAAGAGGCGAGGTCGGCTGTCGAGCTGCCGAGGAGGTCGCCGGCGCTGGTGCCGACGCCGGATGAGGAGGATTGGACTTGCGATGCTGAGTAGAGGCTGTTGGAATGGTGAGACCCGAGGGTGGGTTGGGTTCTTGTCAGCCGGGCTTTCTTTACAAGCTTGTACGTAGGGCAGAACCTTTCTTCGAGTCGCGCGCGCAAGGGGTGGTGTAGAGAGGGGAAGAGGTAGCTGGCAAGCAGCATGGAAGCAGCTACAGGCAAGGCAAGCAAGCAATGCGGGGGCGGGGAAGAAGGGAAGAAGGCTGGACTGTGACGCACCGTTGGACAGCAATTGGGAGCTCCCACGAGCCAGGAACCGACTGGACCACAATGTTGGACTCCTTGACGCCGCACTCGAGCAACTTGGCCTTGGTTCCCGCGAGCAGAGGCTCAATGATGGTGTCGTTCCAGCGGGCGTGGATGATGCCGATGCGCAGGCCACTGCCATCGTGGTGCTGCGGGGCGGGTCCCTTGGTATGTACCATTGTGTAGGTATGTGTGTGTGTCTGAGGAACTGGTCTGGTGTAAACGATCCGCGGTTCTTGCGATAAGTTGCGCTTTCGGCTTTCCTTTGTGACGAGCTTGGAGTTGGTGTTTTGTCTAGAGCTTGTGATACCCGGGGAGGAGGGGAACCTACACTAGCGGGAAGCATGAAAGTTGGTTGGTACGGACGCTACGGGCTCAGGTACGGAGCATCCAATTTACAGCACCATACATACCATAGCTCAACCTAACCGTACATGTCCACCTCTAGCAGGGATGTATCTGCTATTCCAGAACTTCACATCGGTACAAAGGAGCGGCTCACACCCACGGCAACATGGGGTCTCACGTCTGAATAAGCATAGAGGTAACGTTGGAAGAGAGTCAGCGGCTGGTCCCACCCCAAGGCGAAGCGGTTAGTTTCCCGTGGAAGTCAAGACAGGGCTTACCTTTCACGTTACCGTGATGCCGTCCTTCGTCGCCTTACGGCTAACCTCACGTATACGTATGAGGAGTTTCCAAGATATTTTCCACTTCATATCTGATGTGGCAAATTCGGTGGAGAGAATAGGTCTTCCTCCCGATGACACTTTCAATGGGCCGCGTAGGTATCACAGGTATGTATCAGGCCTTGGTGAGAATGAACTCCCCCCGTCTCTGAGCGTTGTGTGAGCGAGAATGACCAACCTCTTTACACCTTCAGCTTTGAGTCTCGTGATATCCCCGTCAGTCATCCTACATACTCTCGTCTCGAGGTCGTCAGTGAGGCTCAAGACAGTTTCTTCAACCCTAACTGCGTGGCAGGTCAATCCGGCAGCTGGACAGTCTCCTCAAGTTTGGTGTTAGTGCGTTGGTGTCAGTCAACTCGTGGTCCTTAACCTTGCGTTAGCGTAACCAGCGGACAAAGGTGTCAGCTCTATGTCTTGGCTGTACAATAATGTTAGTGCAAATCATGCTTGGCACTGGAACGAGACGACAACCAACCACGACCCAAACAAGGACAAACACCGTTCTAAATCAAGTAGGTATTCATATACCGACCGTTTGTGGTCCACCTTGCCGTTGAGAGTATAGGTATGTCGCAGATTAGAGATATGCGCATTTATTTATCTTGAGAGACGGTGTGCTAACCAGTCAAGTCAGGTGTTGCAATCTGATCCGTCACGAACGGTGGGAAAGGATAAATGAAGATTTAGAGATAGGTTGAAGCGAGGGCCTGGCTTCTTCAATCCTACAGCGGCACGACCCGGCGAGAACCAGAAATATCAGAAAGAATGAGAGACGGCTTTCACCACATACTGGTTAACCCGTCCGGTGGAGTTCAAGGAGCTTCCACGGGTCGCCGTACGGCCGAGGACACTGAGCCGCTGATGATGTGGATGAATTTCAAGTATTGCTACCCTTGCGTCGTTGAGGATGGAAGTCATTTCTGTTGGTCATGGCCGGGCGGTTGGGGATTAATTCTGCGTTTTCGATCCTGGCAGGTGCTCGCCTTACACCAAACGGGCTGACGAAGACTGGTTTGCCTACTTCCACCTCCCCAAGTCCAGATGAAATCTGCATCTAGGCCCCAACAAGCCGAGAAAGAAGGCCCTAGAACGAATGTTATCCCATCTCAAAGTGATGGCCCTGGGCCAGAACGCAAGATGAATGCGGTCGGTCACTCAAAAGTGGAAACCGGGTGGATGAAATAGAAAAACGGCACGCGATGGATGGAACTGTTGTTTGCTCGTCCTGGTGAATATGATGGATCTAGAACTTTGTTGGGACGGTAATTCCATAACGGCTGGGTCGTTTGAATAGAAGTGTTGAGGATCATCCTCAAGCTCGTTGCCCTCCAAGTATAAAAGATAGGGTCTGCCCTCATTTTTCGAGGCGTCTGGAATTCCTCTCCTCATCACCTTCCCTATTCCTGTCTTTACGAGCCGTTCACTGCCAGCTTTCTTCCTTGCTCTCACCTCCAACTCAACCCTATTGTCAACATCGGCACCATGCGATCCTCAGCCTTCGTCTCCGGAGCCATTCTGGCCATGCTTCAGGTACGAACTCCCGTTGGCAAGCTTCTGACTCCTTTCCGCACACAAACGTACTGATACTCGGATGTTAGGCCATTCCTTCCGGCGCCCTGCCGGCTAGTGATGCCAAATCGGCCCAGGGCCCCATTCCCGGTTACGGTATCCGGGATATTACCTGGGAAGTCAAGGCTCACCCGGATGGCCCTACCATGAACGTGACCGGCACCATTCAGCAGGTTTACGATGCCCTGGACAAGGCCAACCCCAACTTCCGTCAGGACTTTGGCATCAACAACACCGCCGACAACTCTGTGCTCGCTGCGACCACGGAGTCCGACAGCTCTTACGAGCTCCAGTCGCTTGTCTGCAATGTGTTCGATTATGCCCAGAGGACTGCTACCACGAAGGGCGTCGAGTACCTCAACAGTGTCCCCGGTTCGCCTGCCAACGGACCCGGCCCCGGCAACTGCGGGCGCGTTAGCTGCTCATATGAGAGCGCTATCTATTGGTGCAATGATGTAAGTGATATCTTTGGGGTGATGAAGACGACTCTCCGATGTTTGACACAGTTGCTAACCTTACTCGTCGCCTTACAGAACCCGGACGTCATGTCACTCGACTCGTACGGCTCCATTAGTTGGGCTGTCCAGTTTGTTCTGGACTCAGACAACAGCGACTGCGGCAAGATTTGGGGCGAACTCGCTGAGGACGACGGCGTCAAGGGCCAGGTCTTCCTTAAGGGCAACTGGAACGTTGTCGTCCGCAAGGATGAGTGCTAAAATGCATGCCCATGGTGCATACCCGAGGGGTCGACACAGGTATAGATGTCATGGATGTAGGCATCCCCAGTGGGCCATGAACCTCAAGCGAGGAGTGGAAGGAGGCAGAAGACGTGTGTCCTGTGTGTGCTGGAGTTTGTGAGGAAGGAACAACCTTTGCGTTAGGCTTATGAGCCATTCTACCTACCTAATAACTAATCCACATTCCGTCTCGCAACTTCCCTTTCAGATGTTTGAGCAGTCACTCCTTCTGTTTTTGCCATGTCCTATGAGATTCATTTCACTTCTTTCTGCCGAGCTGCCGACTCCTCAAAATTTGTTGTCCCCTTCCGAATTGTCTTTGCATTCGAGTCGGTTTCAGTGGCATCATCATCTGTCTTCGACCACATTCTCCTCACTACAACATAGCTAGGAGGAAGGGAGAGAGCACTGCATCTCCAACTGAACCAGTCATGCTGGTTTACCTCTAACCTTACGTATGTTTTCTTCTGCAACCCCCCTCATTCCTTTACGCCATTATTTATCGTTGTGTGACGCTCAGGTGGTCAAATCCGCCTCCTATCCGTAGACCCATCCTTAGAATTGTCCCTGGAGTTTCCACGATGCCCATATCCCCTCTTCCCGAAGACACCAGTCGTTTACTTGGCTCAACTCTGGTCATAACCTCGCCCCTCTTTCTCGTCAAAGAGTTGCTGGATAATGCAATCGACGCCGGAGCAACAGCAGTCGATATCTTGATTTCTCCAAACACCCTGGATAAGGTCGAAGTCAGAGACAACGGGAGCGGCATCAGTCCGAGCGATTTCGACATTCTTGGACGACCAGGACATACTAGCAAGCTCACATCACTCAAAGACCTTGAGACTGTCGGTTGCAAGAGCCTTGGATTTCGCGGCGTAGCCTTGGCCAGTGTTGCTGCTCTGGCAGAAATTGCAATCTGCACCAGAACATCGGCTGAATCCGTGGCAACCATCTTACATCTTGCGAGAGAATGTGTCGCTGCTGCTCGTGGACATAAATCTGCTCCTGTTGGCACTTCTGTTTGCGTCACTAATCTGTTCGGTGCGTATCCAGTGAGGCACAAGAGAGCCACCAGTGAAGCGACTGCGACGATTTTCAAGATCAAAGGCCTCTTGGAGTGCTACGCTTTTGCAAGGCCGCAGATCAAGTTCTCTTTTAAGGTCCTTGGAGGAAAGCAATGGTGGTCCTATGTTCCATCCTCCGGTGCCGCCCTCAAAGACGCTGTTGTCCAGGTAATGGGCCGGGAACTGGCAGCTCAATGCATGCTTCGGACTTCACCGTTCCCTGTATCCGACAATGAGACGAGAAACACACAGAACTGTGGTCTCACTCTGGCTGGGCAGCCATCCAAGTTTGTATTCGAAGCCTACCTCCCCACCTCTACGGCTGATATTCGAAAGATTTGCAAGAGTCCTTTCATCTCGGTAGATTCTCGACCTCTCTCATTCACTCAGGGGACCGCTAAGAGGTTGAAGGCCCTCTTCGAGAAGCATTTCAAGGGGTCCTTGACTTCTGAAGACTCATCAAAGCTTTCCGGAAGCCCGTTCATACGACTGAATATCAGATGCCCTCTTGGGTCCTATGATCCCAATGTCGAACCATCCAAAAACGACGTTCTCTTTCATGATGAAGAGTTAGTGCTTCGAGAGTTCGAGCAATTCTTGTTGTCAGTCTATCCCGCCAACCGCGATGACGGCGACCGTTCTCGCGTGGACACATCAAGGGAAGAGAATGGAGGTGTATGCAATACCAGTGTGGCTGACCATCACGTCCCAACGCCCCAGGTGAGCATTACCGTGACAGATGCAAACTGCTAATGTACTAAGAAGATGCTAGGTTAAAACCACACCGGCAGACAGTGGGCTTGGGACCGGATCCCACAGAGATTGCCCGACCACTCCGTCGAGTAGCAACAGGAGACCATCCATTTCAAGTACTGCGCCCTTAGTACAGTCATGGTCTGTCGATATGTCTGCGGGTGACGGAGCCATTAGTGATGGAGACGATGATGTCGATGTCCAGACACAGCCTGGTAAAGGAACAGCTCTCACAACACCTCCAACCGATGACGAACTCCCCGACCAGTCAAAAGAGGGCCTGAATCCGTGGACAATTGCCAAATTGGTGGCCCCTCGACGGCAGACACAGCAAAACCTAAGCAGTCCTACACGGAAAACTGGGCATGTTATTCCAGATGAAGTACCGTCTTCAGAAGGGCCACCGGTGGAAGTGCCAGAACGGCAAGGCAACACACAAGATCAACCTCTCCGGAATACTCAGCCAGCGACTGAGAACAACTACACGACCACAAGGACCCCAACCTGCAATCCGCTGCTGAATGTTGGGCAAGCACATTCCCAGCCTGCCAATCGACGCAACAACAGACCAACAATGGATTTGGAACAATATTCGTATACAACACAAGGGCATGGCAGACGACCGGCGGGTAGGCGCTCCTATCCAACGCATGCTGGGCGAAGCCCTGGGATGGTACAGGCCAAACTTTCTTTTGGCGGAGGCAGCTCTAAACGGCAACGGAAAACACAGACGAATGAGATCCACGAGCTTGAACCACTCGAAAACACGGACCCGCATGCTTACGGTGGTTTTGCCAGGCCCAACCAGCCACTCATGGGGTTGCCTGGTCAGCATATTGCCAGAAGAACCAACAACGACGCACGGCGGAGAACTACAGCCCAAACCAGAGCAGATAGTCTGACTGATATGCTGAGCGGGGAAATGCCTGTCAACCCAAGGACCGTCGACGACCTATCATCTACCGTGGAGGGCGAGAAGGGTATTGAGGCAGCTTTGCCGAAGAACGATCCTAGAGGTTACTTGATACGGAGACAACTGTCACTTGCAGATAAGCCTCAGAGGAGAAAGATCCAACGCCTCAAGACAAACCTACTACCACTAGAAACCACGCCACTAGGATTCGAAACTCACAAGCTTGCGTTGACAGTTCTGGTTGACCCGCAGACACTAGGCAGAAGTATGGTAAAGACATCTTTACTCGACAGCTACTTAGTCGAAGGCGCGCTGGAAGACCAATTGGAGAACGGTATAAGTCCAGAGGAAGTAACCACACTGGAAAGCCGAGTCCAGCTTCTTTTGTCACAAACGAGCCACCAGTCGTGACTCCCTCCTCGTCGCGGTTTGAGAAAGCAGTGATATCAGGCCCACGGCAGACCTTTATAAAAATTTCTAGTTAGTATCGTTGTGTGATGTATCAACTATCAGGCGAGGAAGGTGCGGTCGAAGACTGGTTCGGAGAGGTGCCGAAAAACTAGGTGACATTTGAGGGAGTTTGGTGAAACGAAGAGTACAAAAGGGAATAGTTGGCCAGGTCCTTGTCGATGTCGTCATGTAGGTATATTCCAGCGGGGGGCTGGTTGATGTTTTGAGGGAGGAAGAGGCTTAATGATGGACATATACTGCCGTGTTGGGAAGTGTGTTGTGGGAGAAAGTTGAACATGGCTGGACGAAGGCATGGTGTAACGCAATGAAAGTTGAGGTCATGTCAAAAATAGACTGTAACGTTTCGCATGAGACTACCTTGTATTTGTCCGTTGAGGGTGACCCATTGAGCCTGGCTATGAGTGAATGACTAACATAAAAGCTCAGTGGCACGGCATAATGAAGATGATTTGTCCAGCTGGAAGTTCGTATTCAAAAACTTGTCTTTCGAAGGAGGTCGTGGATTTTGCAGGCAGGAGTGGTGATAGGTACGTACCTTCCTCTATATACTAATAGCAGCTTACCCCCAAAAAAGTGCGGTTAGGGTGTTAGTACTTTTCGCGGGCGGTCCTCATATAGAACCCCGTACGTACTAATATTTCGCTATTGTACGGACCGTTTTTCCTGCAAACTCCCCGCAAAAGAAATTATTAGGCCTAATATTTATTATATAATTACTATTAAGGACTGCTAAACCCGTACGCGTCGCGCAGAATCTCCTTTCTATTCTACTAAATATTATAAATTGAATATTACGCCGCGCCTAAAATACCTCCTAGAACCGCCCGTACTACCGCTCTCCCGCGAAGTATACTAAGAGGAAAAGGAAGAGGAAGAGTAGCCCATACGGGACCAAAAGGAGGGAAAGTTCGCTACCCGGAAAATAATTCCTAAACTTTATATTATAACTATTACTGCCGAAATAAACCTATATCGGACTTCCGCCTCAATATACGTAATACTCTATATAAAACGTACATCCTATATATTAATACCGTAAGGGATTTACGTACAAAATAATGAAATGTACGAATTAAATATTAAGAAGCTAATAGAGAAATAATCCGAGTAGTAATTATATAAGGTCTACCCCTATTTAAAATTATAAATATAAGAGGTTTATGGCTAGGAGAACCTAATATTTAGATCCCTATAAATAATATATAAATTATACTATATTATAATATAGGGTTTATAAATATAGAATATAAATATTACGGTACGAAATATTAAATAGATAAACAGCTTATAATATATATACGTTTTAATATTATTGCTATAAATTACTTTTTAATAGTAATTTTAAACTTCTTCTATTAGTAACTCTAAATTTAATAGTTATTATATATAGGGTAATATATTTTTAGAATAATAGAATACATTATTAGATTTTTTACATTCGTTACTTAAAAGTAACGATTAATAAGTACAAAATTTTTAAAATAAATCACAGCGGTATAATTAAACCTTTACTTTTACATTTATATAATATACGTAAAAGGTATATAATAGCGGTAGCGGTATTAAGGATTTTTAAATATATAGCGCTTTATATTGTTTTTAGTGTCTTTTAGGAATATAACCGGGTATATTACCTAAGTACGTTTAATTATATATTTACGACCCTTAATAACAACAAAATACGTAAGGTTAAACTAACTACTACTTTTAAGCCTTTTCGGATTTAGAATTAGAATTTATAGAAGACTTTATTTTTTTATATATTATTATAATCGTTTTATTAGGGTATATAATACTATAAAATAGCGCTTAGCGGTTATTAATATTAATAATACCTAAATTAAATTTTTTATTTAAATATATTTATAATTAATTGTATAGTAAAGTATTAATCGGAGGCGCGAAAACTTTTTTACTGTAGATGAAATAACTATTATTATCCCCGATCTACCCGACGAATAGAATAGGATTAAAGGAAATAATATAATTAATTTTTATCGTTCTACGATTATAAATTACTATAGTATTCGAAATTTCTATCAAGTGCTTATTTTCTACCTTACGTACTTTCTTCTTATATATCTTTTTATATTCCCGAAAAGGGATTATAATTATTATTAAACTTTAAGGAAGAGTAACGAAAATATACGGAAAAATAACTATATTAAATAGTCAAAAATAATATTAATACTATTTATTTACGCGTAAAAGCTAAGAAGATATTCTTTTTTTATATAAATAGCTATTTTACAAATTCTTAATCGAGATATATATTTCTAACGATTAGAATAGGTTAAATCAGGTTAAATAGTACTAGATAAATATCTGTGTGGAATTATACCAAAGCCTTACGGATTAGGTTAATATTATTATTATTAGTCTTATACACGCTAACTAACTATATAGTCTACCTAATAGGTATACGGTGGTACTTCCGTTCTTAGTTGGTAGGAAAAACCGTACTGTAACCGGCTAAAAACCCTCCGTTATTCTATCGCGACAGCGCCGTATCAGCGCCATACCTTCGCTATTATCTTCCACTCAGTATAACCTTACCCTTATTCCCGAGGCGTGATTTTTAATCCCGGTACGCGGTCCCTTCGGCCTTACCCCCATCCCGTTTCCCTCCTATTCTTTCCGCTAAATTTAATTAATCGCTAACCGTATTATTATTCCTCCTCCTCTTTTTACTCCGCCCTTTCATCCTATTTTTTTTATAATAAATATATTATAGTAACCTACCCTCTAATTAATAAAATAATCTCTCCCTTACTCTTTCCTTTCCTTCCTCTTTTTCCTTCTTATATTCCCTATCCTATTTACCTCCTAATTTACTACTCCTACCCCGATATCGCGCTATTTATATTTCCTTCTCGGCTCTAACCCAGCGCTACTATAGTTCCTTCTAATAAAGTATAAATTAAAGCTTTAAATAAATTTAATAAACCTAATAATAATAAACCGGCTTATATTCTTAAAAACCCTAAGGACCCTAAAATTATTATTCTTATTGCTATATTTTCTAATATTCCCTATTACGTATTTAAAAAGATTATTAAAGCCCTTCGCTAGTAATTTTAAAATAAATAGAAGGCGAAGGAACCGAAAAAGAATATTACTTCTATAATTTACTATTAAATCCCCGGTAACGATATTTAATATATTTTATATATCCGTAATTTATATTATATAATTCCTCGTATTACTCTTTTTTATAAACGCTTCTATAGTAATTTTAATAATGCCCGTTATTTTTCGGATCCTTATAAACCTTTCCCTTATTCTCCTTCGTTACCGTAATTAATTTTTAAATTAATTAGGATTAAAGGCCCTTACTATAAATATAAATTAAATAAGAAGCTCAAAAAGTACCCGAAAGGGTACTATTTCGAACCCGGCTATAATTTTATTTAAATTATTAAAGTTTTCTATAATACTAACCTCGACTTTAAATCTCTCGAATATTAAACTCTTATTAATAACTTATAAATTATTTCTATTATTTAAAATATAATTATTATCCTTTAGGATAATAATAATAAATTTAGCGGTAATAATAATACCCCCGTTATAGTCTTATCCTCTAATATTTATTCCTCTCTTAAGAAGAGGAAAATAAATAATAATAACGCTGCCCTTAATAATATTTCGGACTTTATTATTATTCGCTAAAATATTAGTTTGTTACGTATTTTTACTAATAAAGTTAATAAAGCCCTTAAGGCCGTCCTTGGTAAAATTGATAGCTTTATTTTAATTATTAAAGACTACGTCGACAATATAGCAGATTATATTAATATTATCGAGGAGGGTATTACTACTATTCGCCGTATTATAATTAGTTTTGAAGATTTTTTTAACCGTATAAATATTCCGTATAATTTCTATTTCGATTTTTTTACTAATTTTTAATTAAATCGCTAATATCTAAATTATCATTTATACTACTTATTTTAAAATCCTTAAATTATTATTTAATAATTACGCTTTCGGTCTTACCCTGGTTACTAGAGGCGGGTATATTAAGAATAAGGGTTTACTAAAATAAATTAATTTCGATAATAATATTATTGAGGATAATAATATCAAAGAGGAAATCGATTCTAAATTTGAAGGTAGCTATAAGAATAATTCCGACCCTGAATTGGATTTTTGCGACGTTTATAATAGCCCAGTCCTTAAATAATTAATAAATAATATTCGTTCCCTCTACGTTGGCGATTTAATTTCGTTCCGGTTTTATAATATTCTTTAATTATAATTATTATTTAGTTTTTAATAATTAGAATTAATCTTAATTGGTAGCTTATCGGCGTTTTCTTAGTATCGTATCGGCGCCTTCGTTAAATTTCTTTATATCCGGGTAATTAATTTAAAAGTATTATAAATATATTCTTATACTCTAAAATTAAAAATTAATTTAAATTCCCTAGTAACTCGCTTTACTTTTTTTATTTATTCTATCTTTATTATTAATTTATATTCTTACAATCGACTTAAGCGTAAGGCCTAATAAAAAATCCGTTTTATTCCTTCTACAGTTTTAAATTCATTATAAAGTTGTTTAATATTTTACGGCTACATTAAATTTCCCTATAGCTATATATTTTTTATTTCCTTATATTCTAATATAATATATTCGAATATTTCCTTAATTAATTTATATTAGTATTAGGGTACTATTACTTCTAATACTTTTCTTTCGAATAAGAATGCATATAAGCTTATTTTACTCGTTTTAATTTATATTAAGAACGAGTTTATAATTTTCGAAAAGTAGTACAATAATAGTTTTTCATTTATATTAAACTAAATACAGTATTATAATATAATTCTATTAAATTGCGTACACGCTTTTACAATATTTAATTCTCTCCTTTTCTTTATTATTTCAGCTATTTTAATATATTATTTTACAACCTACTCCCTCCGAATTGCCTCCTTTAATTACTTTTCCTTTTTATTTAGCATAAATTCTGTCATTTCTCCTTATAGTATTAGAATATTTTCACCCGGAGCCTATTTCTTAACCTATTTAATTTTTACCCAGCCGTTAACCGGGGGTAATTATAATTATTTACTTCTCCTTCCGCTTCGTAATTCCCCTATTACTTAAGTTAGCGTCCCCTTAATAAAGGCCGCTGCCAGTAAGCGGGTAAACCGGTTCTTAAACGTTCTAACCTTTTTATTAAAATGGAAATTAAAAAGTAAATAAAAAGTTTCCGTTTTAATATTAAATGTAAATATTATTTTATAAATTTTAAAAACTATTTTAAAATAATTTGGTTAAATTATTGCGAAAGCTTTCGCAAAACTATATAATTCCCTAAACGGCTCCGTTAATATATAATATATTAACGTTCCGTAAACTGCTATTATACGAATCGCCTTTATATATATTTCCTTCGTGAGGACGAGGTTATAGCCCCATATTTTCGCTATAATATATATGAATACGAAAATTTATATCGATAGTTTCTTTTTTACCGCCTAAAAATATATTCGGTAAATTAATTTACAATTTAACTATACTCTTAGGAACTGTATTAAATTTATAGGGGTTAATTAATATTTTCCGAAATTAATAATTTCGGTTCGTAATTACCGGGTTTTAATAAAGTAAATAAATTCCAATTTATTAATTTTAAATTCTATTTTACGTTCTTCTACCTAATTATAGTAAATCCGCTAAACTTCCTTTAATTTATTATAATTTTCTTTTATGGATTTCGAAAAAATTAAAATATTAATATTATTTACGAATTTTACCGTTATTATCCTCTTTAATTCTTTCAATATTTTATATAAAATAGTAATAAAAATAAAAAAGAGGATAGGCGAGAGGGGGGAGCCTTATAATATTCTTATAAATATTTGAAATTCCTAAAATAATTTCCCGTCGAAAAATAAATTTCTTTTCCGGTTTAGTAAAATTTTTTCAACTTAATGGAGTAATTAATATAGAAACCCCTTTTCTTATAGGGTATAAAAGAATTATTTATAATTAACCTAATTAAATACCCCTTTAAAATTTAGGAGTAGTAGTAACGTTATTACTCCTAATTTCTATACTATATATACCGTTTCTATTATTACTTTAATTACAAATTCTATTAATTTCTTTTTCTTATTCCTTATTTAACCCTTTAAAAAAAATTTATATTCCTCCGCTACGAAAGTGAACTACTTTATAATTATTATTTCTAATATTTTTTCCTACGTAATTTAAAAGTGTAATAAAGCGCTATATTCCTGCTATCTTCCTCTATACCGCCGTCTTTCTAAATTTCTTCAATATTACTACTTTTATATAATATTATTATACTAGGAATAAACCGAAAGTAAAATTCTTAATAGCAATTATAATTAATATTTCCGCTAACCGTCTTTTATATATTTTAAATAATTTATTAAAGAATTAATCGTTCTCTAAATTTTATTAAGGGTTATATAGCGTAATACTTTTATTATATCGTTTATATTAATTTTATAATTTATTAGTAATTTAATTTCTTATTTTCTTTTCTGATCCAGTAAATAATTTCTTAATACTTCTCCCCCCAAAAAGAATTTTTCCGTTAGGATTTCTATTCTATTTTTATAATCTTATTTCTCCTTTATATTTCTTTTTTAATATAGTACCGGGATTTTAGAGAGGTAGGAAAATAAATAATTTTGCATTTTATTTTATTATTTAAGCGTTTAAAATTTCTTCGGGTTTTTTAATATATTTTCGTAGAAAATATATTACCGTTTCGCTTATACGAATTAAATAGCTTTAATTTATTTTTATTTCGCTTCTTCTAATTTTGGCCTTCTTATTAGTATCTTCCTCTATTTCTAAACCCTCGCTATCCGTTTTATATATTTAACGGCTTCCTTTATATTTAAATCCTATTAATTAGCGTACTTACCCCTTCCCCTTTTTTATTTCAAGACCGCTTCGTCGGTAATTTTAATTAATTTTTCTATTAATCGGTCGGTTATAATTTCTAATTCGGCAATTATAATAATCGCTAATAGAATTATAATATATTCTTTAATAAATTCTTTAACTTTTTTAATATTTATAAATACTTAACTATAGTTTTCTATAGTATCCTCCGGCTTTTTAATAATTTTAATATAAATTAAAATCGATTAAATTTAATAGTCCGATTCGGTAAGGATTTCGTTTTCTACCGTTTAGTACGTAATATATAATATTTCCGTTACTTAAACGTAATTTATAATATTACTAAATTCCTACTATATTTTATTTTTTAATTATATTAATTCGCTTCGTAGCGTTACTAGCGCGAATCGGTAATGTATTATTAATAAAAAGAAAATATAATTATTTCTATTCGTCCTTCTATAAATATCCTATATTAGGTAATAGAAATTTATATCCCTTATTATAATATTCTTTTTTTTCGGTTTCGATACGATTTCTTTAAGGGGGGTATATTATTTATACTTAGGACCCGAGTCTTAAATCGGTAAATAGACTGATTATACTCTTACTTCGTTTTTCCCTTCTCTAATTCTTATTATTATTTAATCCTTTCCCTATTCGTAATCCTATTGGTCGATTATAAAGCGTTTATTTATATATAAAGTTACGTACCCTTAATTAGTATCATTTAATACTTAGTAGCAGAAAACTTTAATATTAGGGATATTATTTACGGCTGCGCTTCGGCCTAATTTTTAGAATATTATAATATTATAATAATCTTTTATTTTTAATACAATTTTTATCTTATTATATAATTTCGCTATATTCTAATATAGAATTTTTAAATTTATATAATAAACGTTTAAGTGGCGTTCTTTTAATATAATTAAAGGTTCAAGCTAATAATAATATTTAATATTTTAAGGATTTTCTTTTAATACTTCATTTTAATTATATTAAATTTAATACAGAATTTTCTTTATACCTTTATATAAGTGCTACATTCTTTACTAATTATTATTTATTACTATTCGGACTCTAAAGTTTCTAAATCGTTGATATCTAGGATTTTTAAATTGCTATTTTCGCTAGCGGGTATAGGTTATAACCGAATAGGCGTCATAAGGGGGTTATCCCTCTTAAGTCCCTATATTATTATAATTTATATTTATTAGAAGGGTTACTACTATATAATTTTATTAGTTAGTTAAATAACTTTGGGCTAGTTAGGGGTTGGCGTTTGATTAATTATAATTGGTTTTACCTATTAGGCGAATATATATAGGTATTTTATAAATATTGTAGAGGAATAGCCGAATGTTATTTTTATAAGCGGGTAATTACGAGAGAATATAAAATATCTTTTATAATTATAAGGGAAATACTTTATAAAGTCAGGTTATTAATTAAAAGGGTAATTAATTTTTATATCTTTTATTATTTTATTTAAATATTTTTTCTCGGCGTAGTAAGGGTATTATACGTCTTTCTCTTTAGGATAGTAATTACGTAAATAATTAAATTCCTAATAATTATAATATTATTAAAAGATTATATTACGTTTAAAGGGTTTATAATGGAATATGTTATTTATTTAAAGGAAGGAGTCTTTAATAAAATAAACCTTATCGTTTATAATAGTAATTTTTAAAAAGAAAAAACCCTTTTCGCTCCCGTACTTCTTCCGGAATACTTTCGTTTTAATAATTTTAATTTTATTTACTTTGGATATTTCTTTAACTAACTTCTTTAATTCGAAATTATTAATAAGAGCCTACAATACGTAATAAATTATTACCGAAATTGTACGGAATATAATTATTATATCCTTATAGAAGACGTATATTACCTAAATTTAATTCTTTAAATATTATTTCTATTTTTCCTCTTTAAATATAATAATATAATTTCTATTAAAATATAGTTTTATAATAACGTTAATATCGGTTTTCAAATATTTTGAATTAATTATTTATATGACGTCGTTTACTATATATTTCTCTTACTTTATAAAAAATAATGTAGCGTTTAATTTAATTATTAGATATTGTTCGTTTTAAAGGGGAATAAAAGTTTAAGTATTTATCGAAGTAAAGTAGGATTCTTTTAGGCTTATTAATTGGATATTCAAATCCGTAGCTATAGCAGCCTAAATCTTCGGAAGGATTGCCTATTTTTTTATAATATCGGCGACTATCTTCTTTAATTCTTTTATATCGTTTTTAAATTGTTCGGTAATAATATTGCGAAATTAAAGCGTTTAACCTTATGTACGTAAAATATCTTTAGCGGTATGGAAGAGTTTTTTTATTTACGCTACGTAGGCGTTGAGTAAGTTATTAATATTAGAGAAATTTATAATTTTTAGAAGGAATTTTTCTATATTTTCTTAAAGGGGTTTCGGGGCCGCGGAGGCTTCGGGTTCGGCGCTATTAGCTGTCGTTATTATCGTTGGTATTCCGGCCGCGGGATTTCCGGGCGCGTATTAATTCGCTATTAGACCGCCGCCGTCGTTCCCGACCGCTACGATACCCGCGTCTTCGATGCGTAATTAATACGGCATCGTAAATAGGGGTAATCGGACGTCCTGAACACGATTCTGATGTCAAAATTGGGTTTACTGTCGTCGTCGACTAAGAACCCGCGTTTCAACGTTTTGCGAGCTTTTTTTTAATTTAGGTTAATATTATAAATATTATAGGAGGTAAAGGTTAAACTATCTTTAATATTAGATAAAGGGTTATATTATCCACTAATTATATTAGAAGTATATATTATAATATAAAGTATTATTAGAATTCTATAATTATTATTTATAAATTTAGTAAACCTATATTCTTTATTACTATAACCGCGAATCCGTAGTAATTAGAGATTATATGGGAATTAAATAAATTTACGCCTAACGACTATCCTAATATTATTAGCCGCATATTTAATTTGAAGGCGAATATATTATGTAAAGAAATTAAAAAAACATTTTTAGTAAGTATATGGGTATTATATAGACTTTAGAAATTTAAAAACGTAGCCTTCCATATTAATATATATTAATCTTCTTAGATTTAGAATTTTAGTAAACTTATTTAGAATTATAAATTATAGACTACATTATCCGAATAGACTTTCCTACTCCGGAAGAGGACCCAGACAATTAATTTAAAAATTTAGTAAAAATTTTAGTTATTTATAGTCCTTATAATTAAGATAACCCTAATCCTTTATATATAGTTACAAACGATAAAAATAAAAATATTAGACTAAAATATAGAAAGAAATTTCTTAGGGAATTTATTAAATAAATCATTATGAGAAAATCTTTTCGCACTGTCACGAAAGTCTTTAGACACCGTCGACCTACCCTCCCCCTACCCTTCCCGCCTACGTTCTACCCTTCTCGCTTTTCCGACCAATAAAAATCAGTACATCCAAAGCGCGGACTACCCTCGCCTTAGCGTAGTATTCTTTCATAAATTTTACTTAGAAATCTAAGCATTACATTATTTCATAGTATGATATTAGATTGTAGTGCCCGCCCAAATGTGTACTCCTATAGCTATTATTTGAGGCATGTGCTAGAATAATCGTTAAATTAGACTAGGTAGTTAGTATAACCCCTAAATACGTATAATAGCCTAAAATCTAGGAGCTTAGCGGGCGCGGTACGAAGGGGATCGGTATAAGGTAGAGACAATATAGTCCGCGCTTTGGATACACCGATTTTTATTGGTTGGGAAAGCGGGAAGGGTAGGGAGAAAGCGGGAGAGGGTAGGTCGACGGTACCTAAAGACTTTTACGATGGTGCGAAAAGACTTTCTTATTATTATTAGGTATAACAATTATCCTTTGTATAAACGCTGTAATAATAGGGCTTATATTACGAAAAGGGTAGGAATTAATAATATTATTTTGAATAATCGTTATATTGTACTATACTATCTATATTTAATTATAAAGTATTATTATTATATTAACGTAGAAGTTTATTCTTCGGTAAATACCATTAAATATATTTATAAATATATTTATAAGGGTACGAATAGAACTACCATAGAGATTATAAAACCGGACGAAATTATATAATATTTAATAGCATAATATATTAACTTTACGGAAGTATTTATGCGGATTATAGAGTAGCTTTTATATAAAGAATTCCCTCCTATTATACTATTTACTATTTATTTTAAGGATAGTCCGATTATTATTTTACGTAGTAATTTAAACCCTTAGGAGGTAGCGAAATAAATAGAATATACTATTTAAATTATATTTAAGAGCTTCTTCAAATATAATGCCGTATATCTTAACGGTCCAAATTGGGACGTTCTATACATAGATTTTCCTTTTAAGTATATTTAGCAGAGTAATATATATATTTAATAATTTCACTAAAGGAGTACTACTATAAGCTGTATTTATTATATTCCTCTTATTATTAGCGAATAGTATTATTTACGGCTATTATTAATAAATATACCCAGTCCTACCTCCATTAAGAATTTATATACTATAGATAGCGTAGTATATAATACTTTTAGGGAAACTTATTTAGTATATAGGCTCTTAGAAGATAATTTTCAGTAGGAAGCCTTATTCGAAGAAATAGGAAGTTAGTAAACCAGCCGGTAATTACGGTATTTATTCGCTATTTATTTAATATAAAATTCTAAAATACTAGGGCCGCAAATTATTTAAAATAAATTTACATATTTAATTTATAATAATTAACTCCGTAGGGTTATTGAAATAGTTAGGGTTGTTTTAAATTTAGAGAATCCGTATTACGATTATAGTCTTTATTTTATTAGTTAATATTTTAATTAGATAAAATATTTATAGATATATATCTTTCCGAATTGGTATTTGTATAAGAGTAAATAGATAGGAACTTTCTATTATAGTAGGAATTATAATACGATTTAGAGTAGTAAAAGCGGGATTTTAATAACGTTCGGTCTAAATTTAATATTAGTTAAACTATAATTTTTAATACAATTATTATAATTGTAGAGAATAACCTTAAGAAAGCGCTCTTTTTTATATAGGGATTAGGGGGTATTAGTAAAATATTCTTATATTAGGGTTTATATATTTATTTTCAGGTTTAAAGTAAAGTAGTATTATATATTATATTTTTAGGTATTATAGTACTTTTACTAGAAAGTAGGCGGACTATATTTTCCCAGTTCAAAATCCCGCTAAATATTTCTACCCTACAAGTTTATAAAATTAAAAAGGGTATTAATTTATATAGTTTATTAAAATATACTACTTTAATTATTTAGAATGAGGTTCCTATATAAAATCGGGGTTATATTAAAACCGTTAATCAATTCTTATAAAACCTTCTAAGCCGTAAGGGTATCCGTTTTAGCGGTATTCCTACTATATTCGGCGGCGATTTTGCTCAAATCTTACCAGTAAAGAAAAAGTGCTCCCGTACGGAAGTAATTTCTCTTTATTTAAAGTACTTTCCTATTTGGGCTAAAGTAAAAATTTAGCGTTTTATAAAGAATATATATATTTAAAGGGTTAACCAACGCACCCGTATTTTCGTAAACTAATAATAATAATTATTTTATAATTTTAACTTTCGTAAATAAATTTAAGCTTTCCTGGAAACGTTCGTTATTAATATAGAATAAAATTTCCTATCCCGGATTTATCCTAATTCCCTTCTTACCATTACCTTTGAAAATAATATTATTTTTATTAAAAGGGTTATCCTTTATAACCGTAACAATTTAATTAGGGCTATAAATACCGAAATCCTATCCCGTATACTAAACGAAAGTGTAATGGGGATAGTACGGCTAATATAAGTACTGGTCGTATAGTTTAATTGAGGTTCTATGAAGAAGGAAAGTTCTGTTTGAGAGGCGGTTCTATCGGAGATACGAGGTTTTGATAGGGGCTACACAAACATAGCCACGGCTCCTTATAACAACTCTAATCGATAATTAAAGCGCTATAGCCCGGGCCTTAGCCCTATAATATTACCCCTCTCTTCCCTCTTCCTACCCCTCTACACGTTCGCTCTTTCTATTTCGACCGATAAAGGTAATAGGTAATAAGTAGTAGCGTATATATATACGTACCTTTAAATTATATATAAAAACCTTTCTTCTGATTTTTTTTTCCTTTTTCTTTCCTTTCCTCTTTTTTTTCTAACCGTCGTTCAACTTATTAAAATAAATATTATTATCCCCTAACTAATTCTTTGCCTACCTTTTTTAATTAAAGTAGATACTTTATTTAATTTCGTCCGAACTATCCCCATCCCTATTTTAGCCGTTTAAGAACGAAGCCTCGTCTTCGCCGTTATTACGCGGCTCTTAGTCCCCTTCTTAGGAGGCCGCTACTTATTATAGGTATATTAAAAACCCCGTCGCTACCCTTAAAAAATTTAAATTTATTAAATTTAAATATTTGCTAGTAAATTTGCCTTATTACTCTTACCTTTAAAAATCGTCGTTAATCTTACTTATTCTTTAAGCGGATTATAACCTCTCCGAAGTCCTGTACATTTCGTATTTAAACATCCTACGCGAATACTATATTAAATTTGGAAACCGGGTATATATAGTTTACTATAATAACGGTAAACGGTGCAATTAGGCTTTATTCCTAATTTAGAAGTTCGTTATAATTTAAGAGGTGGCGACTTCTAATAAAGAAAAAATAAAAGCTTTTGGGTACGTCCGTAAAATTATAATTATTTAATGTTATATTACCAAATTATATAAAAATAACGCTATTTTTTTATAAATTTCTTTTATTTTATTTACTTTAATAAAAGTAAATTTCAATTAATTAAAACTTTTAAATAGGAGTATAGCTACTTCTTTTCGGCCTCTGGTAATATTATTACCATCTTTCCGACCTTTACTGCTCCTATTACTTTGGCCGTTTTTCTGACCCTTACCCTCCCCTTTAGGGATCCTATTGTAATAAAATCGGTAGCCTATTTCGAATCGTTTAAAAAGTAGTTAGAAATTATAAAATTAGGAATAACCGGAAATATAAAATACCGAAGAAAAATTAAAGAAATTTAAAATCAATATTTACTACCTTCTTTTTTCCTTTTTTTATTGCCGTCTCTATTGCTTCGTATATTCTATACTAAAATATTCGATTAGTTTATTATTAATATCGGCTAGGCTATATTTTGCTTTAAAACGGTCTAAGGCTACTATATTAGCAAACTCCTCTAGCGGCTCCTAAAATTATTATGCCTAGCTAATTTAATTAACTAAAATTATTTTGCGACCTCTTTTAGTCATATAGTAAAGGATTTTATTTATAAAGTATTCTTTTTTTCTATTTATTATAATAATTAGCAGTTGAGAATTGGTAATAATTTAGCCTAATAGAGGGTTATTATAAACCCTTTTAAATAGGTCTATATAAAATTTATTAAAGACTTTTGAGGAGAAATCGGAGAATTCTATTAGGAAAGGGTTGAAAATTCGAAATATTATATACTTCGTATAGATTTAATCGAACTTCTTCTTAGGGTACGCTATAGTAAAATTTTTAAAATTTAATTAAATTTTATCCCCTACTTTAAAAATTTTAATTAGTTACTTCTTACGATTAATAAAACGCTTTTACTCTTATACAGCGATTATTATAGTTATTTAATATAAATTTATAATTTGTTATAGTATTGTAACGAAATCTTTAATTTTTATTTACGGGTTCTTAAGATTTACTTCTATTAGGGGAGTTATTAGGGCTATTGGGGATTACGGGTAATAATTATGGGTAGTAAAGAATAGAAATATATTAATAGAAGTATTAATTTAATTATTAATTACTAATTATATTATTAAGTATTAACAATCCTAATCGTTTTGGGCGTAATTGATAAAAATTCTTAAGAAAGTTTATACCTCCTAGTTTATTCTCTCGGGGCTACTATTGGGTTGGGGGTAAAAAGCGGTGTTTAAAAATTGATCGATACCTAGTAAATTGTAGAAATATTTTTAAAATTAGTTAGTTTAATTAGTACCCTTATTACTAACGATAAATTACGGCTACCTATAATATTATACGAAGTATTTAAGGGAAGTTTTTACTATGACTTTTACTTTTATAGAGGGTATTAACTTTAAAATTACCAATTTACTAAATCTATTTTTAATAACGAAGAGGTAAATATAGCTTCTTATAGGGGGGAGATTAATAATGAAATTTATTTAAATATTTTTGAAAAATTAATCTAGGATGGGAAGAGGCTTTAATAACCCTTTTTTTTAATTTTTTTAGTATTTTACTTTGTTATAAGTATTATAATTGGTTAAGAACCGACGGATATAAATATTTATTAGTAATTAATAGAAGTTTTTATTTATAATATAAATAATACTTTCTTTTCTGTGTGACTTAAGAATTTTGAAATTATATATTTTTTAAATAATATAGGTACAGAGAACGTTCTTTTTAATATTTTTTAGGGATATATATAGGGTTATATTTTCGGTAATAGCGGAAGTTCTTAGAATTTAAATACGGCTTCTATAATATAATTTACTGAGTCCGTCAATAGTATATTTGTTGCATTAAACTTTTAAACTTTACGCAGAAGTTGGGAGGGTTTTATCTTTATTAATAACAGTTTAGCGGATAATTTAGTAGACTTCGTTTTTTTAAGAGACTTTTTCGAAGAATTATTATAAATCCAGATTTTTAAATACTTTTACGCCCTCTCCTACTATAATAAAGGAAACGATTATATAAATATAATTCTTAAGAGCGGATTAAGGAATTGATTATATTTCTTTAGCCTTTACGTCCTCTTCGTTAGGGTAGTCTTAGTCCCAATAGGATAGAATATTAAAAATTACAACGAATTTCCCTAGGCAGTAGAAGATTTCGAAATTGAATTGTAAGAGAAATTTAGCTTATTATACTTACCGTTTAGAAAGTTTTTACCTTTCTATAAAATATTTAAAATTACAATAATTAGTAATAATAACGAACTTTTTATAGCTTTTAAATTCTATAAATTATTCCTTTATATACTTAATAATTACAAATATCTCTTTATTATAAATAGGGTAATTATATTTAACAAGGGTAAATTTTTAGGAGTAATAAGTAATTATTATCTTTTATTTATATTTTTTTTAAGTAAGGATACTATTAAAACTATATCCGTAGTAATCTACCTTTAAAAAAAATAGGTAAATTAGGATCCTATTAAGTAGGAATAGGGGCTTTAATAAATAATTCCTTTAATTTTTTAAAAATTATATCGTATTATTCAATCCATTTAAAGGGGACCCTTTTATCTATAAGGGCTATTAGCAGTCTTATCATTAAAAAGAAATTTTTAACGAATATTTAATAATAATTAATAAACTTAAAAAAACTTTATACCCTTTTTTAAAATATAGGTACTTCTTATTTAATAATCGTTTTAATTTTTTCTAAATGCGTTTAAATATTAATATTTACAACGATAATAAAACCTAAACATTTAATATTCTTTACTACGAACTCGTATTTTTTAGGGTCTAAATAAAGCCTAATAATAATTATACGTTTAACGATTTTATATACTTTAATTAAATAATTTACTTTAAAGCCTAATAAGAAATTTAGTATATTATTTATATATATTGAGGTAAAATTATTGAAGTAATTCCCTAGAATATTATTAATATACTATTAAAACGTCACCAATATCCTTAATAGACCAAAAAATATAACTAACTACTCAAATAACTTATATCGAATTCGAAATACCGTTTTCCCTTCTTTTCCTTCGGCTATATAGATTTTATAAAACGTTTATACGATATTTATTTTGGTAAATTATTTTACTTTAGCAATAATTTTAAACATTTTTTTAATTAAGGGTAATAAGTACCAGTTTACTTTAACAATAGTATTAAGAGCTTTATAGTCGTAATAGAACCGAAGATTTCTTCCCGGCTTCCTAATAAAGAGAATTAGCGTAGCGGTAATTCAATTATTAGTACGGATAAAACTTTTATTAAAAAGATTTCTAAAGGTTTTTTTTAATATTAAGAATTCTTTTCGTAATATGTTATAAAGGTAATTATAAAGGAGAGGCAGCTCCTTACCGTTTTCGTCTTTTTTGAGCTCAATTTTATAGTCGATACTTAGGCGGTTAGGATTAACCTTATTAGCCTCCTCTTATTTCTAAACGAATAAATAATTGTATATCTTCATAGGGATTATTTTTCGTAGCTCTTTATTTATTATACTGACTTTGGGTTTAAAGGCCTTTTCGATATCTCGTAAACTTATTACG